GCTTTCGTCCCGCAAAGCGCGCAAAGCGGCGTAGCGCGCCGAGTTTGGGAAGCCGCACCACAGTGGGCCAGAAGACCGGTGCAGGCGGCCGAAACTCCGGACGCGTTTTGAGCTCCAGAGTCGCTAAATGGGACTCGAACCGAACGTGTGACCCCGCCAATGGATTGCTCTCCGAACGAGGATTCCAATGGTGGGGTCACACGATCTTCAATGTCAATATCACGAGATGAAAATTTTCAGCACTAAAAGAACATTTTAAAAATGACAAGTATTTTACGGCCGAATTTCAAGTTGGGTAGACATGTGTGGCAACCTGTGGGAACGATCGAACGCACGATCGTCGGGACTCAAGTGATGTGACTTCTTTACAACGCGCGGCCTATTCGGGCAGGTGATTCTGCCAAGACTGGCGCAAGATTGGACGATTGGCCACGTTCCACTGCGAGAGAGAGAGAGAGAGAGAGAGAGAGAGAGAGAGTACCTCCCCCTCCCCCTGAGCGGTCCCGGCCTTCTGGCCTTTTCGGCACAATGAATGAATTGGAGCCAGTCGGGACGATTATCATTATTGGTTGGGCCCTGCCTGGCCTTCCCCGTCTCTATCGGGGTGCGAGAGAGAGAGAGAGAGAGAGAGAGAGAGAGAGAGAGAGAGAGAGAGAGAGAGAGAGAGAGAGGGAGAGGGACGGAGCGAGGTCCCGGCCACCGCGTCCCGCCCCACATCCCACGACCGACCACATTGGCCACATTTTCTGCGGTCCCTTATTTCCACCTCTCGCCTTGACCCGTCCTTGAGGGAGGACCTTTTGCCTTTTGGCCAGCAGCGCCGCGTTCAAAATTCGCGCCTGCGTCGCAATCTCGCGATCGGGCCTTTTCTCAAAAAGACACACTCGCAGACAGACAGACACACACACACACACACACACACACAGTAGTACCTCAGGCTCATAGGCCGGCCACAGAGCTCAACGCGGTGTGGCAACTGGTACCTCTCTCCCCTCCCCTCCTCTTCCCCCTTCCCCCTTCTCTCCCCGCGGGCTCGCAGCGCCCAAACTTGAATCGCAGTAATTCTTGGCAAAGTTGTGACAATAGGTTATGGCGGCGCGGGATCGGGGCATCGGACCGGGCCCGGCAAGGCGGGCCTGCGCAGGCCTGCGTCAGTAAGTGGCTGGCTTCCCGGCTTCCCGCCCGACAATGTTCGACTTGCGGTCTAACTGTTTCCTTCTGTTATTGCTCACTGTGAGTCATAGTCTGGGGTGGGGGATACGCCCTGCTTTTCCACTTGTAAGGCGCCTGTGTGTGTGTATGTATGTGTGTGTGGTGCGTGTGTGGGTGAGAGTCGAATGGGGCAACTTAGAGCGTTCGGAGCGAAGCGTCACCGGTGAAGTCGTTTGCTTCAAAACGCGCGAAGTTGGCGCTAAAGATGGACTAATCGAATTCTGTGAGCTTTCCTACCCGTCGGTGTCGGGGAGATTTCAAAGGGGAACGTTTGAATAGCTGAGCCGGGAGTCGAACCCGAGCCGCCCACTTCTATCCGTACAGCAGTGTTGTCACGAAAAGAGGCAAAAATACGAGGATGCACCTCGAAAGGGTTGCCAACCTCGGCCTAGGCATTCCGGCCAAGCCCCGATGTTGAGCAAGGCTAAGGTTGGCGACCCTTTCAGCACTGGGATTTGGATATTTCGCCCACCCATGTGGCAACCTTGCGTCGCAGCAACAGCGTGCTGTCGTCTGTTTTTGTTTTTTAACTTTTTCAGTGTAGGAAGGGAGGCCGGTCGCTGTCAAACCGGCCGGGCACGTCCGGGGACGTCGCCCTCATAGACAGGCATAAATGTATTTGGAGCGCTTCGCAAAATGCCAAAAGCGGTGGGCTGGCTGCCCCTGGCTGCCTCTGGCTGCCCTCCCCTCCCGCACGCACGCATTCACCGCCGCCTGGCATCATCATTTTGGACACACACTGCACCTACACCGGTAAAGAAACCACAGGGGCAACGAAAAAGAAAGAAGACCACCCCGACGCACAAAATGTAAGCTGCAGCTGTAATTTTTTTCTTTTTTGTCTTTTTAAGAGGGAAATTTTCGGCGATTTGTTTTTTAGCGGTTGGCTATCGTGCTTGCGGCAGGTCCAGGACCGCGAGGGCCTTGTTGATAATTCCCTTTTGGTCCGTTTTTCTCCTCTTTTGCTTGGCTGCGCCGTGGCCTGATCCCATTGTGACTGAGTCCCCCTTCCGGTACACTGGTACGGAGATAGCAGTTTTTCCAGCGACGCCAACAACAACAAAGCATCAACAAGAGTGCTGTTGGCAACACTGTCCTTGTTGGAAACCCTCCTCACTGTCCCCGTCGGCGGCCGAGCAGGCCGTGGTGGCCCGTGGCCCCATTCTCCCATTTCCTCGCAAATAATCTGTCTCCCTAACGTCCCTCCCTCCCCCTCTCGCGCTACACACTCTTTGATTATCACTGCAAAGAGTCGGCCAGAGGAATATTTGCGTTCGATTCAACAATGGGCCCGCTGGCTGCCGCTGGCTGCATGGTTGGGCAGCAGGCAAGCCGAGCCGGCCGCACAGGGCGAACAGGGGTGCCAACCCAAATGGGGATGCGGCAGCGGCGGCAGCGGGGTCGCGCGATTGTTACGTTGGCCGCATTTGTACGCCCTCATCCCCCCGCTCTCTCTCTCTCTCTCTCTCTCTCTCTCTCTCTCTCTCTCTCTCTCTCTCTCTCTCTCTCTCTCTCTCTCTCTCTCCCTGTCTCTCTGTCTCTCTCTCTCCCTCCCTCCCGCTTTTTCGTCCCCGGCCAAATGATTCGGTCGGCATGGCCACAGAAGTACCACGACGACGGGGTGCATGCAGCACACAGCAGTGGCACACGGCAAAACTCATGAAAAACTCAAAAGGCCCATTTCAAAATTTAGAATTTTTTTAAAAATTTTGAAATCGGGTTTTTGGTGGCGTGGATTACACGCTTATTTCTGCTTCAGCGCAGCTCGCATCACGGAGAGGAAGAGAGAGGCGCATTCGAGAAACAAGACCGGACCGAAAGCAGCCCGCGAAAAAAGGGGCGAGAAGCCGGTTTTGTTTTGTTTAAAACAGTGCACGGGCAGCGCTGGGGGCTAATCTATCGTTTAGCAGATTTAATGGGTTGCTGGCCGCGCCACCGCCTCACTGGCCGCATTGTGTTCTGACCACTGACCCCCCCCCCCCCCCCCCCCCCCCTTGCCGACACCGCACCGGCCGGTCGGACTTGTCGCGTATTCGGGACCCATTTATAAATTAGATGAGACGTGGAACAAAAGGAGGGCCAGGGCCATTAGCAAGCCTCGTTTTAAGGTGCTCAGTTTTCCTCATTTTTCGCATGATTCGACCGTTATTGCCGTCAGGTTGGTGGTCTGAATCTCATAAACGGCTCAGCCGATTCAAAGTAAGATAAAATAAAAATTTTGGAATTAAGTGTTAATTTTTTTGTAAAGTTCAACAGTTTGCTTGTGTGCGATGCTAAAGCCAACCACACGATTCAGAACGAAAGTCAGCCGATGTGGTGGTATTTACAACGTATTCGATCAAACTTCTGTCGTCCGGATCTGTTCTCCACTGTGCAATACTACGCAAATTATCGTTGTTGTTGTGGTTGTTGTTGAGGCGGAAACATCCAGGGCTGCCACTACACCGCAGCACTTCGGCGGTTCTCTCCGTCGCTCTGAAGGTAGTTCGCCGCGCCCTCTCATATCCTGGATGAAGGACCAATCCCTCCCCGACGTCCCCGACCCCTCGAGGCTGTCCCGCGATGGCCATGATGGATGAGTCCTCGGGACACAGAGCCGAGCCGAGCCGAGCCGAGCCGGGCCGAGCCGGGCCGAGCCGGGGGGTCGAGTGTTCGAAGGTGACAACTTGATAATGGCCCACTTTGACGGAGGGTCACTTAGTCGGATTGCAAGGTCACCTCGGGGCGGAAATTGGTGCGCGTTGACAGCGACGACGACAGTGGGCCGGAAGACCGGTGGAGGCGGCCAAAACTCCAGACGCGTTTTGAGCTCCAGAGTCGCTAAATGGGGCTCGAACCGAACGTGTGACCCCACCAATGGATTCCTCGTTCGGAGAGCAATCCACTGGAGAGCAGGGCTCAGGCCATGCCAATGTTTTGAAATGGCATCCCTCGAATAGTCTTACTTCCGCTTCTCTGCTCATCGCGACAACAATATGATTCGCGCCAAAACAAAACTTTTTGCATTGTCGTCCAAAAAACCCTGAAAATTTTTTAATTTAGAGAGCAGGTTGTTATAGAAAAACAGAGCGGCTACTAATCCAAGTCGATTCAGGGATTTGGCGCCATTCTTTACTTAGACGCCCTTCTCATTTTCAACCCCTACCCCGGCCACCTGTTGGCTTTGCGTCCTCGGGGACCTCCCCCCTCCCCTCCCCCTCCCTCTCCCATCCCCCTCCCTCTCCCCTCCCCTCCCCCCGGCCGGCCGAGCGTGCAACAAGTGGCCGGGCGGTAACGCCGTAACGCCTAACTCGATCCGCGCCGCAAACCGCGGCTTGCTTGCGGTGTGCCTGCAGCCGCGCCACTGTGAGGGAAGACCCGCGCCACAGCACAAGGGATTTGCCAGAAGACCGTGGAAGCGGCCAAAAGTCCCCGACGCGCTTTGAGCTCCAGAGTCGCTAAATGGGACTCGAACCGAACGTGTGACCCACCAATGGATTGCTCTCCGAACGAGGAATCCATTGGTGGGGTCACACGTTCGGTTCGAGTCCCATTTAGCGACTCTGGAGCTCAAAACGCGTCTGGAGTTTTGGCCGCCTGAGCGCCTGATAGGTAGGCCGTCCCGGTGAGCTAGCGAGACTTGCGGGCTGGCCCACCCTCTCGATGGCAGGCGTTACCGCGGCCCTCGCCAAAGGCCGCCATTTCATTCGATGGAAGGATTAATTTATTTTCTTCAACTCTGCCCTTTGACTCAATCCAGGAAACGACTTCCCACCACAACAGCTTAGTACCAGAAGGCTGAGACTTACATGTTCTGCCCGGGGGCCACTCCTGTCGGGGCCCCTTGCCACCGGCGTCCAGCGACTTGTGCTCCGACTTGTTGATTTCGTTGAGGCTCGACAGGTACTTGGAACCTGGCGGAGGAAACGAGGGAGGAAATCACAAGAAGCGATTATTAAACGAGAATTACTTGTCACAAAGTTAAGTCCGCCCCTTTTAACTCTATACCACCGCATTTCAATCATTATTTTCTAGAGCAAAAGTGAAAAATAAAAATAAAAGTGTTTATTGGAGCCTCCTCTTCGTCCCCACGCTGATTTCCTCGTCCCCCCCTCTCTCTCTCCATCTCTCTCACACCCAATTCATTTCATCTTCTCATTTCCTGGCATCGACAGGCTCCGTGTTCCTCCCTAACCACTACAGGAGCCTCCTCGCGCAAACCATTTTTTTCCTCTTTTCCCTAATTTTTTCTCCCTTTTTTTGCGAGTGAGTGGGGGAAGGGGGCAGAGACGTATCCTTAGGGATCCCTGCCGCGTGACTCCGTGAGCCAGTGCCGCCAGAAGGAAAGAATTTTCTCCACGGCTTTTCATTAAACACCCGCCACTCACTCTTCTCTCTCCCTCTGTCTCTGTCGTCCTCCCCTCCTCCCCCTCCCCCTCCCTCTCTCTCTCCCTCTCACTACTAGTCGCGCGCGCTTTCGTTTCCCCCTTTTTTTATTTGCATTTATTTCGCGATCATCAAAATATTTCGCCTGCAAGGGAAGGCGGCGTGAAAGGGGGCGCGGGTTGTCGCGGTGAGAGAGAGAGAGAGAGAGAGAGAGAGAGAGAGAGAGAGAGAGAGAGAGGGGGGGGGGGGGGGGAGAGGAGGGGGAGGGGGAAGGGAGGAGGCAGAACAATAAGACTCCTCGGGTTGACTGACTGACTGCGAGGGTCAAGTCGTCGGAACCGCGTCGGCATCGGTGGTCTCTCTCTCTCTCTCTCTCTCTCTCTCTCTCTCTCTCTCTCTCTCTCTCTCTCTCTCTCTCTCTCTCTCTCTCTCTCTCTCTAACATTTTCTTTCAAGAAGAATTTGTTTTTTTTTTTGTTTTCAAAATTTTTTTTTTAATTTTTTTTTTAGAACACGGCTGCGCACGTAGTGACCCGGCTCCTCCAAGCTCCTGGCCGGGCGTGGCAAGGTCGCATCGCATCAGCGGGGAGATGGAAATTGAGGCTTGGATCCCCGCGACGCGAGAGGGAAAATCAGGGAAGGTCAGGTGAGTGAGGGAGGGGGTGGGGGTTGGCAGAGGACGGGGACGGCGCAGCCGCGGCGATATGGCCGCCTGTAAGAGCAAATTAATTAAAAGAGGGCCGTTTTAAGGCATGCCTCGCGAGGTAAGGAAGGGTGATGGAGGATTAAAGGGCGAGATTCGAGGTAAATGAGAGAGAGAGAGAGAGAGAGAGAGAGAGAGAGAGAGAGAGAGAGAGAGAGAGAGAGAGAGCGGCCGTTTAGCGCGAGAGCAACGAATAAAAAGTTTGACATGATGGCTTGGGCGTGCTTCGCCCTCATATCCCACCGCGAGGCTGCGCTACGCTGCGCCACGCTGCGAGGCGCGGTAATACCTTCGGCCGGAAGTGTGCATTCCCCCCCCCCCCCATCTCCCATCCCCTGGCCCCGTCCCCGCCGCCCTCGCCGCCCCCGCCGCCAAGGAGATAAGCAAGACGAAAACACGAAAAGGCGGAGTGCTTTGGCTGTGCTTCGCTCGGCTTTGTCGGTACATCAGTAGCGTCGGCGGGGCGGGGCGGGGAGGGGGGAGGGGGGAGGGGGGGGTCACTCCTTGACGGCCGAGGCACAGCGCGCCGTCGGCATGCGGCGTGGCGGCCTCCAGGCCTCCGAGGTCCTCCCCTCGCCGAGTTATGCAATCTCGGCGACGTCTTGTCCGACGCCGACGCCCTCGTCGCCCCGTTTACGGCGTGTCTCGGTGGCCGCGCGGGTTGCGGCGCTGCCAATTATTGCTGTACTGCGATGGCCGTTGCGGTGTGGGCCCGCGGGTTCGAATTCCGGTTGGTATAAATTTTTCCCGTCGGCGATTTCAATATCCGCCGTGCTGGAGTGCCTGGAGTGCCGGGAGTGCGATTCGGTGGCCGAGGCTGCAGGCAGGGAGGACTGTTCCAGAGCACTACAAGCCACCCCTCCGTTAGTCCGTGTGTGTGTGTGTGTGTGTGTGTGTGCGCGCGTGTGTGTGTGCGTGAGGCAGGTGCGCAGGTGGTGGTCGAGACAGCTGTCCGCACGCAGCAGCTGCGACCAGCCGCCCAGCCCCGTGCCGCGCCGAGATTTAAACTCGACGTGATTTTTCAATTATGGAAAGCAACCTGGTCGGAATAAATAAAGGAAAGAGAGAAGGCGCAGCATGTCGGGTGCTCCTCTCTCTCTCTCTCTCTCTCCCCCGGAGATGCTGCTGGTCGGAGCGAGACTCCGAGCCAGCCCGGACGGCACGGCACCCGTTTCAAACCTCGTGTGTGTGTGTCCAGCGATTATCAATCACTCTTCCTCCGTGACTATGAGCCGTGGTGCCGCCACGCCAGTCGCTGGTCAAGGCTCGTGACACCGGATGGACATGCAGTGGCCAGGCTCGGCCAGCCGCTCGAAGGCTACTAATTGACAGCACAACAGGTGCTCTCTCTCTCTCTCTCTCTCTCTCTCTCTCTCTCTCTCTCTCTCTCTCTCTCCCTCTCCCACACACGTTCCCCAGGGAGAGTGGTGGGCCGCGGTGCGCGCAACCCCCGTGTCGCATTACCATTATTATTTGGACACTTTTAAGGCGATTAATTTTCGCCGTTTTTGTTTATCTGTTTTTTTCTGCGAAGTGTACCAGGTAAATTAAAGGAGAAGGAGGAGGGAGAGAGAGGGAGAAGGGGAGACGGACTAGCAACTCGACTTCCAATATGAGGGAACTGCGTGTGAGTAATGGGAGCCTTATGCGCGGCATGGCGTGCACCAGATGCAGGCTAGGGTACCTAAGCAAGTAAAGGGATTCATCCCAGTTTCGCCCCGCCCCGCCCCGCCCCGCCCCGCCCCGCCCCGCCCCGCCCCGCCCCGCCCCGCCCCGTCCCGACTAACTTCCCCGCTCCAGATCCCTACAACACGCCGTCTCCTCCGCCAAGGCCACGCGGTAAATGTTGTTGGGATGCCGCAGCAGCAGTTTTCGTGAAAAATTCAACAGTCAAATTCAAATGCGTCCGCGTCTAAAAGTTAAGTCAGAAAAATGCGAAGAAAGAGAACTTCCAAATTTAGAACCAAGTGTGCTGACAAATTAAATAGCACACCCTAACGAAAAATAAGTAGCGTACCCAAATGAAAGTGACCACACAAATCGACTAAAAATTAAGAGTTGACTCCAAGGCCATGAAACGTGTTGACAGAGAGTTCTGCTGGCCGCTGACAGTGTGGAGCTGTCGGGGACCCCCCGGCGCACAGTGGGCCAGAAGACCGATGGAGGCGGCCAAAACCCAAGACGCGTTTTGAGCTCCAGAGTCGCTAAACAGGTCTCGAACCGAACGTGCCCGGTGGAAACACCTGTAATTTTTTTCTTAAAGTGCAACTTAATTGTTGAAGGGCTGCGGACAATCCCAAGTCTCGAGATAAATGAAGTAAAACTTCTTGTAGTTTTAACCGCCCCCGGTCATTGGTAGTCAGACGGCGGGAGAGTGCAGTTTCAGGGCAGAAAAACCCGGTACATCGAAGTGATGTTTGTAAGTGAAATAATTTTAGCAGTTGGAATACAGAAATTCCCGTAATATTTTCCACACTCCACCCAAATTTCCGTCCCTTCCCCCTAATCCCAACTGGGTCGCTTTATGTCAATAAGGTTCCTCCCTATAGGGCTTCAATTGCTGCAAAATCCAAATTATTCTTTTCCCATTTGGAAGCCTTTTTGAACCCCGTCGCCTCTCATTCCGTAGTAGATTTTCGTTGTTAAGTTCCCGGACTTGGCCGGTTCCCCGCGGTCCTCGGGTTTGCGACCAAGAATACGAAAACCTTGGCAAGCGGTAAAAGCTGCTGCATCTGTGTTTGATGTAAGGCCTGTTCTCGGGGCACACCGATCGGATGTGCAGTTTAACTGTAGTTTCATTGCAGTTTTACAATAGATTTTTGCACTCGGTCCTTATCCACATCGTTTTTCTTCGCCATTGTCATCCTTTAAGTGACGACGTCCACCGTGTACTTTACCGGCAGAAATTTTTTGAAAAAGGGGTTGGTAAAAATGACAACGTAGCTAATTTCTGTCTCACTGCGGGGGTTTTTTCGTTTCCCCCGGGTAAACAAGACAAAATTGGAAACCCCGTAAGAACCCCCAATCTATTGCAGTCAAATTTACGTTCCCATCTAACGTTGAGTCTGCAAATCTTGAACGCAATACGAAACTGTAACCTAAGAATGATATTTTTTTCAAATTTAATCAACAATCGAAAAAGCACCTTACAAGTATACTGGGTATGTGCAAAAACTAATGCAGAGAAAGCACAGTTGCGACTGAGCTTGGAACGTAAGATAAACTGCAGCCAAAACCCATAAAAATTTTAAAAAGAGAACTACTGTATAGTTTCTCGTCCAACTACGTTTCGGAAATGCAGACAGAAGAAAGTTAAACTTAAAAATTTAAATCATCGTTTGAAGTCCAGTGAGGAGTCTAAACGAAACTTCTTGGAGAGTGCATCCAAACTGCATTCCTAACTACTTTCCGGACTGCGGTCCAAAATATAAAAAAAATCTTTGGTTTTTTTTCTATTTTGACTGCTATAAGAATTGCAGTTTGGGTACTACAGTCTACTACTACAGTCCAGACTAAGTCAAAACTAAACTTCTTTCCACCCGGGTGTGACCCCACCAATGGATTCCTCGTTCGAAGTGCAATCCATTGGTGGGGTCACACGTTCGGTTCGCGTCCCATTTAGCGACTCTGGAGCTCAAAACGCGTCTAGAGTTTTGTCCGCCCCACCGGTCTTCTGGCCCACTGTGTGCCGGCGGCGGCGAGGCGTCGCGACGCGCGGGGCCGAAGCCAGGCCGGAGCGAAGGCTGATGCGCGGCAAGTGAAATAATCGAGAAATGGGAGTCAGTGACGGCAAATCCCGTGAATATTCCCCACACGTCCATCCCACAAATTCCAACCCCTTCCCCTGCTCCGCTCCCACACTGTTTGCTCTCTTTATGTTTCCGAACGACGCGTCTCCCCCTCCCCCCTTTTCAGCAGGGCGCTGCCCTTGGCTGCCTGTCTGCCTGCCTGCCTGCCTGCCTGGCTCGCGTCTTTGTCTTCGTCATGTCATTTTCCGTCCCAGTAGGTGCGAGTAGGCAACCCGGCTCACGTATCACCCGGTCGCGCGAACCCTCGGGTGTCAGTGCAGAACCCAACCAAAAATACGGGAAAACCTTTAGCAACCTTTAAAAAACAGGTGCGTTTGTGTTTGATTGTGAACGCGACCCGCAGAGGTCGTCTGGGCCACGTGACGTCACGTTTTGTCTCGCCACGCGAAGTGCGTCATTATTTTTATATTTGGCCAATATTTTGGGCTGACCCTCCCATGATCGTTTTATTACGCCTCTGTAAAAACCATCCCGGGCATCGGAAGGGAACCGAAAGATCTACAAAAAAATTCTTGCGTCGTGTCTTTGCCGAACTAATTTTAGTTGGACATCAAAAGTTGAAGGTGGGTCAACTACTTGCCGAAGAGAAGTAATAAAGCCACTAACTACTTTTAACTACAGTTTCGCTCTTTGATTTGCTTACCCTTGTCCCTCTCCCGGAACGAGTCCAGCACGTTGTTGTTGTTGCTACTGCTACTGCTGGACTCATCCCTCGTCTCCACGATCGGGTCTGCAACCAATCCGACACCAGTGGCTCAGTCCAACCGCCAAAACCATCTCCGGGATCAAAATGCCTCGCGGTCCGAGCGGAGTGAGAGTCTCTCGGATTCTATCTTTCTTAATGCCTTTTTTTCTTAACTCTTTTTTTTCTTAACTCTTTTTTTTCTTAATTCCTTTTTTTCTTAGTTCCTTTTTTTCTTAATTTCTTTCTTTTCTTTCTTTCTTTCTTTCTTTCTTTCTTTCTTTCTTTCTTTCTTTCTTTCTTTCTTTCTTTCTTTCTCTGACTTGATCCTGTTTCCGGCAGTGCATGCGCGTATGGATTGGGAGGCGACGCTCTGCACGCTCTGCATGCCGACGCGGTCCAAAGTAAACAAACGCCACGCCCCCGGACTTGGCAACTCCTTTCTTCGCTTTGTTTACCTCTCTCCCTCTCCAGAAGTATCTCTCTCTCCTTCTCTCTCACTCTCTCTCTCTCCGAGGCAGTGACTTGAACGCGAGAACCCCTGAATCAGAGAAATTTATTGTCTCACGGAATCAGTACAAGCGCCGCCGACGCCGCCGGTGAGAGTACACTGTTCGAAAGAGGAGCTGGAAAGTTTGCTCGGTTAAAAAAATCAAGTCTGTGGTCCGATTTTTTCCCCCCGTGGCTAAGAAAGATGAGATACGCCACGCCGCCGGCGGGATTTGAGCCTCCGCCTTTCCCGAAGACGCCCCATCGAGGACACAGATTCATTTCCTGGATGTCCATCTGGCAGCTGTGTGTCCAGGCGATGGGAAAGGAAATCCCCCACCCCCTCCCCCGACGGGAGGGTCACGGGGACATCGTGGTAAGCGTGACAGTCCAGGATGGCCTGACACTAACTTGACGGCGGAGCGAGGGGGAAGGGGGGGGATGCAGACGACACACAGCACGCCGCGCGCGCGCTGCTTCGCGATTTCAGTGTCTGTTTAAACATTGAAACAAGGAAAAGTCGGCGGTAAACTGTTGACTGGTCCATTTGAGTCCAGGCGACCGGCCTGGCACTCGGAATGAAAAGGCCACAGAAAGAGAGCGAGAGACAAGATCATCAGAGTCGGACCCGTTCGGCAAAATGGACTAAGATTACAAAGAAGCTTTGGTTGTCATTTTGCAGAGGTCGTGAGAAGGAAAGCGTAGCGGGGTGTGTGAGACTTACCCGTGGTGGGCGGTGGAGGCGGTGGCGAGGTGGTGGGCGTGGTGGACACTCCAAAAGACAGACAGACACACAGGTATATGTAGCAGCGGTGCGAGAACGACATCCCACCTCCTCAGCCTGCCTGCATCAGCAAATCTTACTTCTGCACCCAGCAAAATTGTTTCTTGATTTTTAATTTTCTTGGTTTTTATAAGAAAAAAAATTTTAACACTAGAAATTTTTTCTGCAAGAAAAAAAGGTTTGAATAAAAAGATTTTTTCTTTAAAAAAAAAAAAAGAAGTAATTTTTTTCTATCCAAGAAGTGATTTTTTGGGTGTGGTGAAGCTTTAAAATGAATCATTTAACGCATTTTGGCGTTTTGTACGACTCGACGCAGCAGGAGGTGGGATCGAAGAACACTGAATTCAGATTTAGTTTAGAGTCAGTACGAGAAGGTGATTTTGTTTCTTCATCTTACTGACTCTACAGGTCGAATCGAGTTGAAACATTCCCCAGACAAGGTATTGCCATATTTTTTTTTTGTTAAAATTTGCAGTATTGAATCAAAGTTACAACATTTTTGAATGATCTTTAAAGCACCTTGGCTGCGGAAATTTGCCCAAAACTCGTCCGACGGAAACTTGTGCAAAGTATGAGCGAGAGAGCGAATACGAATACGTGTGACTCGTGAAAACATGCAAGTGAGTACCAACTTAGAATCGTTAGGAAAAGAAACTCCAAGAGACAGCGTATGAAAATGTGCGGCAGTGTGATGACGTCATTTTTCTCAAGCATATTTTCCGCATTTTCCTCTTTCCCGCGCACTTTTCATCGAAGGTCAGAGAAACACGGCGCGGCCGGTTTGGCCGCGGACAACTTCGACGACAAAAAAAAGCGTGGGCGTTTTCGCCACACTCGATACAAAGGGGACGCACAGACTTTTGAAGCAGTTTCAAGGCACACAAGTTCCAAAACTTAGAAGGATGTCAAAAAAAGGTTTGATTCTTTTACAGTGTGGCGGGCCGCTGGCGGCACGCCGCTCACCGCCCCGTGCGCGCCGCGGCGTTAACTCCGCGTCAGATTAGTTCCCAAGAATGCTTTTGGCAGAAGTGAGTTTGAGGTTATTTTCTTTCCGACCGACGCGCGCCGATTGCGGGAAGGAGGGGAAGGGGAGGAAGGAGGGGAAGGGGGGGGGATTCCGAAAAGTCCGCTGCTTTGAAAGGCCGCGCGATGCCTGCGTGGAGATACACACAGTGACGAGACGGGCAACCTCGACTGACCGGAAACGCCTGAGGAAATGGATTTCCAGGAGTACCAACCCCGCGATAAACCTGTGAGAGGGGCGTCACTGAGGCTCCAGCGTTGGCACGCCTGAAAATTCCCACGATGCACCAGTATCGAAAGGGTTGCCAACCTCAGCCTGATGACCAAGCAATATCCCGGACTTTGCTCTGGAGAAGTTGCGTGGTACGCAGGCTGAGGTTGGCAACCCTTTCCACACCAGCGCACCGTGGGAACCGCTTGCCGTTCGACTGCCTCGCTCGTGGAATTTTGAGTCCGCCCTTCGACAATGCCACGCATGCCACTCGAGAATTAACACGCGCCGCGCCGCCAGTGGCCCGCCACCCTCGACACGGCGAAAAATGGTGCATAACATAGCGGGCGCAATTGGATTGGCGGAGTGCGAGTGAGACAGCGGAGTGACAGCGTGCGACAGAGACAGCACTTAAGCTAATTGCCTGCCCGACGCGGCTTGCCTGGCTAGCCTGGCTTGCCTGGGGGGTCAACCCACCGCAGGGAGTGCCAACTTAACAAAAACTTCTCGCAAAACTAGTCTGAGTCTCGAAAACGGGAAGCGTTTGGAGCGTCCAGCAGATAATAATTTCACTGTAAAATTTGATTTTCTGGTCTTTTTTCCTCCGCGTAACGCTTGTAAAACTCGCCGTTCACGAGGTGCTCGAATTTCACCTAGTGGACTGTGTAAGTTGGCAACACAGGGGCCGGAACGGAAAAAAAAGTGCCAGTTCGGAATTTGAACTTGCGAACCGTCGCGCCCGCGAGGTGTATTCAAGTCTCCAGCGTGGTGCGTACATAAAAAGCGAGTTCATTTGGCGAGGTTCGAACCACCGGCCGCGCGGTGCGTCGCACAGTCGCAAAAAGCGCGGCTGTAAAAGGAACAACGTTTCAGGCTATTGACTGCGAGTTACATCTAAAGCGACATTGGAGTCTGGCGGGGCGAGGCCTGGCGAGGCCTCCCGTGACTACGACACCCTCATTCATCAGCAGTCACCCCCTCCCCTCCGCGTCCCCCCTCCCCTCCCCCGCCGCTCGCACCCCTCCCGATCTCCCCTGGACGACGTGACAAGCATGGCGAAGTAACAGTGTTCTGCTACTCAACACATGTCTGTGTGCGCCCCCCCCCCCTCCCCCACCCCGCTAAGCGCGCGTGCCCCCCCCCTCTATTCTTTTCCCCCACATTTCGGTCCAAAATCTCCCACATGCTGGAGGAGAGCTTGGAGGGGCTGAAATTGTATACAAGGGTTTCAATCACTCCCGCGGCGGCAGCCCCCGTGGCGGGGAGGGGAGGGGAGGCCCGCGCTGCGTGCTGGCGGGGCGCTTTCTTAAAGACTTCCACCCCTAGTGCAGTGGCCCCGGCCCAAGGGGAAGAATTACAACTAGAGGTAAGAAGAGCAACAAGGACAACAAGCGGGACGTGGCCAGGGGGTAAGAGGGGGGGGAGTGGGAGGGGGGGGGGCAACTCGTCATTTCCACGCGACCTGATCAGAAATGCATTGGATTTGTGCATTCCACAGCCCGCCTGCTGACGTCTTGGAGGGGGGGAGGGGCATCCACCCCAATGTGAAAACATTGCTTCTGGTGACGCCACGTCACCAGGTGCCGATGTGAGGCGGGCCCGAGGCGGGGGGACCCGATGCGAGGACCCGGGACGGCCAGCATTTTCATCCATAAGTGAGTCCAGTCAGTGTGGGCACGACCGGAGCCCCGGAAACGGTGCCGCGGTCTGCAGTCGCCCGGAAACGACTGACTGCCCAAACAGCCAATTACAAAACGAGTTTTTTTTTCAGGTTTTCTGTCAGGTTCGGAAGCTTGTGTGCCATGAACTGGTCTGTGCGCTGGCCCAGGAGGCCTGTGGGCCGGAAGTGGGTGCTCTCTACTCTGTACAGCGACACAGCGGACTGATTCCGAGAGTCGTTCTCCCCTCTCTCTCTCTCTCAGACTCGCGGGGCGTCCCGCACACAGGTGCGAGAGAGAGGGGACGCCCTCTCGGAGAGAGTCCGCTACGACGTGTGGACGGGGCAGCCAACTCACTGTAGAGTCGAATCACGCCGTCAGTCTCGCCGCGGGGGTTCTTGGCCACGCACTTGTACGTGCCGTAGTCCGCCTGCAAAAAGCATTCTTTTAGAAGTTTTGCAACAAATTGGTTAAAAAAGTTAGTGACCAATTTTTCAAAAAAAAAATGCAAAAAAATTTCAATTTTTTTTTGAGTTTGCGACAAATTGTAAAATAACTGCGAAAAATTTTGAAAAAATTTGACACCACGTAGAAATTTGCTTACTGATAAGTACAATAGATAAGTTAGAATCTTAAAAATAAATCATTGCCAAAAATAAAGAAGATTCTAAATTTAAAATTTAAAATTTGTTTGTTTGTTGTTGACAAGAATGCGCGTGCCTGTTCGACGTTCCGGATGGTGAGCGTCATGTGGCTCTTGTACGGCAGTTCGGCGCGCTGCGTGTCCGCGTGGAACTTGCTGTTCTCGTGGATCATGTCCTTCTCGCGGGTCCAGTAGTTGAGGCTGATGGGGTGCGCCTCGGTGGAGCACTCCAGGGTCACCGTGGAGCCCAGCGGCGCGCCCACCAGCTGGTGGGGGATCTGCAGCATGGGGGGGACTGCAACAAGACAACAAAACGGGGTCGGTTTTCAGTTCAGCGAGCTTTTTCGAACAGTGTACCCACCAGGGTCGGCCAGCAACTCAATTAGGAACGGTGCCAGAACGAGTGTCTGTCTCTGTCGCACCCACGGTCAGGGCCTCGGCCAGTGCGGCCGACCCGCCAGGCCGCCAGGCCGCCGGGGCGAGAAAAAAATATCCCTAGGTCGATTGGTTGGGATGTGCTCGTGGTAGTTTGGGTGCGGTCCTGGCCCTGGCCCTGGTGGGCATGGGCAGGTGGAGGGAGGGGTCCGCCACCACTAACGTCATACCAACCCCCTCCCTCCCCGGCCTTCAGGACGTGCTGATGGCTCCCATTGGCGGCGAAACTTTTCCAAGCGCGACTTGCAGGCGGTCCAACTCACGCACTGCGGCCGCTCACCCCGAGCAACATCCTGGGCGAAATTAAAAGAGGGAATCTTGAAAGAGCGCGGCCTTCTAAGCCATTTTCAATTGGCGCGATCTGTCCAACACGGGTGGAGTGTCATGGGATCGCGTGTGAACGAGCTCCAGGCGAGGCCGCCGCTTGGTCCAGGTTCTGGAGTCTCAGAGGCACGTTCTCCGGGAAGGCTTGCCGGAAGACCTGGCTAACCTGACTGTGGCGGTGCAGGAAACTGGGTTAGGTTGGCTACACATGTCGCCGGAGACTCGCCCGACCCGGCCCGGCCCGCCTGCCCCCTGAGGTGAGAGAGAGTCAAACAGAGGGTGGAGGCCCCCACCCCACCCCACCCCAACCCCTGATGACAGTCTCCCGCAGCCCCTCCGCACGAACGCCGCACTGACGCCGCCGCCGCGCCCCGCCGCGCCCCGCCGCGCCCCGCCGCGCCCCGCCGCGCCCCGCCGCACCCCGCCACGCCCGGCTCGTTCCTTCCTTCGTTCCTTCGTTTGGTAGGGTGGATGGCAGCTGTTAGCATGCAGGAAGAGTACATGATGTGGCTACAGACGGCTCGGCTCGGCTCGGCCACAAGGCGCCCGCCGACGATCCTGGATAATATTGAATCCTGGTCCCTGACGGGGTCCTGACGGGGCCCTGGGGGTCTGGGGGCTAGGCCTGGGGCCCTAGGAGGCCTGGGTGCGGGGTGAAGGCACGGCCCTCGGCGGCAGCCCTGCCTGCTCTGTCTCTCTCGCACCCTTCCGGCACGCCCCGTGAGCGCAAGAGAGACAGAGGCGGCAACCCGGCCTGGCGGGGCAACACTTTCCCCAACAACCGCCATTAAGATCAGCCGGTCGCGTCGGCGTGTCGTCGTCGCTGTCGCGGTGGAGTCAAGTCGCTGCTGCGAATTGCACCGCCCGCGCTCACCCGCAGGCAACAACAACAACAGTATCGATAATTTCGATACATATCGATGTTGTTTCCATCGGCGCGAGGGGCGCGACGTGATGGCACCGCAGCGGGTGGCGCCTTTTTTCCGCTTCCCTTCCGCGTAGTCACACACACACACACAAACACAAACACACAGTGAGGAGAGAGTAACTCACAGTCCACGCTGACACGGATCCGCTTGCTGACGGTGGGTGGCACGCCGTTGGACGCGATGCACAGGTAGTCGCCCATGTCCACGCGGCTGATGCGACTCATCTCCAGCCGGGTGCCCTCCCACTCCGTCACTGCAGTCGCGAGCAAAAAAGAAAACGTTGGTTCAAATACTGAGTCCAAAATTATTTTTCCAAGTTTCTACCATTTATTCAAGTTTTTTCAAAATTTTCCAACTTTTTCAAAAATAAACTTAAATTTTTTCAAAAAAAAAAAAACTTTTTTAAAAGATTTTAAAAAATTCTAATTTTTTCTCATTTTTCTAAGTTTTAACATCATTTTGCTGCTGCTCACCGGCCAGGGTCTTGTTGACGTTGATGGTGGAGTTGTCGTCGCGCTTCCACTTGACCACGGGGTCCGGCGACCCCGAGGCGGCGCACGCCAGCGACACGTTTGCGTTCTCGCGCACGATCACGTCCGATGAGCTCTGCGTGTCGGAGATGCTGGGCGGCACTGGAAAACAAAAAAGGATTCAAAAGACTTCTATGGAAAAAAAATTGATGGTTTCAAAATTTGAAAATCTTTTTTTTTTAAAAAAAAATCTGCCTAAAAATGTTGCCGCAGCCGGACCATTGTTTCTCGTCGAATCGGAATCTCAAAATTGGTAAAGATTTGAAAATTTCCAAGAAAATTGCTGATCGTTGCCGACTGTTTCGGTGGAAAACGGGGCGGAAATTGGGTGACTGAGTGACGGTCCCCCGATTTGCATGGGCCAGCCTGGCAAGGCCTTGCCGGGACGCAGCCCGTACGTCTTTAGCGTCCCCTCTGGAACCAACCCGGTTGTCCAGGAACTGTCCAGCGCGACCCCCCCCCCTCCCCCGCACCTCAGCGCAGCCAGCACGTCCACATGAAAAATGACGTTTTAAATAAGACAGCGTGGCATGCTCCGCCCCCCTCCCCCCTTTCCCAAGGTCCGCGCTGCAACTAAGTCTGTGTCCTACCCCTCCTGTCGGTTCAATCTGTCCCAGCCCCCCCCCCTCTCGCTCCCTCCCTTGCAGATAAATGAAGCGACGTGTCACCGCGTCGCCCGCGCTGACCACAATAAAGAAAGATAGCAGGTATTTGTATCCTTCCAACCAGAGCCGAGTGAGCGAGACAGAAAAGGGGGGGGGGGAGGTCTGGAGGATTATCGGCCGTGTGATTGGCTATCGCCTGGGAAGGAATAACCACTGGCAAAAACTGGATTCTTTTCTAATTTTTTTTAAACAAGTTTTTTTAACAAGCCTATAGTTGAGTGTTTTATTTCCAGTGTGTTCAAAATGAAACTACAAAATTGCTACTGCGACCTGCTTCCTAATGTTCACGGCAGGGCTTGTGGGGGTTTGTTGTTGTTGTTTTTGACGGTTTTTTCCCTCCTCCGCTCCCTGATTGATTTAGTGCCGGTGACACGGAGTGTGTGCGCGCCTTTAGTGGACTGTCGTGTTATCCCCCGCATTACGCGCTATCTCACACTATCCGCGCCAAATCTCTCCCTGGCGTGCTAACCCCGGCACGCCACCCACCCACGCGCGTGACTGCGTTTGTTGTTGTCCTGTTTTTTTTCGAAGCACAGTGTAAAGTGACTACCCGAACGACAGCAAGGTATCAAAATTGCCCACGATGCACCAGGGTTGCCAATCTCAGCCCACCTCTGGAGAAGTTGCCCAGGCTGAGGTTGGCAACCCTTTCGACTCGAGTGCATCGTGGTCATTTTTTGCCCGTTTGTGTGGCAACACTGAAGGCACTGGCGGGACCCGGAAGCGTCTTCTTCTTTCTAATAACAGAGGTTGGTACGCGTGTTCCGGAGGCGGGACGCGGGACGGCCGCCGCGCATTGAGCGATTCGTTTTTACGACGGAATAAAAGGTCCGGCCGCCCTCGTCGCGCCGTCTCTCTCGCACTCGTGGGCCGCGGCGCCGCGGTGCGAGAGAGACAGAGCGACAGCGTTGGAGCGGCTGGGAGAGCGGGCGGAACCTCGCGGAGCACAGCGACGCGCCCACAAGGCACAGACCCTCAATATGTCGTCTGCGATTTTTACGCTCCCAATGGCCAATGGGCCCCACGGGGTGTCTGCCAGCCCCGTCTGGGGTGTCTGACCGCCAGCCGCGTCTGGAGTGTCGGCCAGCAGTGTCTGATATCCACCACAAGGGGAGTCCCCTTCAACCAGCAGAGTGTTGGGTCTGCATTCGTCGCTATGGTGCCTGGCAGGGGCATGTACAAGTTTCAATTGCGACAAAAATATTTTTTTTTAATCATCAAGCTGCTTTCTCTCTCTCTCTCTCTCTCTCTCTCTCTCTCTCTCTCTCTCTCTCTCTCTCTCCCCCCCCCCCCCCCGGCCACTCAGCGGCCGGTCCATGAAAGCTACGCTGGCACAGCAAACGACGCTAAATTCATCCGACGAATCTGCGTTCCGCGAATGCCTGCTCCCTGAATACTCAAAGCAAGCCGGCCGGGACGAGGTAAAGACTTAAAGAGGTAAACGGAGGCAGAGGCGGAGCGGACGCGCTGCTTGAAGGCACTCAGCGCGCCCGGCGCCGCGGACGGCTCTTCATACTTGATGGCCTTGGAGAGGACCTTGTTCCACCTCTCGGCCCAAAGACCAACATGACTAACCTCGTGAGCGCGGACAGCGCGGGGCCGAGTCCTTCGGGCACGCTCTGCCCCATCAGTGCATTAGTGCCCCGGCGCGCGACTCTGGAAGCGGAATCCGGTCTCACCGTCAAACGTGCATCGCGCGCGCATCGCGGCAACGAAGTCAGTCGCAAGCGGGGCACGCTGGTCTCGTTCCGTTCATGAAAGTGGACGTTCTAAATGCGGTTACGAGCGCGCCCAGCGAGCCGGCGGAGCCGGAGACATTGCTGTGACGAGTTGCTGGCGTTCGGGCGCGGCGAGGCGCCTGCGAGGTCCAGGGTAGGCAACCCGCCGGCCCCGCCTGCCCTCGCGTGGCCTACCCGCGGGCGCCTGCGAGGTCCAGGGTAGGCAACCCGCCGGCCCCGCCTGCCCTCGCGTGGCCTACCCGCGGGCGCCCGCGAGGTCCAGGGTAGGCAACCCGCCGGCCCCGCCTGCCCTCGCGTGGCCTACCCGCGGGCGCCTGCGAGGTCCAGGGTAGGCAACCCGCCGGCCCCGCCTGCCCTCGCGCGGCCTACCCGCGGGCGCCTGCGAGGTCCAGGGTAGGCAACCCGCCGGCCCCGCCTGCCCTCGCGTGGCCTACCCGCGGGCGCCTGCGAGGTCCAGGGTAGGCAACCCGCCGGCCCCGCCTGCCCTCGCGCGGCCTACCCGCGGGCGCCTGCGAGGTCCAGGGTAGGCAACCCGCCGGCCCCGCCTGCCCTCGCGTGGCCTACCCGCGGGCGCCTGCGAGGTCCAGGGTAGGCAACCCGCCGGCCCCGCCTGCCCTCGCGTGGCCTACCCGCGGGCGCCTGCGAGGTCCAGGGTAGGCAACCCGCCGGCCCCGCCTGCCCTCGCGTGGCCTACCCGCGGGCGCCTGCGAGGTCCAGGGTAGGCAACCCGCCGGCCCCGCCTGCCCTCGCGCGGCCTACCCGCAGGCGCTTCCCTACCGAAATGGGTCTTCACAGCGTTCCCGTGTCGAAGATGGATCCAGCGCGAAACTAAATGTTTGCCCCCCACCCTTTTTTTTCGAGTGGAGTGGGTTGGCATGTGACTCCGGCGGGACGTTGATGGAGAGAGACGAAGAGAGTAATGCCGCGTCCATAAATTAGGAAACCATTTTTCCGCGGAGGACGCTCGGCGGCGCAGGCAGCGCGGCGGTATGCGTGGAAGAAGGAGCGAGAGAGGGGTGGGGGAAGTGGGAGGTGGAGTGGGAGAGGGGAGGGGGTCGCAGTCGGCTGCACACGCCGCGGCGGCCGCATCAGACTGCCACGTAAATGCATTTCCTCTGTCGCATCCGGATTCCGGATCAGCACCGGATGTGCATGGCGCACCGGTTAGAGGGGTGGAGGCGTCTACAGCGTCCGCCGAGCGCGGCCAGGCTCTAGCCCGAGATAGAGGCAAGTTTCACGCCACACTCATAATTTTGCCAGCGGATTATTTTATTTTAAGGTTAGGTGAGCCTACTGACTTAATAGTTTTTGGCTTTTCTTAAGAATCCTTTTTAATAAAATGGTTGTTAAAAATTGTGTGACCCCACCAATGGATTGCTCTCCGAGGGAGGAATCCGTTGGTGGGGTCACACGTTCGGTTCTGGTCCCATTTAGCGACTCTGGAGCGCAAAACGCGCTTTTGTACTCACCCACGACGTGCAGGTAGCCGATCTGCGTCTTGGCGTTGGCCGTGTTGATCTGGCACATGTAGCGGCCGCGGTCCTCCTTCTGCACGTCCCTGATGTGCAGGAACCAGGTGCGCAGGTTGTCGTGCGACACCGAGATGCGCGGGTTGCGCGTGATGACGTGCGTGTGCACCGTCAGGATGGCCGACTGCTCGAAGTGCATCCACGCCACCTGCGGGCATGGGCAGGTTAGGCTGGGTCACTTACCCCACGACGCACAGTGGGCCAGAAGACCGGTGGAGGCGGCCGAAACTCTAGACGCGTTTTGAGCTCCAGAGTCGCTAAACGGGACTCGAACCGAACGTGTGACCGCACCAATGGATTGCTCTCCGAACGAGGAATCCATTGGTGGAGTCACACGTTCGGTTCGAGTCCCATTTAGCGACTCTGGAGCTCAAAACGCGTCTAGGGTTTAGGCCGCCTCCACCAGTCCTCTGGCCCACTGTGCGGAGGTTACGCCTGCAGCATCAACTGGCTCGTACGCTCCTCGAAAAACACACAGCAGCAGCAGCCGGGTGCAAGCAAAAGCACGACCGTGACGATCCCTGTGCAATTATTCTGTCTCCTGGAAAATTAAAAACAACAACGACGAGTAAAAAAAGAGAAGAAGGCAAGCTCCGGCTGGTTTCGAGAAAGAGGCGGCACCAGGGAGGGGGAGGGGGAAGGGAGGGGGGCAGAGAGGTGTGAATAATGTCGGTTCGGATGCTGACAATATGCTCGGTGCTTCCGGTAACACTGCCGCAAACACACACGCACACACACACGCACACACACACACACACACACACGTGTAGTACGGCGGAATAATATCCGGTGCAGGAAGGAGGGTGACCAAGGCGTGAAGGGACGGAAAGGGATGAAAGAGACGAGAGGGAGAGTTTGTGGAGGCCGTCTGTCTGTGTGTGTGTGTGTGTGTGTGTGTGTGTGTGTGTGTGTGTGTGTGTGTGTGTGTTGTCGGTGTGGGTGGCGTGTAGGTGTTGAGAGGCATTCACCTGTATGCGGGGCCTTCCCCCTCACCCTGCCAGATCCACACACACTCACACAGTCCCTCTCTCTCTCTCACTCACACACTCACTCACACATTGCCACTCCAAGTTCCTTGTGCCGTTTGCTCTGCGATGGTGCTAGCTGTCACTTTCTCCTGCAGGCCGCCCCGCCCCGCCCCGCCCGACGAAGAGTCGACACGTTATTGAGTTATCGCCCCCTCCACCCCTCCTCCCCGGCTGCCCCCGGCCCGGCCCCGCTACGAGACTTTGATCAGTTGTCCCCGCCACAACTTTTATTGGAATAACTTTCAAATGTAAAAAGGCGCGAGGGGCAGTAATGCCGTCCGATCTGCCAAGCAGTGCAAGCGGGCAGCACACTGGGAGTCGCTCTGTCTCTCTTGCACTCGTGCGGCGTGCAGGTGCGAGAGAGACAGAGACAGGGAGGAGACTCTCAGTGTGCCGGGTTCATCGTGCGCGGGGGTTGGCAGGTCTGCATTCGAAAACATGAGGATTTCTGCTGGCGGTGGCCATGATTTCGATGATTCCACGGTGATTGCTTTACTTCTGACGACTCAAAAAAGGCAGCATAAATTGAAGCGAGTTTTGCCTGCTCGTTTATTTACCCGACTTGGGTTGTTCGAAGGTTGTCGCCCTTAAGCTTGCTGCACTCGCCATTTAGTGGATCCAGGATGATTGTAACTTTCATCAAGTTGGCTCGACTCCCTGCAGCCAAGTGCCCACGCACAGTGGGCCAGAAGACCGGTGGAGGCGGCCAAAACTCTAGACGCGTTTTGAGCTCCAGAGTCGCTAAATGGGACTCGAACGGAGCGTGTGACCCCACCAATGGATTGCTCTCCGAACGAGGAATCCATTGGTGGGATCACACGTCCGGTTCGAGTCCCATTTAGCGACTCTGGAGCTAAAAACGCGTCTAGAGTTTTGGCCGCCTTCTGCCGGTCTTCTGGCCCACTGTGCCACGCCCTCCGCCTGCTCCGCCCCACTGGCGGCATGCAGTGTAGGTACGCAGCAAGGCCGAGCAAGGCCGTGGCGCCGCGGCGGGGCAAGTTGCTACAAGTGCAGAGACAAACCATGCAAATGAGACAAACTCCGTGGCCCCGCCCCGCCCCGCCCCCTCGCCCTTCCCGCCTTCCAGATCGCCCGTGATCCGCGTCTGTCAACGCCATGCTCAAGTATTAGTCGTGTATAGGGCGTGCTCATTAGGCTAGTCATACACCACCCCGCCCCGCCCCGCCCCGCCCTTCGTGTCCTCGTGCTTTGAGCCGCCGCCTGCTTCACAATGTGTCATGAGCCCTGGGCGAGGGGCGGGGCGGCGCATGTGAGGTTTTCAAGAGAAGCCAAACTGTAAACAAGGAAAAAAATGAGACCAATACGAGTAAACAGGCCCCTGGCACTGCTTGCTGAGGACCATTCCCGCACCACCATATTCTCTGGTTTCAGTCCCGTTAGAAGCCGTGGGAGCTCCAGACGTCCAGAGACGTGTCCGGAGGCGTACCCACTGGAAGTACGCGTCCCACAGCCTACAGACCACCCCCTCTCTCCTTCCTCGTGGCCCGCCAGGCCCACAAGTTGGCATTAGGCAAAAAGTAGCAGCTACTTCAGCAGCTCGGAAGGCAGCTAGCAGCCAAAGTTGCGCAATTGTAAGTTTTGTTCCACCCCCGGTCCCCGGCTCGAAGCCTCGCCCGAAGCTCCCCCAACGGTCCGGCCTCCCCTACAACAGATGCCACCCCTCCCCCCCCCCTCCCCGCCAGTAATAAGCGCGATGATGTTCGTTTGAAATACGACCCAAATAATTTATAAGTGCTTCTCTGTCGCCCTCAGCACTGTCGCCTTTAAATCCGAAACGGCGGCAGCGCGCCGCGAAGGGGGTGGCTCGCCGCTTATGGCACCCTGATTCCTTCAGGCGGCGGAGTGGCCGCGTGGGTTAAGGTGTCGTTAACGTGCACGCAAGGTGGTTGGTTCAACTCCCCACCAGGTGTTTTTTTTTCTTCGTTCAAATTTGTAGTTAGCACGATGCGATTTATAGAAATTCATTGAACGGTGAGCTGTTGTTCTTTTTATTCCTTCTTAGTTTCAGCTTTGATTCACAACTTGTCCTCAAACACAGCGCAGTGATTTTTTTTTTGCCGGCTCGTCGTCAGCAGTGCGGTGTCCCTGCACCGTCGCCAACCCCTTCCCGGTACCAGATGATCCGGTGCATCCAACACCTGACTGAACCGGATCCACCATTCACTCCAGTGGTCGTGCCAACGAACCAGACCCTCCCCCTCCCCTCCCCCCTCTCCCCTCGTAGGGGCTTCGGTGGGCCGGCGGCAAGTTGTGGGAAGTAGCGGGCTGCGGGAACATGTGTTGAATACGGGAGGAGGGCCAGAGGGGGCCGGAGGAGGCAGGAACAAAAAAAGGGGGAGGGGGAGGGGAGGGCCGCAGCCAAGGAGCAGATTTTCAGCCCGAAGCAGCAGCCACCGCCCCGAGCGGTCCTGGGCGGCCCCGAGCGTGCCGAGTCAGAAAATAAGCAAATTCGGATTCATGATGTTGCCGCCGTGTTGTGCCTGAGGAGCAGGTGGCTGAGGGTGAATAAAGGCCTTCCTGCGAATAAGCAGCGGAATGTGCTGCCAATAGTGCTCCGGCTGCACTCAGCGAGATGTGCCACGCCACCGTAAAGGATTGTGTCGGCTTTGCCTGCTTTGCCGCGCCCCGTCGAAAAAACCGCGCCGCCCGGCAGACAGCCCGTCGCTCTGTCTCTCTCGCACCCCGATGGGACGCCCAGCGAGTGCGACAGAGACAGACAGTCGGCGGTGGAGCCCGCGAACCTACGTCACGGATTTAAAGCTAACATTTCACCCCACTCTAAATGTTGCACAGTGAAGATTCTCCATATTATGGTGAAAATGTTCCATTATTATGGTGGTGCAGCTGACTTCGTAACATACCATTGAGAATTCACTGTACCTTATAGATATTTTGACGAATTTTGTTGGTATGATGGAGAAAATATCCATCATAAAATATGTAGGTGCAGCCTTTCACCGTAAGACATTTTCAGTGCCCTCATCTGAGAAACGACTCTCTCTTTTTTTTTATGTGCACCTTCGGAAATTTTCAAAATGTTTTGTTTACTTTCAAAGGGTACAAAAATACGAATTTCCAACTTCACTTATTCTTTGACGGATTGCAGGGGAAAACGAAGGCTGATGTTTCGAAAGTGCCTCTGCTCTGACGGGCTTGGCTTGGCGGCGACGGGGTCCTGGGACGCCTTGCAGTGTATCCGGACTGCGCGGTCGCAAGGTTGGCTGTCTCGCGCCGGCCTAGCCCGCCTAGCCCGCCTAGCCTCGCACGGGGCGACGAATTCTGCATAATCCGACGCTTTTCCCGGGGCGGCTAAAGCAACACCACCTCAAGTTGCTAAACCACCATAGCCTGAGTGCGTACACGTAAACAAACACGCACACATGCATACCTGCAGACGGAGGCGGATTCCGGACGCTGTCTCTCTCTCCCTCTCCCCTCCCCCCCCTCTCTCTCTCTCTCACTCATGGGGCGTCCTGTAGGAGTGCGAGAGAGACAGAAGCGCCGTTCGGAACCGCTCCGCTGGAGCGTGGTGCTTCGATTCGAGCAAAGCCATACATTACTTTAACCGCTTGTAAATAATGCAGAAAGACAGTCGTATTTGATTTTTTTTTGCTGGATTACTTTTTTAGTCGCCTCCTTCAGTTTGCAGTTTGACACAACCATGAATAAACCAGTTATGATAAATATTGACAATTCACCATGGTAAGGAGAATCTCCAGCCACGGGATTTTAGCGTGTACGCACGCCGGCTACCCCGCTCGGCCGGCCGGCCCGACATACAACAGGCCATCGAGACACAGCTCGGCGATCTGCCGCACGCCGCCGCGCGGCCACAGCTTGGCAGGGTAGGCGTCCCGCCGAAAGAGACAGTGGGGGAGGGAGAGGGGGAAGTGCCATCATCTGGCGTGTTATTAGCCTAAACGTTGGGGCAAGCCAGCGACCACCGCGGCCCATCACAAACGCCAACAGGCGCCTCCCCCCTCCTCCCTTCAATACCCCTTTCTTCGCCCCGCTCCACCCCGTCATATAGGGCCCCCCTCTCTCTCCCTCCCTCCGCCGGGCTGTCTCACTTTCTCTCTTGTTTTATTACGATATCAACTTTGAGCGTAGCCATTAGGCGACCCTGCAACAGACAAGCTGCACGCCTCTGCAGGCCCTGCAGGTACGGTGGGGCCCTCGGAGGGGGAGGGCACAGTGGGCCAGAAGGCCGGTGGAGGCGGCCAAAACCCTAGACGCGTTTTGAGCTCCAGAGTCGCTAAATGGAACTCGAACCGAACGTGTGACCCCACCGATGGATTCCTCGTTCGGAGAGCAATCCATTGGCGGGGTCACACGTTCGGTTCGAGGCCTGTTTAGCGACTCTGGAGCTCAAAACGCGTCTAGAGTTTTGGCCGGCTCTACCGGCCTTCTGGCCCACTGTGGAGGGGGAGGGGTGGACACGGAGAGCGACGTGTCTGGTCGGATGGCGGGGATGGCCTGTCGCACAAGATGTTCCCACGCCTCCAGCTCGGAGAGGGCGTCCCCGCCCCGCCCCGCCCCGCCCCGCCCCGCCCCGGGCGACGTCGCCATCCGGGGATGACATAGTAACGGTGACGGCAGCGCCGCTGTGGCGCGCATCGCGCATCGCAATTAACAGCCAACCAATTTTCCCGCTCCCGCCTCGATTCGTCGTGAATCTCAACAACTTCCACGACTCGACAAGATAAAATAACGAGTTTATTTTCAACGATTCTCAATAGTGCAAAAAACAAAGTTTGAGTCGAAAAAATGGCAAGTTTTTAACTCTTGCTCAATTTCCTGTACAAAAAAATAATCATCGAGTATTTATGGGACCTAAGGGTGCCTAGTGACAAGTAGTTTGAAAACCGCGCCCAGCGTTCGGAGAACGCGCGAAAAAAAAGAAGGAAAAAAAAGAGGGGTAAAAATAAGGAAGCGTGGGGGAACTGGAATTGAAATAGAATTTCCGCCTCACCGGCGATGTCTCCCCCTCCCCCTCCCCCTCCCCCTCCCCTCCCCCTCCTCGACGCGGCGCCGCGCGACCTGGGCCGCGATGAGTTCTTTCGCGGCGCCAAAAGATGTCCCCCTCCCCCCCTCCCCCCTCCACACCGCTGGAGCGTCGCTTCACCCGCCAACTTAGCAGATTTCAAACATTTCAGTAATTAGAAGTATAAGGGCCGTCTGCGGCGTGGAGTGGATGGGCGGGGCGGGGCGGGGCGGGGCGGGGCGGGGCGGGGCGTCCCGGAGGGCGTCCCGAAGGGCTCGCCCCGGATGAGGGGGGGGGGGGGGCCTCGACGCCCATCATATTACACAAGATGGGAAAGAAGCGGATTAAAACAGACGCCTCGCCGCAAACGTCAACTACGTCGACTACGTCAACCCGCGGCGGGGTCGCGCAGCGTGCAGCGCGCAGCAGGTAGCCGGTTGACGCTGTTTTTAACTCTCTCTCTCTCTCTCTCTCTCTCTCTCTCTCTCTTACTCTCTCTCTCTCTCCCCCTGTCGCGGGGCTAATCCCATCGCTTCGCTAATAGAGTGCCTCCAGGACCTCGGGGTAGGCGACCCCTTCCCTCCCTTCCCCTTCCACGCGCTGCAGTGTTGCAGCAAGGACGCCAGCAAGGGCAAGCAGACAGCAGGGTTGCCTCCGACCACGGGTTCGATTCCCGCTGTCTCCTGTTTTCTACTTTCCATTTTTTTTCGCGGCATGATGATACGTTCCTAATGCCTGCAAACTAAAAGTAAAATATACTTTTTTTTAGGTGTGATGCTTACCCGGTAGGCGCCCAGGTCCTTGACGGTGCAGGACAGCTTGATGGAGCGCCCCGCCGGCGCCGTCACGTTTTCGATCTCGTCCACGAAGCTTGGGTCGGGCACCTTCTTGTCGTCCTTGTCCGTGGTGCCGGCTGCAACAAGTGTCCGCTGTTCAAATCAATGCGTTCAGCGGCAGTTCAAAGGGGTGGCCGGGCCGCTGATTAGTAGTGTATGCACTGCCGCACGGTGGGCCAGAAGACCGGTGGAGGCGGCCAAAACTCCAGACGCGTTTCGAGCTCCAGTGTCGCTAAATGGGACTCGAACCGGACGTGTGACCCCACCAATGGATTGCTCTCAGAACGAGGAATCCATCCTCACACGTTCGGTTCGAGTCCCATTTAGCGACACTGGAGCTCGAAACGCGTCTGGAGTTTTGGCCGCCTCCACCGGTCTTCTGGCCCACTGTTCGGCCCCCCCCCCCTTTCCCCGCCCCCTGGCCGGAGGCTAGGCGGTCCTGGGGCCGGCGTGGCGCACTACTTGACGGAGTCTGCGGTTTGCTTCGGGGTGACTGTGGTGGCCGCGGTGGGCCGCGCCGGCCGGGTTGTGGTGTGGTTTGCGGCCCGCCCCGGCCCGCCCCGGCCCGCTTTCAACACGTGCCATTGTGTGTGCGCCCTACTGCAGCCAACTCGGCCCGACTCGGCCGCCGCCCCGAACACACCGTATAATAGGGCGGTGGGGAGCCGCCACCGCGCCCTCTCTGTCTCTCTCGCACCCACGCGCCCCGCTCACTTTCCCCTCGCCCCTACACTCGGCATTCCTGCGTCTTCGCCAAATAATGGCATGATAAAATGACGGGGGCGTGGAAGTCGAAATCGAAGTCGAGAGGTCGACTCCGTGGAGGCTAGGATCGGTTAGGTACGTTCGGTATGAGAAATCCCTCCCCTTTGCTGTGCGATCAGACGAACTTTCCATCGCGGACGTCGAGACAGACACGCGCCACGCGTCGAGTCGGCGAGACACTTTTTTTGCCGGCCCCTTCGTCCGTCCGTCCGTCTGTCTGCCTGTCTGTCTGTCCGCCCGCCCCGGTCGGTCCTCCCGTTTCAATTCTTGGGCGGTGTGCGGTGTCTGGATGGGGCCGCGATGGTGCAAACGCCCTCCGAATGCCCGGCCATAGTCTCCCCCCCCCCTCCTCTGCCCTCCCCCAATCCCCCATCCCGTCGGAGCCAAACGGCTTTCCGATTTCACTCCTGTTTCTTGGGCAATAAATGCCCCCAGGAAGGCCAGCCACACGTTGGTCAGAATATCAAAGGACGGGGAGTGGAGGGGAGGAGAGGGGAGCGTCCCTCTAGGAATGTCGCGCTTGCTTAACGTTTCAATGTGGGCCGGGGCCTTGTATGAGGATCTCGTGACAGACAAAGACCAGTGGTGGTCGTTACTCCGGACTCGTGGAGTGCACTGCCAATTTTCCATCCCATCCGCGCCGCGAAACCTTATGACCTAACCTTGCTGATCATAGGGTCTTGACAAAGCGACGCTTTTGCCAGTCACCCGTCAAATGACCCCACCTTTCCGTGGAGATGCTTGGAGGTATATGAAAAATCAATCGTCGTCTGGGCCAATTTTTGGAGCGGAAAGTTTGGTCCACAGTTAACTATAAGCTGAGAGCCCAACCGTTGGCTTTTTTTTTTTTTTTTTTTTTTTTTTTTTTTTGCAGTGTTTAATCTTCCGTCTCCCTAACCCAGTGGCCGTGATGTGAAGGCCGCTAGACGTCGTCGCTGCGATCGCCGGGATGGCTCCGGCCGTTACGGGTGGCGTGGCCGTCGGCGTGGCTGGCGGCGTGGCTGGCGGCTGGCGGGGCTGTAAGCGCGGAGTGTTTGCAGGAAATATATATCACGCGCTGCAGTCAAATGCCTTCCCGCGCAGACGGGATTTATCGCGAAGGAAAAAGGGTTCGTCCGCAGATCGCGTCTTCTGTCTCTCTCGCACTCACTGGCAGTCCGTAGGGAGCGGCAAGGACAGAGCTACGGCCCTGCACTCGCGGTCGCGGTCCCACAGTGGACCAGAAGACCGGTGGAGGAGGCCGAAACTCTAGACGCGTTTTGAGCTCCAGAGTCGCTAAATGGGCCTCGAACCGAACGTGTGACCCCACCAATGGATTCCTCGTTCTGAGAGCAATCCATTGGTGGGGTCACACGTTCGGTTCAAGTCCTGATTAGCTACTCTGGAGCTAAAAAAGCGTCTAGAGCTTTTGTCACCGCTCAAACTGGCTTCACGCGCGGACGAGGTTCCGCGAGTCGCCGCGAGATGGCGCTCCGCGCGCCGAGCCGCCGCACGCTCGCGCTGGCGACCTAGGTTAACGTTGTAACTATTTTGGAAGCAATTTCCTCCGTATTCCTTTCGATCTCAGCACTTCTTGCAGCAGTGTTCACGCTCCTTGGACAACCAATTGTCACTCCACCCGAGCGCCTAGAAGGGTACCTCGGTTGAGGGACTTCCCGACCGCGGCTAGTGCCCACACGGCTGTTCCCGAGGAGGACAAGCGTTAGTGGCCGTTCCCTCCGAAGGCGTAGCGTCCCTACTTGCTGTTCCCCCAGTCGTCTTCATCGCCTTCGCCGACGACGACGACAGCTTCGACGGCGACATCGGGATCCTGGGCCCTTCAACCCGGGTGGCGACCGTGCCGTCCGTCACGCGGTCACACTTTAGCCGCCTCCTCCTCCGGTCCTCTGGCCGACTGTGGGTCTGCACTCTGGGTCCTGCTTCCGTCGCTCTGCCTCTCTCGCACCCCCACGGCGCGCCCCGTGAGTGCGACAGAGACAGAGCAAATCAGCCTGCTGCATCGGCTGGGAGGGAAAGTGCTGACGCGCTGCGACGCGCTGCCAGTGTAGGCAACGCACGTGCAGAGGTTGCCTGCCCTGCGCAGTGCACACACCCAGTCGGAGGGCGGAGGGAAGAATCACGGCGGATGCCCGGTACACTGAGAATCCAAACGCTATGAGTATAGCGTCAATTGGTGCAATACAGAAGCATTGCACATGAAGTGCAATGCCTCCAAATTCCCATGCATTAGCATAGGGACTTTTCGGGAAGCATTGCACCAAAGGTGCAATATGGCTGTGGCATTGCACGTATGGTGCGATATCACAGCGCATTGCACCATACGTGCTGTACTCATAGCGTTTGGAATCTCAGTGTAAGCAGGCTGAGGTTGGCAACGACACTGGTGCATCATGGAATTGTTTCCCGACTGAAGTGGCACCACTGCGTCACTTTTGGACGTCCGGTTCGGGTTTTCCGCTCCCGGTTTCCAATCCCGGTTCGGCCGAGGGTTTCCCGGTCGCTTTTATCGGCCATGTTCCCTTCGGTCCTCACTTCGGTCCTTCCAACTTAGGCCCGATTGTAAGACATCCCATTCCGGCCGCACTCACTGCCAGTTGGAAACTCTTCGTGCTGCAACTTGCAGCAATAATTCTCCGATCCGGTCTGGTCTTCGCCACGCCGGGCCGCGCCGTGCCGGCCGAGCCGGCCGCGCCATGCCGCGCCGTGCCGTGCCGTGCCGAGCCGCGCCGTGCCGTGCCGGCCATGCCGGCCGCGCCGTGCCGTGCCGAGCCGCGCCGTGCCGTGCCGCGCCATGCCGCGCCGTGCCCAGCCGCGCTCTGCCCGTACGCCGTCCCGCCGGTGTCTCAGACTGTTTCATTGAATAGTGCTAGCGCAAACTTTTCTCATAGTGAATATTAATTGCGACCTCCAACAAACTTAGCAGGAAACGCATCCCGCTTTCCGCAGGGACTTTGCAAAACAGATGGTGTCTGCCAGATTTTTTTTACTATTATTAATTTTGCGATTAATTTTTTTTTACGACGGCTCTATTCTTTTCGATAAATACGAACAAATATACACAAATCTCCAACTGCTTGCACGCACATGGGGGTTCGGAGGCCCGAAATCAAAGTCAGAGCACGAGGTTGTTGGTTTGGTCAATGACTGCTGTTGTATACCTGCGCCCTGCGCTCCCCCACTACCTCCCTCTCTCTATCTCTCTCTCTCTCTCTCTCTCTCTCTCTCTCTCTCTCTCTCTCTCTCTCTCTCTCTCTCTCTCTCTGGTTGAGCCGCCTGACCCTTGAGCTAACCTCCGCTGCTCTCCTACCTCGTGCGCACCCATGTTCTCCAACTCCTCACAGCCCCGAACACACACACACACACACACCACAGACTCACACCCCTTGCAGTGGGCCCTGTGGTGTCGCGTCAAGGGCCTCTCGTCTTGTAAAGAAGGTATAGTTGGCACAGCAGGCTGCCGACGACAACCCACGGAGGGCATTCTTTCCCTCCCCTCTTTTTCCGGGTCCCCCCTCCCCCTCCCCCCCAGCCGAGTACGGACACGGCCGGAATCACATTAACAACCCTGTTTAACTCTTCCTTTCCTTTCCCCAGTCTTTTTCGCCCGCCCCCACCTCGCCGCTACTCTCGAAGAAAACCAATCGTCCCTCCAGCCCCCCCCCCCTGCCGCCCCCAGAGCGACTTGGACTGACACCAGGGCGGCGTGGCGCGGTGGGAACGACCTGGACCTGGCCGCACCGGTACCGACTCCAGACCGACCCAGCCAGACCGCCGCCACCGCCGCCGTGGAGGGAAAAGAATGGACCTGTCGCTGCTTGACAGCCGTTAAGGTACCGACTCTTCGACGCGGACCCACAGTGGGCCAGGAGACCGGTGGCGGCGGTCGAAATCCCGGACGCGTTTTGAGCTGCAGAGTCGCTGACCAGGACTCGAACCGAACGTGTGACCCCACCAATGGATTGCTCTCCGAACGAGGAATCCATTGGTGGGGTCACACGCTCGGCTTGAGTCCCATTTGGCGACTCTGGAGCTCAAGACGCGTCTAGAGTTTCAGCCGCCTCCACCGGCCTTCTGGCAAATCCACTGTGGGTCGCTGCACGCGGCGCGGGGCTTGCGGCCGGCCCCGACGAACCGCGCCCGGCCCAAATTTGCAGTCCAAATGAAGCACTCCGTGTGGCGCTGCGCGCGCTGTGTGTGCCGAAAGCAAGCTGAAAGACGTTAAGTCCCTTGACGCGCTGAAAGGCGCAATAGTGGCCACTTGGGGAGATGTTGCCAATGGACCAATAGGAAGGGGGAGGGAAGGTGTGATGCCGCGTGCTGGGGGTGGGGCGGGGCGGGGCGGGGCGGGGCGGGGTGGAGCGGCCTGCTATTGGAGACGTGCGCCGACTGCAGAGCGCGCCAGAGCCGGTCCGGCAACCGTTAGCCTTTCGGACTGGGACCTTAAGGCCTGAAGGTGACTAACACGAGCACGGCGCGACACGGCGCGACACGCCACCGGAACTGGCACCGGAAACGGATTACCTGCCACGCCGCTACACAGTGGGCCAGAAGACCGGCCTCGGCGGTCAAACCCCAGACGCGTTTTGAGCCCCAGGGTCACTAAACAGGACTCGGACCGAACGTGTGGATTCCTCGTTCGGAGAGCAATCCATTGGTGGGGTCACACGTTCGGTTCGAGTCCCATTTAGCGACTCTGGAGCTCAAAACGCGTCACCCAACAACAACAACCAGGATCTGTCCTTTGTCCCAGTGACCCTATTCAGTTCCACCATCCTGCGGTATGGGCGAAACGCTGTGGCCAATGGTCCAGATAGTTTGGCGGGATATTGGTGTCCGAATCAGTGGGAGGGCGGCACACCCCGCCCCGCCCCGCCCCGCCTTAAGGTGTGCGGCACGCCCCGCCCCGCCTTGGCCGGCCGCCACGGACACATATCCACTCCGTATATCACAAGGCGTTCCGGGAAGCCTCGCCGAAAATTAATTAGACCTGGTCGCCTGCCAATTCCTTTGCCGTTTCAACTTTGGAAGTTTCGTTGGGTGTTGGCCGGGCCCCGCCCAGCCCAGCCGGAGCGGAGGAACCGGGGAACAAACCAGACTGTCTCCGTCGCCCTGTTTTTGTCTCGCAAGGCGTCGCACTAGCGGTTCAGCCAGGCCGATTTTGTTTCAGACGCGTTTTGAGCTCCAGAGTCGCTAAACAGGACTCGAACCTAGCGTGTGACCTCACCAATGGATTGCTCTCCAAACGAGGAATCCACTGGTGGGGTCACACGCTCAGTTCGAGCCCTATTTAGCGACTCTAGAGCTCGAAACGCGTGCGGGATTGGACCGCCTCCACCGGCCTTCTGGCCCACTGTGCACCTCTGCTCCAGCTTAGCCAACATAACCCCTGTCGTTAAACACCGCAAGGACATCGTGTCGCGTCCACTGGAATGCGGCGGCTCCTTTTTTTTTTTTTTGTTTTACGAGTCGCGCCGTGCCGGCCCAGCCTCGCCCAGGTGTCTCCCAAAAGCGTTGCCCCGGAGCTAAGTAGACGCGACGCGACGCAAAACGTGTCCCCGACTTCTTTGCCCCCTCTCTGTTCTTCGACTCTTTTTTTTTCTTCCCTCTCTCTCTTTCTTTGTCTCGCCCCTAGTCTCGCGAAGGAGGGCAGGACGCTGGCCGTTTGCCAGCAGTTACCCCAGCTAATTAAAAGTAGTGGTTCTCGTTAACACACTGGGAGACTTGTTCCGACGCCTGTACGGCTGCAGGGAGCCAATCCCCTTCCGCACGCACAAACTACTGCTCCAAAAACAGTCAAATTAAAAAAAAAATAAGAAAAAAATAGTCGTTACTTGAACCAGGATAGTTTTTAACGACTAATGGATCATAATGCAGACGCACCAAGCGACCAACCGCAGATGTTCGTCGCCAACTCGGACGAACTTGGGCGCCCCGCCCCGCCCCCCCCCGCGTGGCCGGCAGCCGCTCCCACGGCCCTGGCCGGCCAGTAGGCTGGGGCGACTCTCTGTCTCTCTCGCACCCTTAGGGACCGCCCCATAAGCACGAGAGAGAGGCCTGCCGCATCACTAAATGGGACTCGAACCGATCTTGTGACCCCACCGATGGATTCCTCGTTCGGAGAGCAATCCATTGGTGGGGTCACACGTTCGGTTCGAGTCCCATTCAGCGACTCTGCAGCTCAAAACGCGTCCGGAATGATTTGGACCGCCGCCACCGGTCCTCCGGCCCGGCCCACTGTGGGGCGGGAGCCGAGGCGGCGGCGGCGGCGCGCTTAAAGTTTACCGCCGGCAAACTGCGCGCAAATGCACGTAATTCGACCATAACGCGCTTCGCGTAAAACGCCGCGCCCCGCGCTGTAAAAATGAACAAGGCTTACGCTGGCGCGGATATATAGAGGGCTGTGATTGTTTGGGGAGGGGAGGGGGGGGGGGATGACACCTCGACGCGATATCATGTCTCAATATTGCCCGCCGTGCCGTAGGTTGATAAAAGCCTCAATCCTGTCTGGGTGCAGTAGGAAGAAGAAGGAAGAGTGTGAGGAGGAGGAGGAGAAAGAGGAGAAGAAGGTGAAGAAGAAGGTGAAGGAGAAGGTGAAGAAGAAGGCGAAGAAGAAGGCGAAGAAGAAGGTGAAGAAGGAGGAGGAGAAGGAGGGGGAAAAGGAAGAGGAGTGTGAAGGGGTAGGCGTGGGTGTTGGCCCGCAACCTCGGAGCAGACCGGGTCAGTGAATAAAAGTGCGGCGGGCGAGGAGGCAGGGAGGGTCGGCGCGGTGGAGGGGAGGGAGGAGGGGGGAACTGGCGGTGGTTCCGGATGAGCTGTGATAAGGGTTTGCAATAGTTGGCGAGTGCTGTCACTTTGCTGCTCCGCCTCTCTCGCACTTTCTTGTCAGTGCGGACAGCGCGAAACAGGTCTGTGTGTGTGTGTGTGTGTGTGTGTGCAGCTAAGCTTCGCCGGCCAAGGCGGTGAGCGGTCGCTCCTTCTCCGGCTCGTGCTCCAGTGGCTCCAGTCCCTATCCAAGGGCGGCACGCGCACGCCGTCCACGCCACTGCAGAAAGTGAAAAGTGGAAAAAAAAGTACTCACTGTACTCCGGGACGTCCGTCGTGGTCTCCGGGGCCGGCGTCGTGGTCGTGGTCGTCTTCCTCTTGGCTGTCGACAGAAATTTTGGGGTGTCAATGCGTTGCAGTCTCTCTCTCTCTCTCTCTCTCTCTCTCTCTCTCTCTCTTCTCTCTCGTGCTCTCTCTCTCGCACTCGAGGACCACCCCGAATAGGTGCGAGGGAGACAGAGCGGTGGGTGCGACTGTGCTTCCGCCTTCGCGATCTCATCTCTCTAATTATGATTTACGGCGGCCGGAAAAGGCGTCCCCGGTCGAAGGAAGGCGATTATGTGGCCGTTTGTCTCTTTGTTTCTCTCTCTCTCTGTCTCTGTCGCTCCAACGGTCCGACCGCGAACTGCAGTCGTCGTCGATTTGCAGTGCAGCGGCCGATGGTGTGGCCAGCCACTGCGAGGAAAATTCAATAAGGAGGGGAGTGGGGGAGAGAGAGAGAGAGAGAGAGAGAGAGAGAGAGAGAGAGAGAGAGAGAGAGAGAGAGAGAGAGCAGCTCGTAATATTTATTGTATTGAGGCCCACGCGGTGCATGGGAATGAGGTGACGGCTCGTTCGGGGGACTCTAGCCTCTCTAAGTGCCCCCCTCCCCCCCTCTCTCTCTGCGTTGACATGCACGTCGGGTCCGTCACATTACATTGGCTCATTCATTTATCGACCAGGCCGGCCGAGGCCGACCCAGTGCAGCCACAAGCCCACGGGCCCCAGGGATCACTCTGGCAGGCTGCGCTCTCTCCAGGAAACTAAGACCGAGCCGACTGAAACTAAAGAGGTTTCAGTTCTTATTCTGACCCACCGACCTGCCAATTTATTTATTCATACCGAGGCCATCAGATTTTTTTGACATGAGACAGAGCGAGAGAGAGAGAGAGAGAGAGAGAGAGAGAGAGAGAGAGAGCAATTGTCGAACGGTTATAGGGAAGAGTGCACACCTCCCGGCTGCATTATGCGACCCCCCCCCCCTCTCTCTCTCTCTCTCTCCGGAGTGCAACAGCGACCGTCCTTGTCCTCCACCTCTCATTAGCAGCAAAGTGCATTCTACGGTCGCGCGCTGAAGGGTTGCGCCTTCTGTTATCCTTTCCGTCGGCCGGTTTCTCTGTCTGTCTGTCTGTCCGTCTATCTGTCTTTCTCTCTGTCTTTCTGTCTGTCGGTCTGACTCAACGGTCATAGCCTGAGCGGGCTGAAAAAGTCATGCAAGCGACTGCCTGTCCAACAACTGGACCCACCCAAGCATCGCAAAGCGACCTATTAGTACGAAAATGGAGGTTTACTCACAGAGCGAGGACGGCGTGAACATGTAGGCTGCAATCAGAAAGAGACAGGGCGTTAGTGCGTCGGCATCAATCGGCCTTCCAAACACGAACCGCGGGGAAGATAACCCCGTCGACACGACACCGCAAAAAGCGAAAAGCAAAACGCCACCCCATTCAAGTGGAGAGAGAGGCCGCGCCGCACCGCGCGCCGATACACCCAACAGGTCCTATCAGCAAATCTCATTACTCCGTCTGTCTCTCTCGCACTCCGTCACTCCGTCACCCCTCTCTCTCTAATCCTCCATTCCTAAACGCCCCCATTATTTAGTCCGCCGCTCTAAACCTTTTCGCGCCCCGACGCCTCCCCTCGCCGGCCGCATGCCCCCCCCCCTCCACTTCCCCCTCCCCGATCGTCTTTTCGCGCGCCGCCTCCGCAAAGGAGTCTGTCCTTCCTGTTGCAGTGTGCCAGACTCGGCTGCACCACCAAAGCCGCCAAAAGCAGGACCCAGCCGATTACCCCAGAGCCTCCAGCGTTGCGACCCAACTCGCTCGACGCACCGCACAGTGGGCCAGAAGACCGGTGGAGCGGCCATAACCCTAGACGCGTTTTGAGCTCCAGAGTCGCTAATTGGGACTCGAACCGAACGTGTGACCCCACCAATGGATTCCTCGTTCGGAGAGCAATCCATTGGTGCGGTCACGCGTTCAGTTCGAGTCCCATTTAGTGACTCTGGAGCTCAAAACGCGTCCGGGGTTTGGACGGCCTCCACCGTCTTCCGGTCCACTGCGCGGCGCTGCCGGTAAACCGCGCGGCACAATTTGGCCGAGTTACGACTCGCGGGTCGCCTAGGCGCAAGCCAAATGGGGATTCGCTCTCTTTTTCATTAAAGAGGGCGCGTTTTTAGCGGTGTAGTATCACGTTTTGAATCACGGCATAGCGGAACGTGCGCGCCGAGACAGGGGGAGGAGAGAGGGAGACGGAGGGAGAGGGAGGGGGAGAGAGAGGGGCGCAGATCGTCATGATAAGGCTCACCGCGACGGGGCAGGAATCCACCCTCGGAAAAAAAGAGAGTGATTCCACTGAAAATTAGGTTGGATGCCAGTCGGGGACTCAACCACGGCACTGCAAAATTTTGTACCAAGTGGAAAATTCTCCCACCCCAAACGAGAGGCAGAGCTCACAATATACTTCAGCCGGGGATTCCGTACGTGTTGATAAAAGCTGTCTCGCGGTGGGAGAGAGAGAGAGAGGAGGGAAAGGGAAGTGGGAAGGTACAAAAAAAGGGGGAGAGTTGTTGGCACGTGGAAGAGCAGAGGGGTGCTTCACCCTTGGCTCCGGCACTGCAAGCCTTGAAAGTCAATTTACATCCGCCCAGGGCACAATGCCTGGCATGCCGAGGTCGCCGTCAAGGAAGCCGCCGAGGACGCCGTCAAGGAAGCCGCCGGGGACGCCGTCAAGGACACCGCTGAGGTCGCCGTCAAGGAAGCCGCCGAGGACGCCGTCAAGGAAGCCGCCGAGGACGCCGTCAAGGAAGCCGTTGAGGAGGCCGTCAAGGATGCCACCGAGGACGCCGTCAAGGAAGCCGTTGAGGAGGCCGTCAAGGATGCCACCGAGGACGCCGTCAAGGAAGCCGCGACGCAAGACACGGGGGCTGAATTTTGGCGGGTGGAAGCCAGCGGGGTGCTCCCACCCTGGCTCCGGCCCCTGGAAAGCCTTGAAGGTCAGCTTTCCCACCCCCGGGGGGCCCCAGGGCACCTCTTTGACGGGCATGTTGAGGGTCCCCCGTCGACGGGCCGCCGGGAGGGACCCGTAGGAACCGCCGGGGACCCGTTGAAGGACCACCGTTGAGGTCGCCGTTGACGGGCCCCGGGAGGGACCCGTTGACGGGCAGCCGTCGGGACGCCGTTGACGGGCAGCCGTTGAGGAGGCCGTTGAGGGGATGGCCCCCCGGAGGGACCCGTTGACGGGCAGCCGTTGAGGGGCCGTCGAGGATGCCACCGGAGGACCCGTCAAGGAAGCCGTTGAGGGGCACCGGGGGGCCCCCGGAGGGCCCGCAAAGTTGCGGGTTTAGGCACCTCGTGGGGGCTCCTCTTGGGGGCTCGGGGGGCCCACCCTCCAGGCCCCTCGGCGGGCCCCCCGGGGGGCAGCTCGTTGACGGGCACCTCGTTGACGGGCACCTCGTTGACGGGCACCTCGTTGACGGGCACCTCGTTGACGGGCACCTCGTTGACGGGCACCTCGTTCACGGGCACCTCGTTGCCGGGCACCTCGGCTCCGCCGCGGGGCAGTCCGGAGGCACCCGATCCGGGGCGGGTCGGAGCAGCTCGTCAGCGCGTCTGGGACTCTGACCTGACCTACATCCCTCGGCGTCCGCTCTAGGCGTCCGGATTGAGAGACACCCCCTCCCCCAAGCACGTCACAGAGTCCCTATCGGAATCAACCTGCGGTGCGAATTAGCAAGCGGGGCGGCCTCTCCCGCCAGTTCAGCCTCCGACCAGCATCGGAACATCGGAAAGAAAGACCCGTACCGGATCGTTGAACCGACTTAGGTTTACTGGGTGCCCCAGCCATAGTAGCTTCGTTCTCGTTTCCCCCTGGCACTCTTTATTTATTAAATATTAATTTTTCAAAAAACAATTATTTTTTTTTCAGTGTAGTTGGCGGTGCAGAGGCACACGCCGAGCATAAAGGGACCGGCGTCTGTGTGGTTCCGTTGTGGTCGCTGGCTGCCGCCGCCTCACACACTCACTCACACTCTCTCTTTCTCTCTCACACACACACAGCGGCGCGGTGTCCGCTTGAAGACCTCTCGACAGAGCCGCCCTTCCTCCCCTTCCTCCCAGGCTCGTCGCTCGCTCCGACCTTGGCTGCCGTTGGCTGCCGTTGTCGTCTTCCTCGCCATCCGTTCGGCGGGGGGCGGGCCTGGCCTGGCCCGGCCCGGCCCGCTCTGGTCGCCGCACTGGATAATCTATCTTCAAGTCGGAAATTAAAATCGATTTGGGCGTGACGCTCGCGTCCTCGTCTCTCTCCCGTACTTTTTTTCTCTCTCTCTCTCTCTTTCTCTCTCAGTCCATGTTTACAGCTGTACAGTCGCCTCTCTCACTGTACAACTATCGTCGGTCTCTTCTTGAAGCGCGCGCTTTTCCAACGGGAAACATTTTTCCGGAAGATGTTTGGCGCCAAAAATGGTGCAAAACGGATTTTTCACGTCGAATGCAACAAGGCGGTGGCCGGAAGAAGAAGTGTCAACAGGGCGACGGAGAGAGAGAGAGAGAGAGAGAGAGAGAGAGAGAGAGAGAGAGAGAGAGAGAGAGAGAGAGAGAGAGAGAGAGAAATCATCAAGGCTCAGCCCGTGCCCCGACACCTGTTGTGGCGCCTTATAAAACATCCCTTAAGGGTTCCCGAGGAGGGCGGTGCCGGCGGCCCGGGGCACCGCCTGTGCAATAACACGGGAAACGAATCGGATGCTGATTTATAACAAATTGCGGTTTAATCGTTCGCGAGATCCTCCTCGTCGAATAAATAAAAGAGCAAAGTAATCTGCGGAAACCCAGCGAGGGCAGGGGCACCCCCGCAGCCCCGCAGCCCCGCAGCCACAGCCGTTGCAGACACAGAGGGGAGGTGGCCCTGCCTGCCTGGCTGCCTGCCTGCCTGCCTGCCTGTCTGCCTGCCTGCCTGCCTGCCTGCCTGCCTGCCTGCCTGCCTGCCTGCCTGCCTGCCTGCCTGCCTGCTGCCTTCCTGTTCATGCCTCATTCATCCCTGCCGCCTGCCTGCCTGCTTTTCTGCCTGCTGCCGCCTGTCCGCTGGTTCTGCCTGCCTGCCTGCCTGCCGCCTGCCTGCCGCGCTGCCTGCCTGCCTGCCTGCCTTTGCCTGCCTGCCTGCTGCCTGCCGCCTGCCTGCCTGCCTGGGTGCCTGGCTGCCTGCCTGCCTGCCTGCCTGCCTGCCTGCCTGCCTGCCTGCCTGCCTGCCTGCCTGCCTGCCTGCCTGCCCGGCTCTTCCTCGTCCTCACCTACAAATCACTTGATTACATCGCACTATTCATCCCTCGCGCGAATTTTTAAAACTCCTTTTCTGCCGCTCCACCTTAGTTCCCTTGGTTCGCCCCGCCGCCCACGGCAGCACGGTCCCGCTTCACCTACGTCATGCCTTCCGCTTCCGACCCACTTTTTTTTTTTTTTTTTTTTTTCGTTTTTCCGCCGCGGTGTGCGCGCGGGGCACGGAGATGCTCCCCTAACCGACTTCCGTCTCCACTTATTTTCCTATTCATTTCGCATTTCGTTGGTCCGTTCCAGAATTAGAGGGGACCTTGCAAGGCACGAGGACTAAAGAGGAGCAAGCACGGGATTTTTCCTAAAATACAGCCACTAGCTACCGCACAGTGGGCCAGAAGACCGGTGGAGGTGGCCAAAACTCTAGACGCGTTGGTACACGCATTGGTACACATTCGGTTCGAGTCCCATTTAGCGACTTCTGGCCCACTGTGCACCGTTCAAACTGCTCTTTTTTACAGTGGTGCCTCGGAGCCCATCTCGTCCAGGTAATCCGAAAATAAAGCTCGTGCCTACACTGGCGGCAGATGTTGCGACCTACAGTGCAGCAGCCCGGCCCGAGCAAACTTGGACAAAGATGAGCCGCCGTTTTTCAAGACAAGACGCAACAACTGGTGGTGGTTTTGCCGTTTCGAAGAGGCCAAATCTCATCCATCAAACAGACGTTCCCTTGCCAAGGTGCTCGCTGAGCGGCGGCGCCATTCCCACCACTCGCCCCCGATGATGCACTTTAATATTGAAGTGCTCTAAAAAAAGGGAAAATAAGTGTGCTGCTGAAGAAAAACGGCGCGCGTTGGACTTATTAAAAGTTTCTGCGAGGTGCTGTGAGGCCTACCTCGTGCGTGTGTGTGCGTGTGTCTATGTGTGCGTGCTGCATTGTTTACTGAAATAGGTCTAATTTGTGTACCAGATATTGCGCTCCTGTGGCAGGAAGTTAAAACTCCATCAAAATACGACATCATCCATATCAGCGCACGTACCTGAAAAATGAGCACTGTGTCGGTTAATTTTACTTACAGTGCAAAAACAGAAACGCACACACATACACACTCGCGGGTATTTTCTTCCTGCCACACCAAAAACAATTAGTACCTAGAAAGAGATTATGAAAAGACCTTTGATATTTCAGTTCGGTTCTCTTTTCAGTTTTTTTTTTTTTTTTTTTTTGCGTTTGTTTGCGGCTAGAAGTAAGTACGCAGTGAGACGCAGATTTGTTTTCCCCTCCGCTACGCGCGTTCACCGTCAATTTAAATTCCGTCACCCGCCAGCCCCGTCTGTCCCGCCTGCTGCCCTTTAAAAGGAGGCGCTTCTTTCAACGCGCCCTGTCTGCCTGTCTGCCTGTCGGTCTGTCTGTCTGTCTGCCTGTCTGTTCGTCTGTCTGTCTGTCTGTCTGTCCGCCCGCTCCCTTCCGCCCCTGGCCGCAGCTATTGTTAGTGAAATGAAGTTCCTGAGGACGTTTCCCGCCATTCGTCCAGGACCTCGTCCAGGACCTCCAGGACGCCCTTCTCCGCGTTCTCCGCGTTCGAATCGGCCGCTCCGGACGCAGCCGGGGGTCCAAGGAGACGTGGGCCGGCCGACCGCCCCGGGGAACCTTTTTAGGTTAGATAACAGTGGGTCGCCTTGACGGAACAAACCAGTAACCAGTGTGACCACAAAGGTAGCTCAGAATTCCCCCGATGCACCAGTAGGGTTGCCAACCTAACCCTGCCTGCTCGGCAACTTCTAGAAGGCAAACATTGGTAGCCCTGGTTCATCGTGGAAATTTCTACCTTCTTATAGTCTACCAGTCCCAAAATTGGAGAGGGTAAGTCAACTGTTTCGGTTCGTTCGGTGTTTCGAAAGTGAGAGCCCCCTTGCGCCACGGTTGGCTCGACTAGGTCCGAAAGTACTCCCTTGTTCACGCGAGAGAAAATCCTTGCCTGCCTCCAACGCACTCACCTCCAGGATCTGTAACAGACAAGCAAGCATTTAGTGAGGTTGCTTGGCTTTCTAGCGTCAGGGGCCCGCCGCTTGCCGAGTCGGCACACAGTGGGCCAGAAGACCGGTGAAGGCGGTTCAAACTCCAGACGCGTTTCGAGCTCCAGAGTCGCAAAACAGGACTCGAACCGAACGTGTGACCCCACCAATGGATTCCTCGTACGGAGAGCAATCCATTGGTGGGGTCACACGTTCGGTTCGAGTCCTGCTTAGCGACTCTGGAGCTCAAAACGCGTCCGGTTGTTTGACCGCCTCCACCGGTCTTCTGGCCCACAGTGGACGCCTGGCTTGCGTCGACTCGGCAAGAGCGGACCTCTGCAGTCTGTATGCGCAAGAATAGTGAGTGACTTTGCGTTGGTTTCCAAATACCGGCTCGGTTTCTTTCTCTTTCTCTCTTTCGCGTGAATCTCCCCACCTGACTAGACTTTTACCCTCGTCCGCGTCGTGGCAACGCTGTGTTGGCGGGCAGCACACTGATTCCGAGAGTCGTTGTCGTCGCTCTGTCTCTCTCGCACCTCCACGAGACGCCCTATGGGTGCGAGAGAGACAGAGCGACGAACACGACTCGGGGAATCAGTCTGCTGCGCGCGTGGCGGTGGGCACGCCACCGGGCACGCCACTGCCTCATCCGATTGTGGTCTGAGTGGTCGACAGGCCCTCCGACATTATGCGCCATCTGCCGCCAAAACCCGCGCGCGCCCCGCCGCCCCCGCCGCCCCAGCCGCCCCCGCCGCCCCCGCCGCCCCCACCGCCCCCAACTCCCCCGCCACCGCAGCCCGCCACCGGGAGGGGCGACTGGAGAGAGAGAGAGAGAGCCCCAGGCGGGCTTATTCACTAACACACTCGCACGCACTCTCACACTCGCACGCACTCTCTCTCTCTCTCTCTCTCTCTCTCTCTCTCTCTCTCTCTTCTCGTACCGCTGCTGTCAGTCTCTCTCGCACCCAGACCGGGACGCCCCACGAGTGTGAGGGAGACGGATGAGGGCACGACGTAGAGACTGCAGCGCCGAAATTTGGAGAGGGCAGAACGCCGCCGCACAGTGGGCCAGAAGACCAGTGGTGGCGGCCAAAATCCTAGACGCGTTTTGAGTTCCAGAGTCGCTAAATGGGACTCGAACCGAACGTGTGACCCGACCAATGGATTCCTCGTTCGGAGAGAAATCAATTGGTGGGGTCACACGTTCGGTTCGAGTCCCATTTAGCGACTCTGGAGCTCAAAACGCGTCTAGGGTTTTGGCCGCCACCACCGGTCTTCTGGCCCACTGTGCGCCGCGGCGTCCCCGCAGCAGCAGCAGCCGCCAAGGCAGATTGAGATGCACATATCAAATTCCCGCGTCGCGTCGCGCGGAGGGGGAGGGGGAGGGGAGGGGGAGGGGGGAGCCACGCCGCGCGCATTCCCATACGGGGAGGCAGAGGGGCGTCGGGAAGTGAACAGCTGGACACTTCCTCGGGGCTGCTCCGGACCCTGTGTGTGGACTGCGGAACTGTGGAACAGTGGACACGGCGTCGAGCGTGTCGCCTCCCAGTGCCCCCTTCCCCCGGGGATCCGCAAGGCTGCCAGTGGAGCCGCTCGTACCGACCGCGCGCCAGACGCCTTCCAGGTAGGCAAGGCCCGGCGGAGCGACGCAGGCCGGTGCAGCGGGTTGCCCATCCACCGTTCGTCGGGCGCTAGCCGCCGCGCTGTGCGTGCATCCACCCTCTGTCGCGGCCAAAACCCTGGAAGTGTTTTGAGCACCAGAGTCACTGAATGGGACTCGAATCGAACGTGTGACCCCACCAATGGACTCCTCGTTCGGAGAGGAATCCGTTGGTGGGGTCACACGTTCGGTGCGAGTCCCATTTAGCGACTCTGGAGCTCAAAACGCGTCCTGAGTTTTGGCCGCCTCCACCGGTCTTCCGGCCCACTGTCTGTCTGTCGGTCTCCCAAAGGGCCGGGCCGCGTGTAGGGGTGTAAGGGTAGCGACAAGGGAAGGGCGGCTCGGAGTGAATCCCGGAGCTCAGGACATGCTTACAGGTGTCTCGACTTCCCCCTTCCCCCCTACCTTTTCAAACCAAGGGCCCACTCCGAGCCCACTCCCCTCTTCTTTAGACCTCTTGAGGTCTTGAAGGGCCCATCCAGGGGCCCGTCGCACCCGGGGCTCCGCGGAGCCGGTATTCGGCTCGGCTCGGGGTGCTTTTGAGGGTCGCTTCACACAGTGCCCTTCCCCCTCTCTCCCTCCCCCCCCCACTCTCGGTCCACCAATCGCCTGAAAAGTGTGTCACCAGGCGTGCCGTGTAGTCTACGACTAATGCATTACATTTTCTATTCATTTTCAATCAAGTCGTATAAATTTAAAAAAAAATACAAATTAATATTGGAAAAAAAATATGAAGGTGATGGCTAACGCGCTATAACGAGGCTGTAGTAGGTGGACTGGTAAAAGCAGGCAGTCAGGCAGGGGGAGTCGAGTCAGGGTGGGGAGAGGGGAGGCCTTAAAAGTTGAAGAAGGGAGGGAAGATTTCGGATGAAAGAGTTGCCAGAAATCAGCGGTAACTTGTGTTGCCAATTAATGCCCCTTCCTACATGGCGTCTTCTTGCTTGTCGGTTTCCTCTCCTCCTCGTCTTCTTCTTCTGCTTCTTCTTCTCCTTTTGGAGCGTCGGGAGGCTGAAAGGATATGGAATGGCACGGAATTCACTGCTTCGCGGCATCTCAGCGCGCTAGTGCGGGTCTGTTCCGCTGGTTCCGTTTGGGTGCAAAATACCAGCCTACGCTCGGCTCGGCTCGGAAGCATGTTCGTTCATAACGGCACTGAAGCGAGACGGATTGCCATGCACTTATTGGAAGGCAATGACCCGTGAAGCGAACACACTTACAAAGTGGGCCAGCTCCTACCCGATGCCACCTTATTGGCCTTGGCCACGTGCATGCAATCCTGAAAGAGTGGGGCCCCCACTTTTGCTCAAAAAAAATGATAATGCCAGTATTTGGGAGTTTTGTTTTCCTGGCCCCATAATAACGTTGCGCAAAGTGCTTCGCCGGCGTCGGTAATCGAACCCGTCACACACGCGGCCAGAAACAGACCGCCCGCTGACAAGCCTTTGATAAACGACTGTCGCCATCCGGTTGGCACGGCAAGAGGACCGAATTAGGCAAATCCATTCCTCTTCGCTCCATTTCGCTCCTGTCGCTGATTCTCGCTTCTTCCTCTTTTTTTCTCTCCATCTCTCTTTCTCTCCCCGCCGCATTCCTGATTCACCTGAACTCTCCTCGCGGCTCATTCAAAATCTTTGCACAAGGCCGGCAAATGGGCGGGCAAAGTATGCCGAAGTTTTCCTTCCCGCCAAAGTAACAGGTAGCTCCGCGGCCGCGCGGAGGGGGCGGCGGTGTGTACAGTCGCGCAAAGAGGATCGCCTCCTTTGGCGCGCTTTTTTTTTTAAACGACGTGGTTCCCGCGCAAATAACGGCCGCCCGCCGGGAACGAATCGTTTCTTCGCGGGCCGTTCCCGATCGATTCAATTTGAAAATGTAATTTCCGACTTGTGGCAGCTAGTTTACGAGATGCGGCATGCTAAACTCGAACGCTGATGGCTCTTTGATGCATTCCCTTCGTGCAGGGTGCTGCCTCCAAGCCGCGCCTAAGCTTCTTTGCCTTCCCGAAGTGTGCGTACAGCATCAGACGCCCTCGTCTGTCTGTCTGTCTGTCTCCCTCGTCTGTCACACATTCGGGCTTGCACCGACGTTTCGCCGCACTTGTTCGGCTTTCCGCGCTCTTTAGAGGCAGCAGACTGATTCCGGGAGTCGCTCTGTCTCTCTCGGACGTATAAGGGACGCCTCATGCGCGAGGGAGAGGCAGAGCGACGAAAACGGCCCTCGGAATCAGTCTGCAGGGCTGCCAACCCAAAGAGCGGGGTCGACGCCTCTTGGCCGCCAAGGCGACTTAGAGTCGGCGAGCCGCACAAGGCGTGCAGGGAACTTGCGGAAGGGGAATCACGGAATCACAGTGTGCCGTCATTACTCCATGACTTGTTTATCACTTTCAGCGAAACGAATAATGGATTCCCGTGTCTCTTTTTTGCTCCGCTCTGCTCCGCGGCCAAGCGTGCCGTGGTATTTAATAAACAGAGCCAACTTCCGCCGTTTGTCTTGTGGACCACAATTCTTTCACCTCCCCTCCCCCTCCCTCATCTTTTGTCTGTCTGTCTGTCTGTCTGTCTGTCTGTCTGTCTGTCTGTCTGTCTGTCTGTCGTCTCTCTCTCTCTCTCTCTCTCTCTCTCTCTCTCTATCTATCTATCTCTCTCTCTCTCCCTCTCTCTCTCTCCACGCAGCAGGCACGTCGAATCGACGTCGTCCGTCGACCGGCGGCAACTCATGAAGCGAGAAAAAAGGCGGGAACGCGCTGTTATGAAGAGTCGTTGTGTGGCTCCTTGTCAATCCACGACCTCGGAGTCCGGACTAAACTCGTTGCTTCTGGCCTTCCTGGGCTTCCCTTCAAAACCTTACCTAACCTAGCCTAACCTAGCCTAACCTAGCCTAACATAACCTTACCTAACCTAACCTAACCTAACCTAACCCGACTTGCTGCGACGAGGAGGACCCGCCGGCCGCGCCTTGCCGGCCTGCCTGGGATTTCCTGGGAAGCAGCGTCTTCCTAATTTCGGTCCAGATTCGTCTCGCCTCGACCGTAAGTCCCCGCCAGCAGCACTCGCGGTCGTAAAGGGCTGCCGCGCAACAGATTTTAAAACTTTAATAAAAACATGGTCTCTTGAAAAGTCTCTCGCCATGAATTCATTTCGTGTTCCCTCTTTGGGTTCCGACGCCGCCGCGTCTGTGGCCGGGCCGCCTCTGTGGGCTGCCACGGCTGCTGGCTTGGTTAGGGTAGGCTGGCGGCAATGCAGTGGCGGGGCGGGGCGGGGCGGGGCGCAGTCAAGTGTAGGCCAGAGAGCAGAGAAGCATATTTGAGTTGTTCTTGAGGCAGGCGCGCACGTGGATTACGGCCCGGTGTCGCCGCCGAGGGGCGCGGCGCGGCGGGGTGGGGCGGGGCGGGGGCGGGACGATGCTGCCTGCAATGTGTGCGTGCGAGGCGATGCGACCATGCGACCGAGAGCTCGCACAGCACCACAGTGGGCCAGAAGAGCGGTAGAGGCGGCCAAAATCGCAGACGTGTTTTGAGCTCCAGAGTCGCTAAATGGGACTCGAACCGAACGTGTGACCCCACCAATGGACTGCTCTCCGAACGAGGAATCCGTTGGTGGGGTCACAAGTTCGGTTCTAACTTTACTCGAATTTTAATTAACATTAGCGTTTCATTTTCTGTGTTCTTTTATTTTCTCTTGGCCTTCCCCATTTCTGTGGGGTTTGACCGCTGCAATTCGGTAATTGAAACATGGACCGGCGTATTCGAGTCCGGCTGGGGAGGCAGGAGGGCGAGGTAGTGTGGGTTTGGGGGAGGGGGGGGGGGCATAACTGCCAGTCACGTAGCTGGCCGACCCCACCTGGGCCCCGCGCGAGAAATAACAGGATGCCTCGAACGGCACGCAGCCAATCCCAAAATCTCCCCCAAGCTGGTGGCGATGCGGCGACCACGCGCTCGTGGTGGCCGTGGCCATGGTGGTCATGATGGTCATGGTGGCCGTGATGACCACGGCTGGATGCTGGTCGGGATCACCCTGGTGGCCCTGGTGACCGTGGTGGCCGTGGTGGTCAGAGTGGGACGCGTTTTGAGCTCCAGAGTCGCTAAATGGGACTCGAACCGACCGTGTGACCCCACCAATGGATTGCTCTCCGAACGAGGAATCCATTGGTGGGGTCACACGTTCGGTTCGAACCCTGCTGAGCGACTCTGGAGCTCAAAACGCGTCTAGAGTTTTGGCCGCCTCCACCGGTCTTCTGGCCCACAGTGGCCATGGCGGTGACCCCGGTGACCTTGCTGGCCATGGTACACGGCCAGGTGATGGACGAGGACGAGACGAATGGCAGCCCTAGGCTGCGCTAGCGAGGATGCTGCACACTTGCCTCCCCCGCCTAACAGTCCAACTTTTTTCATTATGACGTTCAAAGTCCGAAAGAGATCAGCAGGGCGGGGCGTTGCGGGGCGTTGCGGGCCCGTGCGGGGCATTCCCCCGGCAGTCCGCTCGGCCTGCGAGGCGCTGCGAAGCGCTCTGCCAAGGGCTGCCAAGGGCTGCCAAGGGCCCCACCGAAGGGCGGAGAGCTCGCGAAGGTCACATTTAGGGCAGTTGGACGCAGTTGGACGATCTTGACAATCGCCCCCCAAAACAGAACAGTCTCGAAAATTTCATGTATATAAACCAATCTCAAATTTTCTTCTTAATTTATTTTTTTTTGTACGCTTGAGGCTTTTTTTTTCTTTTACATGGTGGTGGTTGTTCCATTGACATTAAATTCCATTACAGTTGGCGGATTATTTTTCTCGGTAAATTTTGACTGCTTAGGACTCTGCTCAGCTTCCATGCGTTCCTGTCTCTGACTGACGCCGCCGCCCGCCGCCACGTGGAGGCGTGGTGGACGTGTCGAAGGGCTGCCACACTGTGGATCGACGGCCGACGGCGGGCTTCCAACAGCCGGCTTCGATTCGCCGACAACTGCGTTCGTTTTGAACACATGCCTTTGTGTGGCGTGGAGGGGGGCGGCTGTGGCTAAAACTGTGGCTAAGACCGGGGTTTCGAAGAGACCCGCAGCATGGCCGAATTTATCACCTAGAGGTGGATGCGTTTCGGATTTTTATGGGTTACATTAATCTGTTATGCATTCGATAACAAACAGTTTTTAAATGATTTTTTTTTGTTAACGCTTTTTGAACGCGGGCACCCGTCAATAGGAAAACTCGGCGATGTTGCGGACTCTCTTCGGGGGGCTGCAACGGGCACATGCAGGGAGGTGGTGCAGCGCAAAAGGGGGGGGGAAAGGAAGAAACCGGAGCCGGTACTCGAACCCGCGGCTAGTCACTCGAGGCGTGCAGGGCGGGCCCCTAGGGCGGGCGGGGTGCGTCGAGGTCCTCACCGTCGATCTCCTGCACGATGTGCTGCGCGGCGGCGGGCTGCGTCTCGGCCAGGACGACGACGACGACGGCCACGGCGAGCAGCGCCACTGCCGCGGCCCTGGGCACCGCCATGGCGGGCGGAGGCCTGCTGCCGATGCTCGTCGATGTTCGTTCACAGGTCGCGACACTCGATCCTCCCGGGACCGCCAGCAAGCTGCGATGGCGCGCGGTGCATGCTGCCGACACGTGCGCGACGAGGGCGTGACGGACGCGGGGCGGACGCGGGCCGGACGCGGGGTGGACACGCAGCGGGACGCGGGATGCACCGGGATGACACGGAAGACCACAGTGCGGCCGCAGAGAGGCCCTCCGGGACGCCAGGCTGCCGAGGCCTCCCGGCTCCAGAGCGCCCCGCCCCCCGCGGCGCCGCCGAACCCACCCCCGCACCGCCCCCGCACCCTGCCCCCGCGCCGACGGCACGCCGACGCCGTGGCCACTCACGCGCACCCGTCCCCCACTTGTCCTCCGGGCCCAGGCCGGGCCCAGGCCTCGCCGCCGCGGGGGCGGAGCCCATCTCCGGGGCCGCGGGGCGCGGGGGGCGGCGCGGCAGGGCTCGGCGGCCACAGGGGGCGGGGCCCGGCCGCCAAGCCACTCCCACCGCGGTGGACACCAAGCACACCGAGACTACAGACGCCACGGCCCAGACGGGTAGCGAGACTCTACCACGTGCCGAGACTCTACTCTCTGTCCGAGTACTAGTGAGACAATCCAGCGAGGCTTTTGGCCAGCCACGAGTTGATACTGTTTGGCGGGACTGAGTCGGTAGAACTCATTCCTTTGCAGCCAGGCAGAGCGTCTCTGTACCAAGGGATACTCCTCGCGAGCGGCCGGCCACATAGCACTCGCACAGTGGGCCAGAAGACCGGTGGAGGCGGCCAAAACTCCAGACGCGTTTTGAGCTCCAGAGTCGCTAAATGGGACTCGAACCGAACGTGTGACCCCACCAATGGATTGCTCTCCGAACGAGGAATCCATTGGTGGGGTCACACGTTCGGTTCGAGGCCTGTTTAGCGACTCTAGAGCTCAAAACGCGTCTGGAGTTTTGGCCGCCTCCACCGGTCTTCTGGCCTACTGTGACTCGCCTCTTTGAAGACGACTGTCAAAAAGGAAGCAAAATGTAGAACGCGCGGCGCCGTAAGGTGGAAGCACTCGGCCGTGCCGGGGCGATGGCTTTGGCGATGGCTATGGCGAGCGCAGTTCGTTGTAATGACGGAAACTTGGCGCACTTCCGTCGCCGCAAACTGCGCCGTGGTTCATGAGCTTCATGAGGCGTGGTTCATGAGACATTCTGTACTGCCCGGCACGGCACGCCACGCCATGCCGCAGCGCTTCTATGGACTCCCATGGACCGGCACGGCGGCACGAGAGCGCGTCAAATTACGACGCAGGGCTGCCACGTAAGTTGGCCCACATTCCCACGATGAATGCCAGTGTCGAAAGGGTTGCTAACCCAAATTTGACTTATGCCGGAGTCATTGGACGCAACGTCGCCCTGGTTTTGACCATCTCGTTGTCCATGTGGCATTGAGGCCATGCGCAATGTTTCGGCATGTGGGACTTCCCCGCGTTTCGCGTCGCTGAGCGAGTGTCTGGAATGTTCGGGATATTCAGGCGAATCTGTGTGTATCTTGCGTATAAGTGTAAGTGTTACGTTTCCTTTGCAGCAAATCAATTTTATTTTTTTTTTTTGGGGGGGGGGGGGCAAGTGACATGTTTGTTGCAAACGCGCTTTGCCTCCTGAGCGCGTTGTCACAGTCTTGTCGTGGACCAGAGCCTGAGTCAAGCTTTTGTATCACATTGTAATGCCTCCTATATGGCAGAGGTGCTGGGAAGAAAAAACTTTAAAATTGACCAAGGGAAATGATATATTTTGACCTGTTACACTATATCACACAAAGTTCACAAAATCGCACATGGTAGACCATGAACATTACATAAAAGAAATACGACTAACATAGTCACTATGGCAAAAGCATGCAGTTGTAAGTGAAGTTTAACTGTTGCACCACAACTAAATTTACAGTGATTTTTAGGCTCAACATTGTAAAAGAGTTCCTCCAATACATGATCTCACAGGAGAAGGAAGGGCCTAACGATATAAATTCTAATATACCATGCAAGATTGAATTAATTCAAGCAAAACAGTTATTGTCTAAATTTACACTGCATGAAATTTCCACAATGTGCTTTCATAATTGGCATCAATAATTTTATCACTATATCTTAGGACAGATAACGTCTTGAAAAATAAGAGGTAAGGATGCTAAATCCCTGAGAAATCACAGAGTCAACTGGAACCTACTAGTTAAACAAGAGTTGAGTACCATCATGACAGATCCGACAACACCAGAGATATTTCCACACCCAGGGCCAAAGTTTTAGCTGCCTAATGTATTTCACAACGCCTGGGCTCCAATTGACTGTCCTCACAAAACCGCCTATGTTTCCAAAGAAGCAGAGAGACTTTTTCTTACAAAATAATATGAGATGAATGGTTCTACTCCAAACATGAGCAAGGAAGGATTCTTTGATGCCCATCATATAAGAATAGCAAAAGGTTTTGAAAGCAAAAATCATTAAATTAAAATTGAATTAAAACATTAGTGAAAAAAAAAGCATTGTAACATAAAAACGTGTGTAGTTGACAAATTTGCCAGGATAACTACCATTCAAATCTCAAATCAAAAAATACATAGATAACAAACTTATAACAATTCCTTTCAATGATGTTTAGCACCAAGAAGAAAGTAAGAAGAGAGACAGAAATGAAATATAACAAGGGGAATGGTTAGGATTTATCAAGAGGATAGACCTGAACCAAACCCAATCCAAATCCAAATCAAATTTACAATAATTAACCTACCCAAAGAAAATGCACTGTAGCAAATAATAAATTCTTTGCTAAAAGACCTTTGCTCAAGAGGTACTTAATCAAATTTCGTGGAGTTAGATATAAAGACAGCTTTAAATTAATAGATACAGATGTCCTTTTGATAAAAAGTACCACTGTCACCAAATACCTTATCACATATTCTTTAAAACTATGTGCAATTAAGTTTTGCACCAGAAAAAGAGGCACATACCCAAAACAAAAAGACAGATATATGCGACTACAATATGTCAAATTCTGATGGATGAATTCTTTGATTTAATGCAGTTTGTGACAGGCAGAAAGCAGCCAACATAGAGCTAAAGAATCATACCTCACCACTGGATAATAGACCGAACAAGTGCTGCTACTTTGAGATAATCACAAATTCTACCTTGCTCTATGGGGAACCTACACTTAAATTCAACAGTAAGGCCTTAGATGTACCAGTTTACGAGGCAGGCTTAAATTCAGATCACATAAGCCCTTGGACATTGCTCAAGTCCACACCAAACAGTAATGGCATGTTTATGATAAGGTTGTCAGTGAAAGCAATGAAATGCAGCCTCTAAAATTTGATAATGCAGAAATATACACCCAAAGACTGCAGGCAAAAGTTTTACAAATCTCACTATTTGGCCCTAAAATTTGAACATAAAAACACATTGCTCTGGAGGAAACCATAGATGAAATTCCTTACTTCTTAGATTTGGAAAGCTAAAACATCATTCCTTGATGGTGATTCAAAAATACAACTTTAAGAACATATACAAAATATGGCTATACAATATAATTAACCATCTAGCATGACTAAAAGCAGATCACAATTTCAAAATTTTGACAGAGATCTTAGATTTAAACCACTTAAGCGTTTCCAAAAAAAAATGGGTGGAGGGGGCATCAAAGAACCCAAAGTACTCTTTTCTAGTAATTGATAAAATATTCATAGGTCTCAATATCATGGAAACCTTTGTAGAAGAAAGCATCTAGTATGTTTTGTAACACATATAGAAGGCCACCTTTAATGAGAAGGTCACATTGCAAAGTAGGCTGGATGAGCTAAATAATAATCTTAAACTATTGTGTGCATGGGTTGACATTTTAACTTCTTTCAAAGCTTTATGATTAGTCAAGCTTTGTTTGAGGCACAAGAAATAAATAAAGTTACGCAATGTCGTCTATCAGAAAGAAAATTTGACTGTGTCATGAGAGACTTGTAACTACAACTTGTTGAATTTCTTTGGTCACAAATCTGATGGACTCCTCCCTTTGGTCTGAGACATTTGTATTTTTGAGGAAAGTAAGCACCTCTAAAACTAGACTGCACTTGAGGCTCTGAGCTCTCAGCCGAGTAATTATATGCAAATGACCACAATGGCAAAGACTATGACATGACATCCAAACCACCTGGATCAGTCTTGAGTTAAGTTACAGTAGCTTAAAAAAAATGGTCATGGTACTGAGACAAAAGGAAAGAAAATTAGAACAACTATTCCACACAAGGGAAATCCAATCTACTTACAGTATTGGCCTACACACTGTGACAATAGTTAACTAAGCTGAGCTGCGATAAAGTACTGAACAGAATTGTCCAAGACTAAGTGAGCATTGATTGCAATTGCAACAGAAAGCCTTCAGAGTAGATGGTAACATTTACATGACATAACTTAGGACACCTCAAATGGAATAAGTTGAAGATTTTGATGAACAGAAAACTGGTCCAAGTACATTCAAAAAAATTTATGTAAACAAATTAATGTTTAAATTAATTAATACTAAGCAACATTGCAATTAATCTTCCTCATAAAATCTAACAATTATACAAAAAACTCGAATAAAATACAAGAGTCTATTTCTAATCAATTCAGCACAGCACGAATCAACCACATTCAAATCACAAGACAATCATCTACAAAGGTACATTAATGATTCAAACACCACCACACAATCACAAGATTTTTGAATATCATTAAACTTTAAAATAATATGAAACACGAATTAAACTCCGCAAACATATCACTAGTATCGCAACTATGAAACAGCTCAACACAAAACAACAATTGCAACAAATGGGATGTAGATAAAAAAATATTGAATTACTTGCAGTGAGAAACATTGATGCAGAAAATGGAATAAAAATGTATCTACAGTACAAATCAAGAACAGCAACAAAGTTAAACAAGTTTGACAATGACTTCAACTGGCGCGATATAGAAATACATTACATCCCTACTTGATTGAAAATATAAAACTACTTATCATTAAACAGTTAAAACTTACAGTGCAACTTAAATATGACAAGAAAACTTCCAATGGCCCTTTAAAATATTGACGCTTAAAGTTCTAAGCTATCTATACAAAAGCACAAAATGCATAAAACTTTCAAAAACGGTGATGCAAGCTGACGTGCAGGAGATTTTACACATGTTAAAAAGAGTGACGACAAATTAGAATCCAAAGCGGACCGGGCAGCCGTTTGACCAATGGCCACGTTGATTGCAGTAGAAGCACACGCCGTAGCCCCCGTAGTAGCGACCAGGGATGCCGGGGACAATCGGGGGCTCTGCTTCATTCTCGTCGTCATCGTACTCCCCGTAGTCTGACTCGAACCAGGTCCTCTCCGAGGTGGACGAGAAAGCACCAGTGCTGGAGTAGCTGCTCGTCGAGTCACTGAAAGCAGTAGAGGCACTATTACAAAAAGGAAGTACATCGGCATCCTCCAAAAGGCGAACAGAAAACGCACCTTGGCTCCTCGGTGGAACTGCCGGGTGAGCTTGCCGAGGAGACCAGCCCGGGCGTGCGGCCTAGGTGCCTGCGGCGCGCCCTGCCGTCATGAGGCTGCCCCTGGCCCTGCTGGGAGCCCTGCTGTCCCTGGGAGCTGCCCGGAAGGGCCTGAGGACCCCCCTGGGAGCCCTGGGGGCCCAGGCCCAGCCCCAGGCCCTGGGAGCTGCCCTGCGAGCTCCCCGCCATGCCCTGCAGGCCCTGCAGGCTGGAGGCAGACAGGGCCAGGGAGTGCGGCCCGTGCCCAGATAGGGCCAGGGGCGCGCGGGGAGGCGGCGGGGTGGTGTGGCGGGGGGTGGGCGCCGCCAGGGAGGGAAGGCCGTGGTGGTAGGGCGGCTGGGACAGCGGGGGGTGGACGTGCGCGTGGGGCGGGTGGCTGTGGGCGCTGTGCGCGCTGTGGGCGTGGGGAGCGTGGTTGTGGACGTGGTTGTGCGTGTGGCTGTGGGCGTGCGGGGTGTGGCTGTGGGCGTGCGGCGGGTAGTGGGCCACGAAGCCGTTGTGGTGGTGATGGTGGTGGTGGTGGTGGTGGGGAGGGGGCAGGGGCTGCCAGTGGTTGTTGTTGTAGTTGTAGTTGTGGTGCCGCGACCGCCCCGAGCTGCTGCTGCTGCCGCCGCCGTCCTGCCTGCTGCTGGACGAGGAGGACGACGCGGAGGAGCTGGCCGCCACTGCTGCCGCCGCCTCCAGCGCTGCGGGGCAAAGTCACACAACCAAGGTGTCACAACCGCCAACCAAGCCTTGCTTCAAAGTCATTTTCAAAGTAACATACCAGCTCGCTCCTCAAGAACTTCCTTGTGCCTTTGTTGAAGCTCCAGGCTTAGCTGGCCCACCATGGTGCTGATGAGGGAGTCCAAAGTTACAGAGCGATGCTCTGCTGTGATAGGCATGCGACACATGGGGCATTCTGCACGCTGCTTCTTCCATTCACCAAGGCAATGTTTGCAAAAACTGTGGGCACAGTTGATTGTGACAGCCTGAAAAGAAGAGGTGAAAAATTACTTTCAGTCCTACACAGGTCAACGATTTCATATCGTGCTGAATCTGTAAAAAATTAGATGAACACTTACGGCTACAAGGAGCTCATTGCAAATGCTGCATTGAAGTTCTTCTTCCACAAGAGATCCAATGTTTTTGAGCTTCAGCAGGGCGAGATCCTTTTCCTTCTCTTCTTTCTTCTTGTCCTCCTCTTCTGGCGATGCTTCCACTTCCAGAGTTTCACTCTTTTCAGTGATGATTTGAGAAGGCCCTTCGTCTTCGTCTTCGTCCGCGATTTCAGGTTCCACTTCCTCATTGGCTTCCGATGTCTGGTTTCTTGAACTTTCTTGGATTCCTGAAGCATGTTCTGATAAAATTTCCACATTCTGAGGAGTAAGAACATCACTTGAGGAGGTGATTTCTGAATCTTCTTCCCCATTAGATTGAGCTTGCTCATTAGACTCTGCAATCTCAGATTGTTGGGATGTAGGCAGGCCACGCTCAGTTACAGTAGAGCTGCCTGCCACCTCCCTGCAAATCAGAAAAACTAAGTCAGCAAAATAATAGAACATCATAATTCACATCGTTCCCTCTTATGATGCATGTGGGACGATCACATTTCCTCAGGTGCATAAAACATATACACATTTAATTTTCCACTTTCCAATAATATTTTTAAAGAAAGTCCTGGTTATCTAATTTTCCAATATACAGGTCCACCCATGCATCCTAAAAGAAAACACATGACTGATCCTCTTTACATGATTCACATATGGGATTAACTATTGAACCTCCAGTGGTTATTCAGCTATTCCCCTCCTCAGGCTTAATTCAAAAGACTGACGATGTGGGTCGCAGGATGGGCCCCAAAGCTGATCTCCCATCTTGGAACTTGAAGGGAACGCAGTGCAAGACATGCTAGTCTTCCCAATGTTCCGCATGTATTTATCATGTTCTCAATAATATTACATGTCCTTTCCTCTATATTTGAAATAGATGTGTGTTTTGTTATCAGGACTACGTGTCCACTCTGCACCTAACGGCAGGATCTAGTCCATGAGTATTAGTCTAAAAAGCAAAGGTAATAGGACTACGCGTTTATACACATATAAAGGGCAGTTTTGTAAAACCTTCTCACGGTAGAATCTGATGTGCTCGGGAACGACACAGTCATTAAGACTGCCTTGCCGAATTTAATGCCGCCGCGACCCTTAGCGGACACTGTCGATGCCCACACGCCAAACGGAACTTGAACTTCACGCTGTCGGAATAGTTGATCTTGGCTTGTTAACCGAAGGCCTCCAGCTGCTCCTCGAACACAGGTAAGTAACCATAAACATATAACCATAAACTTATTGGACAGAACTCTGAAGGGTTGCCTCAACAGAGGGATGTGCTTCAATACAGTGCCATACAATGGGACAACAGAACCCCATCAGCACATCATTGGTAGGCCAGGCAGTGTACATGGTTAAGCAGTTGGATTGACAGAGTTGCCTAGTGGTATTTAGGAAATGTGTAAGACACGCAGACGTAAACCGGCCTAAAGGTTTCCCACGCACATGTAACAATTTAGTTGCAGCTATTTAAAATTGGCGTTTTGGTTTCACTTCACTATCAAGGGAACGCGTGTTCAAAGATGGCAACTCTACACTCCAGCTAAATGCACAACATGCGCACCCTTGTTGGTAGGGCCCCGTATATTTCGCGTGTACCTCCCTCTCTATCCTTGGGGAAGTGTCGAGCTGAGCCCTATTTGAAAAGCCTGATAGATCCCGATATCATGGTGATAAGGCTGAGAAGGCTACAAAGCACGGAGCGAAATACACGCAGCTCTATCCACATGGCCTACGTTCACTACCTGGTGGGGCATTCTTCTTGCAAACAAAACATAGCAGTTTCAATGAAATAGAATCACAGATACATGAAGGAAACATTTTACAAAATTTCTGGCAGAGTGTTCAGAATAAATATTATCATTGACCATTACAAATTATTTGGAAGTTTGACAAAACTCTTGTCCCTGGCAACAGGGAATGCCAGATTTTACGAGATGACTTTACAATACAAACACAATGGATGAGAAGTTTAACGAAATTTATAATAAAGACCCAAAAGATGTTCTGAAGGGCCTACACAATGTCACACGTTTCTTTTCTTGCAAGTTACGGTATGAAATGATTCATTATCATGATAGCAAACGAAAAGTCCTTCTATCATTACCTAAAGTGAGGTAAGAAAATTGATTTCACGTTGTTTACTGAGGATGGACGACATCTTCACCAACCCAAGTATCCTGGAACCCCTCCTTGTTTTCTCATGAAGAATTTAACACATAAATCTAAGGATGCGACCAGGTGACCTGACCCACAGGACATAGGACACCCTGCGCGAGCAATCAGCAGAAAAGGACACAAGAGGAACTAAATTTCTACTTGCACCATACAAGTCAAGCCGTTCCACAAATATGCATGTGCGAGACAATTTTTTTACTGAGAGTCTCAAAATAATTAAGCACACAACACAACATTAACTTATTCTTTTGCTTTAAGTCAGAAACTTGGGAGAAGTGATGATGATGACAACAAAAATCATTTTCCTTGTAAAATCATCAGGTGCATTTATCTTACCCACATTATTGAGTTTCATTTGACTGCACTTAATAAGGAATTTCTGTTGCATAGCAATAAGGACAATCAAGTCCTAGTAAGGCTAAGAAACTCTACAAAGCCCTTAAGTGCTGGGCTTGTTACATGCACACATTTTATTTGTGACTACGAGTTAATCATACTGGAAATGGAATGAAAAACAAATATTTTGCATATTAAGATTCAGTCACCAGTGTTCTAGCATACAAAGGAATAAACAGGAACAAAATTGTCACACATTCAGGTGTGATATTGTGTCAACTACAAGCTGACAGCCTTCCTTCCCCATGATTTAAAAAATAAAAGGAAAGAAAAACACATAAAATCAGAACTTCTTGTTTTTGTATTCAAGTAAGTTACATAAACCTAATTTGAAATAATTTAAATTACAATCCTGAGATTCACAACAAAAACACGAATCTTCATGCAATGGACATTAAAAGTTAAGACAAACTTCTAATTTGGGCACTGTAAAACATATATCATATGCCACTTATGTTTTCAAGTCAAATAAGTTACTGTCCATTCTTAATCTCACTTCAAAATGTTTTAAAAACCTGATCACAATTAAAAAAAAAAGTTTTAAAGGTTTTTTAAAAATTCAGTATTTTTCCTCAACATAAGGAGGTATATCACAGAAAACTCAGTCTTAAAGAAACACGCCCCAATCTCGAGATCTGCCTGTGTAAAACAAGAAATATAAGTAATTTGTTGAATAAATAATGCAGGTGAAAAATGTCCCCCAGCCTTGCCTTGAGTTCAAGTGGCTGTATGATTTTCTTATGGGACTCAATAAAATGCTATTTACTGAAGGACTTCAATACCTCAATTTTCAGTCAAGAGATTGACAGAAAACAAACTTGAACTAGACAGGAATGGATTTGAATCCACCGCTTGCGGTGAGGTCACTTGATACTTTTCCATTCAGTTAGTCATACAAGTCAAGCAAGTTCTTCTGACTAGGATCAGGATCACCAAACTGAACTACACATTGGAGACAAGCGCTAACCTGGCAGGAGCGCAGGTGTGCAGCTGCACGTCCACCAAGTGGCTGGCCTCTTGATTTAGTGAACCTACACAAGAGAAGGTAAACATTAAACACAAGATAAACCCACCATACTCGCAACTCATTGTAGGTTCTGAATAGCACTGCTTACCTATTGCAGCATACAGCTGTTCAAGGAGAGTCTGTCTTTGTCGGTCCAAGCTGCCCAGGCGGCGGCGGATATCCTAGAGTGACACAACATTGGCTTTTACTCCCATTTTTTGGTAAGATAAATATGACAGTCCACTTGACTTTGGGAGATCAAGAATACTAACCGAGACATTACTAAGGTCCAATTGTCCGCCAGATGTAGAAGGGGAGGCCATTGAAACTGAGCTGCTCATTTCAGAACTATTTGATGAGGACCTTCAAACAGAATAACAAAGAAATTAACATGGAAGGAATGGCAAGTAAAATACAACTTGTGGATTTGATTTTCATTGCATTCATTACCCTTCAAGGGACATTTTCTGTCTCAGTTGGAACAGTTCTAAGCGAACTCTCTCAAGCTTCCTTTCGTTCTTCTCTCTCACTGCCTGTTCCTCGGCCTTTTCATTGGCATCAATTAGTTCAAGGCGTTCAGCTAGGTGACGCTGTTCTTCCACAATTTGATGACGTTCTTCATTGCACCTGATGAAAAAAGGACAACAATGCAATTAGCAAAATTCCTTGGAAATATTTTTAAAATGTGAGTGTTTTGTGGCAATGTTAACTTATAGTAGCTCAGTCACCTCTTGTGAAGTATTTGGAGTTGATGGAGCAACTGATTGACTAGGGAGGCTTCCTTCTTCTCAAGACGGTCCAGTTCCTTCAGTTGTAAATCATCAGATCCTTGCATGTTTGACGCTTGATACTGACGCTTCACTGGTGATGGGCCCATTTGTCTCACACTCGTAGGTTCTGATAATGTTCGCTTGGTGGGCAGAGGGCCTGGTCTGCTCTGAGATGAGCTGCTTCCACTAGCTTCTGACATATTTACTGAGGAGGCACTTGAAGTGCTGTCAGTTACTGATCCACTCACACCTCTTTTACAAATCCATGATTCACGAAGGCTCCCTTCTACCTGAGGAGACTCCATGTGCCCCACCGACAAACTAAAAACAAACAAGAAAGAAAAGGACAGTTTACAAGACAACCCAGTATACATGGAATGAGGACATTTCACAAAGTTCACAGTGGATACACTACCTAGAATGTCTCCATGCAAGTGTCTGGTTGATGGTAAATACGGTTTCCAATTTAGAATGTGGCCAAAAAATGATGAGACGTTCACTCGTACGCGAATTCTATAAACATAAAGAAAAGAAAATTGTTAAAGAAACAATTTTTGCAAATTCCGCAATTTTATCACCGCCATGTTTGGTGTCACTTCACTGTTGGTCTCAAGCACAAAGCTGCTGCAGGAGTGAGGTTACTTTGAGACTGTACGATATAAAAACGATTGATTTCAGGAAAGGTTTAACAAAAAAACAAGAAGCAAGAGAAGGAAACGAAGTTTGCGAACAGACAAAACACATCGACTGACATTTGAGAAAACTGGAACCCCATCCGAATTTTTCTTGACAACAAAGTACCACTCCGAAGTCGAGGCAGTGAAATACGGGAAAAACGGTCTGTTTATCGAGAACTTTCCACGCTGGGTCACGATTAGGGGCAAAAACTTCCGTGAAAACTCGCCTGACGTCACGTTCTTGTGATCGCGAAGATATGACGGTGCCAGACAGTTTCACATCCCAGTTTCCTTTGTCTCCTAGAATGTGCGCCTCGCTCCCCTCAAGGCTAACAGTGTACCAGGCACAGGACACAAGGAAATCAATCCGCAACCAGCTGGGCCACAGACGGCCGAAGCGTCCAAAATGGGGAGAGACACTCCCTTCAACTGCCAGCGCGACCAAACTTAACATTTTGATGCCAAATGTCGGTACGCACTTTTGTTTACAGACTTCCCAACAGCTGTTTAGGATGAATCACCAACACACATGGAACCATGGGAGGCACCAGCAGACGCTTTCGTCGCCAAACCACAACAAAGCTTTTGGTCGCAGTCACGCCATCTCACAGCAACGGCGCGGTCACCAGGACACGGATTCACGAGGGTGGCACTGAAAATGCATGTAGACTGCACACCTACCTGCAATTCTCTCTTCTCTAATCGACAGATGCTTTTTTCTTGTCCTGCGAAATACACTCGACTGTGATCACACACCCAAGGCTCAAGGCTTTTCTCCTCAAGTCAACTTCCATTGAGGCCGCCTTCAAAAGACGAAAAAAATACAAAATCGTAACAGGTAGGCGAACTAAGTTGTGAAAATGAGATTAAAATGGTTTCTGTGGTTTTGGGTGACTTTCTTGATTTAATTCCCTCGATGCGAAGTCAACATAGTTGTGCACTTGACTCATTCGATGCCCTACTTCTGGCTCAGTGGTGGGGGCGGGGGAGGCCACAAAAGAGGAAGGACACCACTGGCGAACGCCATTCCCGGACGGGCCCCGCTCTCGGCCCGCAGCGCAAAGCAGCGAATCCTGCGGAAAACAAGTTTCTGTCTCCCTCACCCCGATCCTGCCCACGAGTGCAACGGAGATGGCTGTCGCCAGGGACGTTTGGTGGCGCGGCCCTGCGCCTCGGCAGTGCAGGAGCTGGTTGGGCTGCCTATGCGCAAGGCGCACCAGTCGTCGCTCTGTCTCTCTCGCGCTCTCGAGAATCAGGATCGCAGGAGCCCTAAATTCTGTTCACGCCGATTTTTTTCGACCTAATTGAAAGATCTGGCCCGGGGAGGCATCGCAAATTTCGCCTAGATTTTTTTTTTTTTTGGTACGGGCTTTGAAATTTAACATGTCACCTTGCGGGAACTCCGGGTAGGCAGCCGCACGATACAGATCCCCTCAGACACCCAAGGCACCCATCAGGGAGCGGAATGGAGCAAATTCTGCTGCGTGCACCAGACGCCCCGTCGGACATTCCCCGCCCGTACTGCATATAGCCTAGCCAACGGTAGTGCAGATAGTGTGTCTGGCCTGTGTAAACAACAACAAAAACGTCGAAGGCGTTAAAAGATAATTACACATTTTTGTGTCTGAAATCTTTCATGAATTCTGGTTTTACTTGAATCTTAGGAAAACTTCAACATGGATGTGTCTGACAATAGCAATGATGCCACCTATGGGAGATCAACCTTTGAGGTTAGTTTTCTATGATCAGAAATATACTTGTTATTATCATTTGCATTATTAAATATATTCTGTAATTTTTCCCCATTTTTGCTACAGGAGCAGCATAATAGGATGCTCAGGAAAAAGTTTGACCGCTTTGACTCAACTACTAAATTTATGGAAAATTTTAATCCTGAGCAAAGTAATCGTGAAAGGCGAAAACTGAACAGAAAGATCCAGTATGACGGGTAAGTGTTCTGTTTCAAACCGATTGCCCTTTCAAGTTTTTGAAATTTGGAGGCCTTTTTCAGAGTAGTATGTATGTGGCAGTGCCTCTTATCAAAATTCATTAATTTTTTAGGAGACGCAATGTTGTATACAATGACAGGGGTATTCACATTGAGTCAGGCAAGGATCTATGTGATTGCCTCGATTCTTCTTGCCCTGGTTGTCATTTTCCATGCCCTAGCCCTAAATGTCGTTCACCTAAATGTGGCCATGAGTGTCGGTGAGTGCAATTCAATTCTTAGATAGTACAAGTTGAAATTAATTTTTGAATACACTTTCTCACACATAAATGAATTCAAGTTATATCTTACTGGTTTGAATGTATTACAGGCAGAATCGCAAGTGGATGTATGATCTAATAGAAATTGAAGGTACAAAAGAAGTGGTCAAGAACAAGTATGCAAAGTAAATCGACACCTCCAATGTATGTTAAAAGGGCATGATGTCTGTGATTTAATAATATTGCCTTATTAGAAATTCATTATATTTCTTAGCTGTAAGTGTTTCATATGTGTCTTTGAGTACTCTGTTACCTTGTTCAATACTTTGCTACCTAATTTATTATTTATTTCTGAACAAATTGTACAAAACACGTTTTTTGTGGAGGGTTTTTTGTAACAAATATTGTACAATTAAAGTTTTACCTTTAGATTTTAAGATTATCTCGCCTAGGGCCAAAGATTTCATTGCTCTATAATCTAGTGCTCAGCATTTGACTGCCGTGCTTCTGCCATCATAGATTCCACTCTGTTTGCTGTTTCACGTAAAGCATTTCCCAATTCTGGCAAATCTGGCAAGTCCAATGGAATGTGCGCTGATAATCGTTTGTAAACAGAAGACTCCTTTTTGCCTCTGAAAAAGAAAAAGTGTGAAGTTAGCAAGATGTTAAGAAGTTGTTTCTATAAAGATTACAGTCTCACCTTCGACTTTCCTCCACCTTTAGCTGTTGTTTGTAATTTGTTGCACTTTTTATTAATTCTTTCATACTTTCAAAATGTGGTGCAGCTTCTTCCATTGATCTCACAGCACTGTGTAACAGAAAAGTCGTCCAAAACAAGAAGTAAAATTGAGAGGATTTTCCACAAAATCATTGATGTCTTTTTATTGTTTACATACCTCACAGCATATTCTACATCGTAGCAATGCCCCTGTAACTCCCGGTGCAATTTTATCACCTCAACTCGATTTTCAACCATAGGTGGCAAAGATTTGCGAACATGCTCTTGCAGACGGTAAAATGCCAATGATGGCTCATTTGCCACTATATGCATATTCTCAGATATTCTTTCTGACGCTACAATAGAAAGAACAAGCATAAATACAGTCATAAACATAAAAAATAAAATTTGATTTACTCAAATTTGCAGTAACCTTTTTTTACACGAGTCTCCAATTCAGGGTCTGACACTGCAGGGGTTGGTGTAGCCATAGCTCACATTCAATTTTGCTTGGTGAGAATGAGTATTATTGGCTGTCTCGAAAATATTTGAACTGTTCATTCACTGGCATCATGAATCAAATTATTGATTGAGGGGCCCACTTCACTAACCACTGCCAAAAAATATATTATCATGATTGGAGTTTAGGTTTATCACATCAAAATAATAAAAATGCTATATCTTTTGAAAACTGACTGAGGAAACTCATCTTCCGCACACTTTGTTCTGGTTCTTGGTTGTCAAACAAAACCATAGCAGACGACGCACAGGTTCACTTCACAGCCCCCACGAGCGGTTGAGCACACGGGAGAGACGCAGGGATCGGGTTGGTGGTGGGCAGTGGTGGGGGCAGGTGCCGGCAGAAGTAGGAACCGAAAAAACAACTGTCAATTTCACAATTTCTGGAAAATTAATTAACTTTATTGAAACGATAAAGCACTTCTAACAGACTATAAGATTTTACCATGTTTCTACAATATACAGAGGGGTATTTATACAAGGAAAACACTGTTGATTCTTGAGCGACAATAATATCTGCTCTGACACAACCATGATTTGTTTCAGTGAATGATAATGATAACATCAGCACTTGCAAATAGAATATAAAAAATATTTTCCTACTCTTTTCAATCCACCTACATACAATTACTACCTATTTTTAAATCTCTAACACCAAGATGCATTAACAAGGGCACATATGGAACAATCACCAGAAGTCATCATCATCATCAGTTCCCTTCCCACCAGATCCAGCTGACACTTTCCTCTCACTGTTTTCAATGCTAGACAGAGAGGTATTCAGCAACTGGCTGGCTCTTCCAGGAATAGTGCTATCAGCTTCAATATGTTGTAGTAGAGTAGGCGAAAAGTTAGAAGTCTCATGCACTTCCTTAACATTTTTATTTTCAACAATTGCAGAAGTCGGGGCACTTGCTTTTAATGTTTCTTGGTCACCTTCATCAAATGAAACAGTAATACCAGAAGTAATCTTAGCTTTTACACTACCAGCGTTTGTAATAGAGACACCAGCTGAAGATGACAAGGTGGAAACTTCATTCAAGGTTGTATCAACAAAATTGGTCTTCTGACGCTCAGGACTCTGCATTATTTCACCAGCTTGTGCATGGGGTGGGTTTGGTTGCTCAACTAAGGCTGAATGATGTTCGATGACATTTTCTTTTTCTAAATGTGGAGAAGGAAGAGGTTCAACCCCTCCACTAAGTTGATCTGTTTCAACCATTGGTACCAGAGGCACTATAAAGGCATTTTCTGGGACCATGAGGGAAACGTGCTCTTGAGTTTGGGTAACTGGGGCCTTTGGAGAAGGGACCGGCTTACCGGAGGGCTGCTCGACATTTAAAAAAGACGCATGAGGCTCAACTAAATCAATTGAAATATTTGTCATCATTTGTTTGTTTGAGCTATCATGAACTTCATTAGTTGGCAAAGGATTTAAAATTGACACTTGTTGGAGTCTTGAAATGGTAGCTTCTTCATCTATATTACAAGTCCTATTGGATATTTCTTGTTGTTCAGGTAGACCACTTACATCTTGAGAAACTGTTTTATCTGATATAGGATTCAAACTAATTTTTTTAACATCTTGAGATGATTTTAGTTCATGCAAGTTGACTTTCTTCTCTCGAGTAGGAAGAACTGGTGGAACACTTTGATTGGTCTCAGATGTGACATTTCGAGTTGAGGAGCTTCTCATGAAACTTGACTGGCTGCCAATAAGATTTCTGAATCCGTCGGTAGATCTTCTTAGTGCTGAAGAATAATAAGGAACAGATGACATGGTCTCTGATAGGTGAGAAGGATTGCCCATTTGAGAGAGGGAGAAAATCGACCGTTCTGGCATTGGAATTTGAGATCGTCGAAATACTGAAAAATTGGGTGTGAGGCCTGACACAGTTGAGGTAGGCGCTCTTACAGCAGATGTATGAGGAGGTCCATAGCGTACTGGTGATGGAAATTGTGCCTGATGCAAGGGATATGTTGCACCTGTGCTCAGATTATGAGCATCTGAGAAGGATTGGCCCTGTACAAACACAAAAAACACAAGACATGATTTCACTAAACTGGCCAAGAAACCGTTTTTAGAAGAAAAATTCATTCAATGTACTTATTACCGTAGGTAGCTTTGCTGGGATTTGTTCTCTAGGAGCAAAACTCACTGGTGCACTAGAACTCAGGCAATCAGCCTGACGCGCGCGAAAGTCTCTGTATCTTTGATCAACTACTTCACTTTCCTCTTCCAGCTTCTTAAGTCGGTTTCTAACTTCCCTCAGAACTTCCTCTGTTGGTGATTCGTCAGAGCTGTAAGGAATTTATAGAAATGTAAAAAAATTCAGTAAGAAGCATAAGTAATAAGTCTGTAAATTTTTACCTCAGACTAGTTGATTGAGTGATAAGCTGCATTGACCGTTTAGGTTTCCTTCGCCAGTCTTTCCCATGAACTCGAGGGGAGTAAGGAGGAGGAATGTAAGATTGCTGTGTAGCAGCATCAGGCACATCCCCTGCAGGCATACTCTGAGCTCTGCTGCCAATGTAACGAGGTGGAAGAGGTGGAGGCTGTGTTGGCTTTTCAGGCACTTGAAATACAGCAACAAAAATAAAAATCAATCATATGTTTCAAACTTAAGCACTTTTAAAACAGCGAAATAAATTAAAACTAAAATGTTGCAGGTCCATACCTTGAAAAAGCCTCTCTTCTCTCACCAATGAAGGAATGTCGGACTGTTCAGCAACATAGTTTGCCAATTGAGTAGCTCTTGAAGTTAACTCATCGATTCTCCTCCTTTGTTGCGCTGCAATAGCCTTAAGCTCCGTATTTTCTTGCTGAATACGTTGAAGAACTCTCTTCAATAGAGTCACCTGACTATTTTTCTCTCTCTTTCCTGGAGGCTGAAAAAAGGGACAAATAATGAGTGTGAAAATGCTTTTGGAAACAAAACTATGAGGGAGAGTTGGTCTGAAAAATAAACACCTTTTCAATACTGGAACACAAAGAACTGCCTGATGAGTGTTGTTCTTCATGACGAGTAGCATTTGTTTCCAACCCTTTCTGAGGGCTAGATAGATCGGGCTCTGGAATTTCAGTTGCTTGGATGCCCCTTTCAATCTGTTTGAAACAGCATAATTATGTACATATGTACTTGAAACAGAATCATTTTAATTAAAATTCTAGTCATAACAGCATAGCTCACCCGATTAATAGAGGAGGCAAATAATTGGTTTCTTGTTTCTTTCAATTCTGTTTCAAGATGAAGGCATCTGTCTTGAAGGCGGCTCAATTCAAAAATTGTTTTAGTGTCAGAGTGTTCCTGACGCAAGGAGTGAGCAGCATCTTGCAATTCTGCTCTCAGAGCACTAAGGGTATGATGCTCTTCCTCAATCCTTCAAGGTATAAAACAGAATTAAATTTTATTGGAAGACATACAATTTCTAGCTCAAAAAAAGAAAAGCTGAATCTTACATTGCTTGTTTTCTCTCCAGAGCTTTCTCTCTCTCAGCAAGCTCATTTTCTTGCTTCTTTACTTCATCAGCATGTTTCTACAATATCAAATAACAGCATTATGAAAACAGAAAGAAAATAATGCATTGAAGGGAATTTATAAAAAGGAAACATACCTGTACTCTTGTCAATCTATTTAACACTTCATCATGCTGCTGTCGAAGCTGAAGTGAAACTTGCTCTAGATGCTTTTGTTTGCCTCTGAGATCCTCATCAGCTTCCTTAGTTTGCGCTCGGAAAGTTTCTTCGCGGACCAATGCTGCTGCCTGCAATGTAAGAATGAGAAACTTCAGAAACTTTGAACACAAATGCACACAAACTAACAAAAACAGCTAAAGGGATTCTAAAGGGATTGAAAAGGAAACGGGAGAAAAAGCATTACAAGCAATTCCTGCTCTCGAACATGGTTGAGTTTGTTGTTCCTTTCTCTTTCTTCTTTTCTGGTGCGATTGGCAGTGTCAGCATGAAGCCTGAAAAAAAAAGGAAAAGGAATGCTGGACTATTTTAAGAGGCAATGATTTGTGAAGTAACTTTAAGAACCAAGAATTAAATTAAATGAGACATACTTGCGAATTAGATCCTCTACTTGTTGAAGTTGACCAGAAGTTAACTGAGCCCTTAGCAATATCAATCTTATCTCTTCTATCCACTGAGTAGAATCATCAACATCATTGATATTCCTCATCCTGGTTCTGGATGTTTTATTTTGCTTGTGGGTTTCATTAGAGCAATTTTGTACAATAGCTGATAACGCAGTCAACACACAAGCCAGTAATGATTCCCGAGCATTGTTGTTTGTGTACAGACGGAGGACATGTTCCATACTTTCAGAGTTAGAAGACATTCCAAGGACTTCTAAAATTTCCTGCAAATGAATCAAGGAAGAATTAACTTACAACGCACAAGTCAGGTCATACTTCAAAAAGATAAAGAAAATTATATGAGGAATGACAAACCTGCACATCTTTTTCCGAATATCTGGGAAAGTTACTGCCCTTTCGGATGGTATCAGTCTGAGACATGTATGAAACATATCCAGAGAATTTGGGGAAAGATGCCAGTAAGGGAGCTTCGGCCACCATCACAGACATGGTGTAATGATATTCTTGCTGCACCAAAAATTCAGCAACAAGCAGCAGCATGGCCTAAAACAAGTTTAGCGTAAACAAAGGAATAGACAATGTAGACACATCCACAGTCCTCATGCAAACATAATCTTGCACAGGTTTAAAGTGTATCAAACTGACCTGTAGCGTAGGAGAGACTGCTGTTTCTGTAGAAAAATGGGAAGCTGGACATGGGCTTTCAGAGCTGTACAGGGCTGAAATCATCCGATGCCGCATGAACGCTCGCAGCTCTGATAATAATCCACGCTTTTCAAACCTATGGCAGGTGAACACACAAAGTTATGAAGGAATTTCAGAGACTTTTTTTTTTGTATGGCTTGGTAGGGTGGAACAAACAGGGACAGAGAGGATGTTACTAGGGAGAAACAGTAAGATACTGTCCGAAACATGATGAACTTACCAATCAAACAGCTTACGCTGGAATTCTTTAGTTGAGATCTCTTTATTTCCATTGAAATAATCCATGACTGCTTCATTAAATCGTACATGTAAAAGGAGATGGAATTAGAACCCAAGTTACCTCCCAAGTCTGAGTGTGATAGGAGACATAACCCCATCATTTCACAAAAAGAGCAAAATGAATGGAGACAACTGAACACAGCCATAACAGGTCCGTTTGACATCACGGGAACAGAAAAATAAAACCACCCTCCAATGAACACCACGCTTACTTCAATCAAAAACAGCTGCATCCCTCATCAAGTGCGACTTTGGAAAGTAAACAAACTTCTCGGAGAGATTTGAAAGTGACGCTTGGGGGGCGGCAAACCACCGCTAGTGCTGCTCTCTGGCGGCGGGCGGCAGTGCGTCCCCTCCCCCCTCCCCCAATCCGCGGCGGATGAGTTGCCTAACTGTACGGCGCCTTCTGCAGTACAGGACTCTACAGGACGCAGTCACGCAGTCACTGGTGGGTTTTCAGTTTACGGTGGGGCCGGGAGGGAGCATTCCGATCGTTACAGTAAACGTAAATCGAAACAGCTTACTATCCTCAGTATGACACGTAGGGTATATGTGGTCCAAAAAAAAAATCCTTCAGCATTCCTCCTTCCTGTTCGTCTTCAAAATAAAATTCCTATACTTGCAAAACAATTAATCTAAATCATTTTGATTTCTAGTGGTATGAACGGATTTTTAACAAAAACCAATTAGTCCGAGTGACACCGTTTTGAACTTTTATTCCAGCCGAATACAATGAGACACGGCGTAGATAAAGTGGCACTTGTTGCAGCGCATGCCGCATGCCGCTGCGGCTGGACGCACGCCACGCCAGGCCACGCTGGCCGCGCTGACCAACAGCTATCATATCGTATAGGAGAATGTGAAAAATGGTGGAAGGGGTGGGGAGCGAGGTTCAGTGACCGCTGCCCCACTGGCAAGCGCGGCAAGCGCGGCATTCATAACTACAGATGACGGTGTTCGCGAGTCGGTCGTTTTATTGTCGGGGCAGCGTTGCCTCGCGTGAACCCTTTCAGACCGCCATCCTCTCTGTTTTCCCATCTATGCCGCCGGTCCCTCGGGCCGTCACGCATCATCTCAACGGTTTCCCATACGTCGCACAGTGGGCCAGAAGACCGGTGGAGGCGGCCGAAACTCAAGACGCGTTTTGAGCTCCAGAGACGCTAAGCAGGCCTCGAACCGAACGTGTGACCCCACCAATGGATTGCTCTCCGAACGAGGAATCCATTGGTGGGGTCACACGTTCGGTTCGAGCCCTGTTTAGCGACTCTGGAGCTCAAAACGCGTCTAGAGTTTTGGCCGCCTCCACCGGTCTTCTGGCCCACTGTGCCCCTCCTACCTCCTCAAAAAGCGCGATGCGAAAATCAATGATCGCTCTGCGCGTCACCTCTGTGTCTTCAATTTCCACAAAGCTACTTTTTTTTTCGCATGTTTTCTCTGCTTAATTTACATACTCGCCTCCGCGCAACCTGACCGCGCCGAGCGAGCACCTCCATGCCAGCGGGCGTGAGTGTGTGTACGCGCACTGCGCCTGTGTGCGTGTGTCGGTGTGGGTGCAGTTCGCACGGGGCTGAACGCGGCTGCGTCCGTTGGCCCTGTAACTCCGTCTCCGTCGCTCTTGATGGATCAGGCACCCGGAAATGGTTCGAGCGACGGCACGGCGCTGCGCGCCGGACGCAGCCCCCCGCCCGGCGCCGCGGTACCGCTGGCCAGCATCCGGTGTGCCTGCACTGCCAAGCGATTCCGTCGTTTCGTCGCTCTGTCTTTGTCGCACCCATGGGGATCTCCGCGCCGGTGCGAGAGAGACAGCGACAAAGCGATCCTCTGGATCGCTCGGCTGTCCAGCCTGCCGGTGGAGGGAGGGGGCTCGTCCAGTGCGGGCCTCATGCCCGCGCCACACGCTCCCTGTCTCTCTCGCACCCTCCGCAACGCCCCGCGAGTGCGAGAGAGAGGGAGGACTGCCTCTGGCGGGCCGGAGGACTGGACGGGGTCCTCTGGGGCTGCGTGCGGGACGCTGGCGGGACGCTGGCGGGACGCTGGCGGCGGGACGGTCCGGAACCCCCCGAGCGCGTCGGCGAGGGTGTTGGAGCGAGACGCTCGCCGCGGCCGTGCCGGGGCCAAGCCGGGGGTACGGCCAGTGCGGCACCACCTGTCTCTCTCGCTCTGGGCGGCGGGTCGCGCCTCGGCCAGGTGCGAGGGAGACAGACGCGGTTCGGGTCGTTCGGGTGTTTCCGGAGCGGGTACTTTTGCCTGGACCCGCGGCGCCGTGCGCTCGGCGGCGGGATGGCCGGGGCCAGTCCCCAGTGGTGCCCACACCGTGATCGCGGATACATCGTGCTCGTGACGAGGCCCGCGCGGCAGCACGAGGCGGACGCAGTGCGCGGTGCGCGGCCCGGTGCTGAGGAGTGTCCCACGCGTCGTGTCTGAGAGGTCATGCGTCGTCACAGGCCCGCTCCCACGCAGTGTACCACGCAGTGTCATCGCCGTCAGTCAAAATGAGAAGGAAAGTCTACCTGCCCAGCATGGTTCAGGCTATCACAGTGCTCACCGTGCTCAAGATGCTGACCAATGGTGAGTCTCGGCTGTGTTCGGCGGCGGCGTGGTGCGTGTCCTCGACGGGAGGCTGTGCGGGGTTCGGCTAAGAAAAGTGATCAGCGTGGCAGAGGACGGCGAGTGATTGGTTCTAGTGTGTGTGCGTGTGTCGTGCGTGTGAGTCAGTGTGTGTGTGCGCGCTGCGTGGGGGTTGCTGGGATGCTGGCTGGGGCTGCTGGCTGGGGCTGCTGGCTGGCGGCTTGCTCCTTCGACGTCGTCTCAAGACGGGGCGCCGTGGCGGTAGGCAGCACGCCGACGGCGCTGCGGCCGGGCGGGCCTACGCTCGAATCGGCGGGCGGCAGCGGAGCGGCGCGGCCTCCCAGACGCCAGGCGGCGGGCGCTGAGGTCTTCCCCCTCTTCCTATTCGCCCTGCCTGAGAGCTCAGACGCAAACTCAGGTGGTCAAAGTCCCGGACGCGTTTTGAGCTCCAGAGTCGCTAAATGGGACTCGACCCGAACGTGTGACCCCACCAATGGATTGCTCTCCGAACGAGGAATCCATCGGTGGGATCACACGTTCGGTTCGAGTCCTGTTTAGCGACTCTGGAGCTCAAAACGCGTCCAGAGTTTTGGCCGGCGGCGCCGGTCTTCTGGCCCACTGTGGAATGCGTGCGCGGACGTCGCCCCGTTCCGTTTCCGCCCGGCGGTGCGGCGGGCGGGTCGGCTCGCCATTGGCCGCTGCGCCGCGGCGCTCGCGCTGCCATTGGCTGCCGATGATGAGCAGCCAGCTAATTGGCCGCATTGTGCGGGGCGGCTAGGATTGGATTGGAACCGCCGACAAGAAGGTCGCCGGCTATCTGGCGCGCATATCAAAGCAGCGGCGTTTTGTCCGCGTTTGCCGCCGCGGCGCCGCCACTGCACTGTGTGGGCGGCGTGGACCCGTTCCCAGAGCCGGCGGCGTCCCTGCGTCCTGCGTCCCGCGTCCGCGAGCTGGCGAAAGTGTGACTGTGCGACTATGCGGCACAAGGCTACAGTGGAGCGGGACGCCGCAACAATTTGCGCCAATCCCAGTTCGCATGCATTGCACTCGGCAGGACGTCGCACACACTGCGAAAAAAAAATCCCTTCCGCCATTGCAAATCTCACGATCGACTGTCGCCGCGCTCCTCCGGTGGGACATTTTTAACAGTGTGGAGTGAGGTGCGAAATTTTTGGGACCGGGCCAACATGTCTGCAGGTGGGCGTGTAGGGCGGGGCTCCGAGGGAGGGGGAGGGGGGGGGGGCGTCCAGGGCAGCCCGCCCTACTTTTCGGTTTGATGACGGATCGGTGGGCATGGGTAGCCTTACCCCCCCCCCCTCGATAGCTGTTTCGCGGTGACGAGGCACAACGCCAATCACGCTCCAAATACCACCACACTACTATTGTGTGTCGTCTGCAGGGCCTACTTTGGCGGTTTTCGTGTTTTTGTTTCAAACACGACGATGCGTCGAGCGGGCCTTGACCGTTTTCACTGGATTAATACGACATGAGTGCCCAGTGACAAACTCGTTTACAGAGCCCTCAAGAAGACACGCTCCATATCTCTCCGTTTTTTTTTCAGTGGTTTCCTGTTACAAAAAGTTACGTAGATTTATGCAATTAATTTATAGAGGTGTGCTTACCGGCTGGTATTCTTCGCCGAATACTGACTTTCCCTTTTCAAGTGTACTGTCAGGCTGACCAACTGGCAGGGTTTGAACGGACTGGAAAAGAGATGCGAGTAGTTGACGCAACCCGTTGTCCTTGCTTGCAGCCCAGACGACATGCAACCAGGGCATTGGCCGGGTGGTGTACGAGAGGTTGCCGGACCAGCAGCTCCAGGGATTCGACGATGACGTGGTGAGTAGAGCAGCGTAGCGTAGTGGACAAGGACGCCGACATTGCACCCCGGGGGCTAGGGCAGCGGTTCTCAACCTTTTTCGGTTCGCGACCCCAAATTTGTAGCCAAAAATTTCCGCGACCCCCAGGAAAAATTTCGTGACCCCACGTGACCCCTCCTTTAGCATGCCTTTGATACAAAGTGCGATAATCCACCTTAGTTTGGGAGCAGTATTGCCGCAAAGTTGATCAAAACGGTCACAAATGCCTTTGAAAAATCGTGTTTTGGGGCGACTTTAAGCAGCCACTGCGTCTGATCCGAGGCGGTATTTCGTCCTCCATTAACGGGCAATTGGTCTTTGGACCTTCCTTTAGCATGCGTTTGTTACGGAGTGTGATTATCTGCCTTAGTTTGGGAGCAGTATTGCCGCAAAGTTGATCAATACACGATTTTTCAGACATTTGTGACCGTTTTGATCAACTTTGCGGCAATACTGCTACCAAACTAAGTCAGATAATAGCACTCCGTAACAAAGGCATGCTAAAGGAAGGTCCAAAGACCAATTGCCCGTTGAGGGAGGACGAAATACCGCCTTGGATCAGACGCAGTGGCTGCTTAAAGTCGGCCCAAAACACGATTTTTCACAGACATTTTGTGTCCGTTTTGATCAACTTTGCGGCAATACTGCTCCCAAATTAAGGCAGATAATCGCACTCCGTAACAAAGGCATGCGAAAGAAAGGTCTAAAGACTAATTGCCCGTTAATGGAGGACAAAATACCGCCTCGGATCAGACGCAGTGGATGCCTAAAGTCGGCCCAAAACACGATTTTTTAAAGCCATTTGTGACCGTTTTGATCAACTTAAAAGTTGTTCGCGCCAGTGCTCGGCGTGTGGGTCAGCTGGGAAACCGCCGCGACCCCAAGCGACCCCAGTTACCTCGCCGCGACCCCTCGAAATTTTTTCGCGACCCCAAGGTTGAGAACCGCTGGGCTAGGGTTCGAATACCCGACGGCAGGATACTCCAAAAATTTAATTTTCGCACGATCTCGAGCAAGGAAAAAAGTTTCAATTTCGTCGGTTTTTAGAACACTCCTCGTTCGGAGAGCAATCCATTGGTGGGGTCACACGTTCGGTTCGAGTCCCATTTGGCGACTCTGGAGCTCAAAACGCGTCTACAGGGTGAGTTTTCTCAATGTGTCAATAATTTGTAGGTAGTTTGGGCACCCCAAGGCGATCATTTTCTACCAATGAACTAGTGGGCGCAAACGTCTAGGTACGGAGATAATTGATGTTTTGTAATTGGCCTTCGCGCCTGCGAGGTAGGCACCCGCAGCCACTGATGGTCGCAGGACCTCGTGTGGGGGTGTCGCGGGTCTAGGAGGGGTGCTTCGAGTCTCGTAGGGGTGCGGCGGACCTTGCAAATGTCTTTTGGGAGGGGTTGCCCCGAGTCTGAAGAGGCTGTCATGGGGGCCCCCGTTACAGTGGATCTCACGGCTGTCTTTGGGAGGGTGGCGGGATTCCTCGGATACTTCCGCGAGGTCAGTGGCACTCCCGCGAGTACTGCTAGTCCCGCGACACCCCCTCGACAGGTCCTGCCGCCCTCAGTGGCACCGGGTGCCTACCTCGTAGGCGCAAAATCCAATTACAAAACACCAATTATCTCCGTACCTAGACGTTTGCGCCCACTAGTTCACTGGCGAAAAATGGTCCCCTAGGGATGCCCAAACTGCCTGCAAATTATTGACACATTGAGGAAACTCACCCTGTAGAGCTTTGGCCGCCTCCACCGGTCTTCTGGCCCACTGTGCGGCGCCCGGCCATGGGCTGGCCATGGAGGCTCGGCGGCCATGGAGGCCCACGCCACGACGCGGCGCTACGCGGCGCGGCCCGCGATTCGTGTCAGTGAACCCGCTTCCGCCATGAGAGTCCACGGGGCTTGCCGGCCGCCGGGCTGGCCCACGCCGCCGCAGAACCATTCCGCGCACCTCGCTCTGTCTCTCTCGCACCCCTCCAGGCCCTCCAGGACGCCCCGTCAGTGCGAGAGAGACAGAGCGACGGACACAGTGGTGTAGTCCTGCCCCGAGTAGCTGCTGCAGCGCTGTGCGCCAAAAGACCGGTGGAGGCGGTCAAAATCCCGGACGCGTTTTGAGCTCCAGAGTCGCTAAATGGGACTCGACCCGAACGTGTGACCCCACCAATGGATTGCTCTCCGAACGAGGAGTCCAGTGGTGGGGTCACACGTTCGGTTCGAGTCCCATTTAACGACTATGGAGCTCAAAACGCGTCTGGAGTTTTGGCCGCCTCCACCGGTCCTCTGGCCCACTGTGCACGGCCCCAGAGAGCCAAAACGCGCAGGCCTTCGCCGCTTGCGGTGTAGCCGGGGCTGCCAACCTGGCCTGACATGATAGCGATGCAAACGGGCGATAGCGATAGCGACAGCAACGGTAACTCTGTACTCCGCTTCCTACCGTCCGGCCGGCAGAGTCGTCAGCTGTCCCCAATTCCACTGGACACTGGACAATCGCGAGGGGGAAATCACTCTTAAAAACTGTGACCCGACTACTCCCTATTACGTTCTATTACGCTATTACAGAAGGCTTATTACGCTCGAAAATATCCAGATTTAGTCTAAATTCGGACCCTAAATAGGGAAAATCTTTAAAAATTTGGCTATTACGCTATTACTATTACGCGTAATACTAGGAATCGGTGACCCGACTATTACGCGAGTGATTTCCCCCTCGGGACAATCGCAGCGGTTCGCAGTTGCGATGGGAAATTTCCAAAATCCGGAGACAAATGACGCTCCCCTCGCTACATGGGGGGAATGTCTTGTGAGGACGTTTAGAGTGTAGCGCAAGGTGTGGTAACGCACCTGTTCGGGTGTGTGCGCGCGCCGCTCCCCTTTGGCCGCTTCGCCCGGCTTTGCCGCCACCGTGGCCTTAATTAATGAACTGCATGGAGGGGAGGGGGAGGGGAGGGGGAGGGGAGGGGGGGGGAGGGGGAGGGGAGGGGGAGGGGAGGGGGAGGGGAGGGGGAGGGGTTCCGGCCAGGCGTGGAGGGGGAGGGGGGGGCGGGAATCCTGTGGGCACTACGCCCCGCGCCACTACGCGCCGCCAGGGTCTCTTCCAAGGCCACGCGCTTCATGGCTCTGGCTGCGCTGCCGGCGCTGCCCCTGCAGGCCTGCAGGTAGGCAACAGCCATCCCGTCACGGTCGCCGCCCCGGGCCGCCCGGGCGCACATTTTGGGTTCGGTTTCCGTTTGGGCTCGGCCGCGCCAACATGACCCACATTCTCCCGGAACAGCGATGAGCCGAGATAAGCCGAGGAACCCGACAAAACCGAGACGGATGTCGTTCGCCTGGAACCGCCTGGAACCACCTGGAACCACCTGGAACCTCCTGGAACCGGCCAGCGATCGTCCCCCTGGAGTCCTGCTGGAGCCAGACGTCGCGGCGAGACGGTCGGAATGCAGCGCCCCTGTCCTCGAGTCGCACAGTGGGCCAGAAGACCGGTGGAGGCGGCCAAAACTCTAGACGTCTAGAGTTTTGGCCGCCTCCACCGGTCTTCTGGCCCACTGTGAGTCGTCCGAGGTAGGGGCGGTCCGCGGAGTGATTGAGAAAAAGGACGGTCGCTCCGTCTCTCTCGCACCCTCACGGCGAGCCCCACGAGTGCGACGGAGACAGAGCGACTGAATCACTCGGCTGCTTCCGGGCCGGCTGGCCGCGCTGGCCGCGCTGGCCGGACACGCTCCAGAGGACGGCCTTCCCCGGCCGGCCGCGTCCGGAACGCCGAACGCGAAACGCGCTTTCGCTTTCGAGTGAGTGGTGCTGGCTCGGCCGCCTCGTTCCGGACGCGGCCCCGGAGGGCTGTTGGTCCTGTTGGCCGGCGGCGGGCGCGGTGACGTGTCTCGGACGCGCGGGTTCATGCACGCCGTCGACGGATCGGTGGATTTGCCGGAAGACCGGCGCCGGCGGCCAAAACTCCAGACGCGTTTTGAGCTCCAGAGTCGCTAAACGGGACTCGAACCGCATGTGTGACCCCACCAATGGATTCCTCGTTCGGAGGGCTATCCATTGGTGGGGTCACACGTTCGCTTCGAGGATGCAGAAATCTCGAACCGGACGTGGGGCGTAAGAGGGAGGGGCGGGGTCCGGCCGTGCGTGAAATTGCGTGAAATTAGCAGAAGTGCGTTTTACAGCGGACGAGCAGGCAACCCCTCGCCGTGGGGCTGCAGAGGGTGCCTCCCCTCGCCAGACAGCCCCGCCACTGTCAGAAATAAAACCAGCGTGGAGGGGCACTCTTTGCCCCTCGCAGTCATCACTTTGCGACGGACGATTGGGACCGAATTGTGGCGAGTACAGTGTAGGAGTGTCTGTCTGTCATGTGCTAAATTTGCAACATTTTCCCGCCGCTTTTTTGTGGGAGCGGCTTTACATTCTTGCTTATACGCGATGGGGGCGCGGAATCAGGACCCTGTCTGTGCAAGTACTCTGCTGAAAATATTTGTCGGCCCCTGAGGCTGGACGCCGCCGGGCCGTAGACCACCGCCGTGATCTCGGGGCGGTGCGGGCCGTCTGCCTCTGTCAGAGTGCTGCCTTTGAGGCCTGCCGGCGGAGGGATCCCCGCCCACATCATGAATACCCCTCAGCCCTTCCGTGGACACCACGGCGTGCTGGAGAGGGCGGCGATGACGGTCTCCCGACCTCCCTGTCGTCGCGGCGTCGCCGTCGCCCCCATCCCGCCTGTCTGTCTGTCTGTCTGTCTGTCTGCCTGTCTGTCTGTCTGTCTGTCTGTCTGTCTGTCTGTCTGTCTGTCTGTCTGTCTGTCTGTCTGTCTGTCTGTCTGTCTGTCTGTCTGTCTGTCTGTCCGTCTGTCTGTCTGTCTGTCTGTCTGTCTGTCTGTCTGTCTGTCTGTCTGTCTGTCTGTCTGTCTGTCCGTCTGCCTGTCTGTCTGCCCGTCCCTTTCTCCCCGGTGGAATCGTGCTTCAGTGCGCTCCAGTATGGCCAGTCTATCGCTACTAATTGATAACGATCCGAGACGCACCGGGGCGCGCTTGGCTTGCCAACCCACCGGGATGAGCACGGCGTGCTCCCCGTGCTCGCAGTGTAGCCACGCAAGTAGGCAAACAGAAGGGTTGCCAACCTCAGCCTAAGCAAGACCGGTGAAGACGCGTTTTTGAGCTCCAGCGTCACTAAACAGGACTCGAACCGAGCCACCAATGGATTGCTCTCCGAATGAGGAATCCATCGGTGGGGTCGCACTTTCGGTTCGAGTCCCATTTAGCGACTCTGGAGCTCAAAACGCGTCCGGGAATTCGGCCGCCTCCGCCGGTCTTCTGGCAAATCCACCGCGCGGCGGTCGAGTGGTCATGTGGTGGCTGCCGTTTAGCGAACCGGACTGCGAGCCAGCGAGGCAGCGAGGCCGGAGCCCCCATTGTGGACGGGTCATCCGGGCCACGGCAAGAAGGCCATCTATTATTGAATCGCGAACAACGGTACAAAATGGACGCACCTGTCGGTGGACTCCGCACTTTCGGAATGAGTTTCATCCTGAGCGGCGCTGAGCGGGCCACGGTACCGAGAGGCTCGCCCAGAGTAAGTCATGAAAATATGCGAAATGGCCTTACTTTTGTGTTCAGTGTGACCCCACCAATGGATTGCTCTCCGAACGAGGAATCCATTGGTGGGGTCACACGATCGGTTCGAGTCCCATTTAGCAACTCTGGAGCTCAAAACGCGTCCGGGATTTCGGCCGCCTCCCCCTGGTCCGGCTGGGGCTGGGACTACACCGTAATTATGCATCGAAAGAAGTGGCCGAGTGCGAGTCTCTCCGCGCGTGAGGCATCGCACCATGAGCGGCATGAGCCCATCCATCGGGGGGCCGCCACGCCGCCGCCACGCCGCCGCCATGGGCGCGCTTCCGGTTCCTAACGGTCGCAGCATCCGCTCGCGAGCGGAGTCCAGCCCCGGGAGGCCTGAGAGGAGCCGCAAACCGCCAAGCATGCCATCTTTGCAAACAAAAAAAAATTAATTGAAATTTGCGCTGAAATTTCATTTGTTCTAACAATGCGAGTTTGCGGCCGCAGGACGCAGGACTAACTGCTGGAGTTTGAATGGTTGAGCAGTTTAGTGAGCAGGGTTGCCAAGTTGGTGAAAATACCCACGTTGCACCAGTGTTCAAAGGGTTGCCAACCACTGGGAATCATCCGCTCCAGCAAAGACCGAGGTTGACACTGGCGTGCGTGGGAATTTTCGCCCGCTGCTGTGGCAGCACTGACCGTGAGGTGAGGTGGGAAATTTGAGGTCACCGAGGGAAAGCGGCGCGGCGCGGGTAATTTTTGTGGACAAACCGGTTGGCAACACTGTTTCCACTTTCACTCGCCGTGCGTTTTGTCGCCGCGGTGCTGGCAGGCCTGTCCGTGCCTGCCGTGCGCGCGAGGCGAACGGGACCGAAACGGCGCGAGCGCGGTGATGGCGCGGAGAGAGAGACAGGCAGAGCTGTGTCAGGGACCTGTGGGCTGGGGGCCTACACGGGGGACGCCCGGAGATGTTTGTCCGGCCTTCCCAAAATTCACCTGCATCCTGATTGGTCAACTGGATCTTGAAAAAAAGGGAGTTGACCAAGAATTTTTTTTTATTCTTGATTCGAGTAGATCTTGATGAGACCTTTTCAACGAATGGTCGGAACCTAGGTCTAAAATGCTCGCATCGTCATCGGGGGCCCTGTGAGGTGCCCGTCGGCGTCCTCGGGGACCCATGAGGCTTTGACCATGCCGTCCCGATGTGGCATTGGCCGCTCGGACAACAGAGAGATGAACACAAGAAACAACAGCGATCTCTGTCTTTTAAAGGACGGAGATCACTGTGGTTTTGGGTACAGAGCGACGCTGTGAAAAAATTAACAGTATTCCCTGTAGTTTTTTTCTCGCAAGTGTGCCCGTGAATCGGCCGAGAATTTTTAGGTGAGGCATCGGTTTTGATCTCCTTGTGCTTGTCCGCAGGTCCGAGACTCGCTGCCGCCCTCGCAGGTGCTGGACAAGTGCCAGGACATCTGCCTGCGCGACCGCTCCTCGGCCAACAACCTGGTGCGGGCGTGCTCGTCCTTCGACTTCCAGGCCGGCGCCAGGATCGCGTCGTTCGGCGGCGCCCCAGAGTACGAGGAGTCCGCCTGCTTCCTGACGCGCGAGACCGCGCACCCGGAGGGCATCGGCAACCTGGTCCTGGTGCCCGGCAGCGCCCACTTCGCCGAGGTCTGCCTGTCGTGTGAGTCTCCTTCCGTCTCCGTGGCCTGCTTGGTGCGGAGCAGGATCTCTCCGATCCCTAGGCCTGGCGGGGCATGTGGGGGTATTTTTGGAACCGGGTTGACGAGACGAATCGATTGCGATATATTACAACACAATGGCCAAATTTTTTTAAAACTTTTTTATGACATTTTTGAATGACTTTGTTTTTCTATCCCCAGCGAGCCGCGTGGAACGGGAGTGCCCCAACCGGCGCTATGTGTTCGAGCGGCACCCGCGGAAGGCCCTGCGGCTGCCGCAGACGGACATCAAGGAGGTGGCGGCCACGAACCGCTCCGACTGCGAGGACCGGTGCCTCAACGAGTTCTCCTTCGTGTGCCGCTCCGCCACCTTCGACTCGGCCGCCAGGACCTGCGCCATGTCCAGGTTCACCCGCCGGACGCACCCGGACCTGCTGGCCGACGCGCCGTCCTCGGACTACCTGGAGAACACGTGCCTGAACGGTGAGCCTGCACAGTGGGCCAGAAGACCGGTGGAGGCGGCCAAAACTCCACACGCGTTTTGAGCTCTAGAGTCGCTAAACGGGACTCGAACCGAACGTGTGACCCCACCAAGGGATTCCTCGTTCGGAGAGCAATCCATTGGTGGGGTCACACGTTCGGTTCGAGTCCCACTCAGCGACTCTGGAGCTCTGCACGCGTCCGGGATTTGAGGTTCAACGTGGATGTTGCCCGCAGCGGAGCGGCGGTGCGACGCCACGGCCGTGTACGTCAAGGAGGAGAACAAGCGCGTGGGCGGCGCGGTGGAGGCGGCGCTGCTGGCCAACGTGTCCCTGGAGGAGTGCCAGTCCGAGTGCCTGGGCGCCGAGCGCTTCCTGTGCCGCGCCCTGGAGTACGACGAGGCGACGCGGCAGTGCGCGCTGCTGGAGGAGGACTCAGTGTCGCAGCGCGACCTGCTGCGCACCGCGTCGTCGCCCAGCCACCACCTGTACGACCTGGTGTGCCTGGACAACGCGCTGCCCTTCCGGTCCGACAACGCCGCCACGTCGCACCTGTTCGCGCACGGCCGGCGCCCCGACACGGCCTTCCAGCGGTACCGCAACTCGCGCCTCGGCGGCGAGTTCCACTCCGAGATCACCGGCCGCTCCCTCAGCGAGTGCCTGGACGAGTGCCTGCGCCAGGCCAGCTTCGTGTGCCGCAGCGCCGTGTACTCGGACCGCTTCCGGACGTGCCGCCTGTCGCGGTTCGGGCAGCGCGACGGCCACCGCGTCATCTACGACGCGGACTACGACTACTACGAGAACCTCATGGCGCACTACCCCGACGCCGGCGACACTGGGTCGTCGCTGCCGCCCCTCTCGCCCTACCGGCCCGACCCCCTGGGGCAGGACTCCACCTACCCGCGACCGCCGTACCCGTCAGGTAAGTCCGAGGCCAAGAGCGTTGTGTTGTGACTCCACCCTGGTCTAACCTTTACGATGTCGGCGCAGTTGGCGGCGGCGGCGCGTACCCGGGCGGCGCCTACTACCCCGTGGGCGGCGGCGGCCCCAGCAACGTGGCGTACGGCGGCAACTCCCTGGGCTACAGTGTGGGCAACTACGGCGGCGGCGCTAGCGGCCAGCTGGGGGCGTACCCCGCCGCTGGCGGCTACCCCGCGGCCAACTCGTACCCGGGCGGCGGCTACCCCGTGGGCGTGGGGACGGGCGCGCCCGTCGGCGGCTTCCCTCCGGGCTACCCCGCGGGCTACGCCAGCCCCAGCCCCCTGCCGCCGGGCCCCGCGGGCTACCCGCTGGCCGGAGGGCCCCCCGTGCCCCCCGCGGCGCAGCCCGTGGCCCAGCCCGCGGGCTTCGGCGACCCGTTCTACGGGCGGCCGCTGACGTCGAGGTGCGACGACGGCGACGCCTTCCGCCAGGTCGGCGCCAGGCTGCGCGCGCGCCGCCAGTACATCCGGCGCTTCGTGTCCGTGCCGTCGCTGCCGCTGTGCGAGCGCGAGTGCGCCGACGCGCGCGACTTCGTCTGCCGCTCCTTCAACTTCAGGCCCTTCGCGGCGCCCTTCGGGGCGGCCGAGCGCGAGAACTGCGAGCTGTCCGACCGGGACTCGCGCGACCTGGACCCCGGCAACCCGACCTTCTTCGAGACCACCGCCGACTACGACTTCTACGAGCGCTTCAACGGGCGGCAGGGCATCGGCGGCGAGTGCCTGGACGTGTCCCAGGTGTGCTCCGAGGACGGCATGGAGTTCACGCTGCGCACCCCCGAGGGCTTCGTGGGCCGCATCTACGCGCACGGCTTCTACGACCGATGCTTCTTCCGCGGCAACGGCGGCACCGTCAACGTGCTCAGGATCAGCGGCGCGCAGGGCTACCCGGACTGCGGCACCCAGCGGGTCAGTCTCCCACTTGCCAGAAGACCGGTGGAGGCGGCCAAAACCTCGGACGCGTTTTGAGCCCCAGAGTCGCTAGATGGGACTCGAACCGAACGTGTGACCCCGCCAATGGACTGCTCTCCGAACGAGGAATCCGTAGGTGGGGTCACTCGCTCGGTTCGGGTCCCATTTAGCGACTCAGTAGCTCAAAACGCGTCCGGGATTTTGGCCGCCTCCACCGTGCACCTCGCCACTGTCGTACTCGTGCTACAACTTGCTGACTGTTGCAGTTCGGGGACTCGATGACCAACATCGTGGTGGTGCAGTTCAGCGACTACGTGCAGACGGGCCGCGACAAGCGCTACAACCTGACGTGCCTGTTCCGCGGCCCTGGGGAGGCCGTCGTCACATCGGGCTACATCGGCGCGGGGTGCGTTCCGCGTGCCTTTTTCCTCGCAGCGTGGCAAGCAGGCGGACATTGACGTTGTGTGTGCTTGGCAGGCGGTCCGGCGCGCCGATCCCCATCGAGTACCTGCCGGCCGAGAACTCGCTCAGCTCCCGGGTGCGCCTGCTGATCCTGTACCAGGGCCGGCCCACCACCACCATCGCCGTCGGCGACCCCCTCACGTTCCGCCTCGAGGCGCAGGACGGCTACCACTACTCCACGGACATCTTCGCCACCAACGTCATCGCCAGGGACCCGTACTCCGGCCGCTCCGTGCAGCTCATCGACAGATACGGGTGCGCGTCGACGGGGACCTTGGTGTTTTGAGTGTGTTTGCGAGAGCTGACTTTGGCCTTCCCCTTCCCGCAGCTGCCCCGTGGACCAGTACGTGTTCCCGGGGCTGGACCGCTCCAGGGAGGGCGACGGACTGGAGGCTCGCTTCAACGCCTTCAAGATCCCCGAGTCCAACTTCCTGGTGTTCGAGGCCACGGTCCGCACGTGTCGCGACGGCTGCCAGCCGGTAAGGGGAGGTGGCGGCACTTCGGCAGCCTCTGGCCGTCACACTGGGCCAGAAGACCGGTGGAGGCGGCCAAAACTCGAGACGCGTTTTGAGCTCCAGAGTCGTTAAATGGGACTCGAACCGAACGTCTGACCCCACCAATGGATTCCTCGTTCGGAGAGCAGTTCATTGGTGGGGTCACACGTTCGGTTCGAGTCCTGTTTAGTGACTCTGGAGGTCAAAACGCGTCTGGAGTTCTGGCCGCCTCCGCCGGTCTTCTGGCCCACTGTGCGTCATGGTCCTGACCGAGTTTTCTCTGGCGCAGGCGTACTGCACCGGGCAGACGGGCCGCAGCGAGCCGTCCTTCGGGCGGCGGCGGCGTGCCGCGGAGGGCGGCCAGGACGACGACCTGGACGACGACGAGGACCAGGGCGACCAGGGCGTGCGCGTGCAGCAGGAGGCGGGCGCCGCCAACAACAGCACCGACGACGAGGAGCAAGTCCGCGAAATGATCGAGGTAGGCGTCTTGCTCGACGACGGCGGCCTCCAGTGTGCGCACCGGGTACATGACTCTGCTGCAGGTGTTCGAGAACCGCAACGACGTCCCCGAGGCCGGCGGCACGGCGGACGCCGTCAAGGTGCAGCCCGCCCCCGCCGTCAGCGGCATCGTGCTGTCCTCCGGGGAGTACTACGGGCTGGTGTCCGCCCTGACCACCGCGCTGGTGCTGCTCGCCGCGGCCCTGGCCGCCGGCGGCGTCGCCATCAGGTAGGTGCAGGCCGTTGTCGAGGCCGCCGCTCGCTCGTCCGTCGGCTACAGGGACTGCTTTGCCTGCTGCAGGCACATCTACGTGTCGCGGCAAGCCAAGTACGTGCCGCCGATGCCCACCAGTGCGCCGCCCACCGCGCCGGTCACCTTCACCACCTCCAGGATGGCGAGCCTCGCCTCGCTGCTGCCCAGCAAGCTGTTCGACAGGTTTGTCCTGCTGTCCTAGCGCCTCGACGCCACGTCGATATCTCGAAACTAATCGCTGCCTCCTCACCAGCGAGATGGGCGGGCGAGGGGGCCTCAGTCCTGGCCTGCGGCCGGGCAGCCCCGCTGTGGTGGAGGCCTGCATGGACCTGGGGCCGATGCGGCGAGGGACGTTCGACGACCCCAGCGAGCCCATCTACACGGACCCGTCCTTGTTCGAGCGGCCGCGCAGCCTGCGCTCCATCGCCGCCTTCCCGCCCAGCACCAGGGCTGCCAACTGAGCGGCGTCCGCCAGCCTGCCGGCTTGTCGGGTTGGCAGCACTGTCCGGACAGACCTTCCCTGCCGCCACGCTGCCCTCGCTGACCAGCCTCAAGACGGGCAGCAAAGTGCGCGCGCGACAAGACTGTCATGTTGGCAACACTGAGGGTGGTCCAGCTAGCGGCCACTCAGTTTGAGGGCTTACTCGTACCTTTCTGCAGGTGTACACTCTGTGTGGACCTTTCCCCTATTTTATTCCTAGTGCGTAGTTAGCTGTATTGTAAATAAGACGGGTGGGTCTGCCTTCGCCAATCGGATAGCGGGAGAAAGCCACAGTGGGCCCAAAATGACGAGTAACCTTGCCTCTCGAGACAGCGTTCATTTCGGACACACTGTGGCTTCGCTGCCTCTGTCTGGGGCTTCATCTAAATTTCCATTTCGAAATTTAAAAAAAAAAGTTTTAAGACGACAATAACTTCTCGACCCCACTTTGGGAAAAAATAGAAATATCTTTATACTATTTTAAAAAGACATCTTGCGATTGGAGTGTTTCTTATCTCTGTGATTCTGTCTCATCAGATACTCTTAGATGTAGGAAACTTAGAGTGTAGCCGTTTTCAACTTTCTATGTTCACTACTAGCTTAGGCGGTAATTTGCAACTCTTATTTTTTTGAAATTGTGCAACGTGTTGTGAGATTTTAGGCACATTTTCAAATTCATAGAGGTGTAATGCTGTGTATTTATAAAATATTTCAACCGAGAGATTGGTGTCGAAACGATGCCGCTCGGTTTCGTTTTGTTACTGAAAGGAGTGCATCGTTTCGGACACACACTTCTCTCACCATGTTAGCACCAAATCCTATTTAACTTTTAGTTTTGTAAATGGCACCCGTGTTTAAGTTCAGAATCAAGGAGTACCTTCTATGTACGTCGTTAGTTCACATTATTGGATTCTTGTTTTCATACTTTTCAGTTTGTCCTTAATTCATGATAAGCGACTTTTATATAATAAATAGTAAAACAAAAAGTCATGGTAAGGCCATTAATGATTTGCCTCGGAATCCAATGAATTAATAGGAGGAAAAAAATAAATGAAAAGAACTTCTCGGTTTACTGATCAAAAATGTATTTAGGGCTACTTACATATTGGTCGTCGATATGGAAAACGCGGTAGTAAGGCTTTCCATAATAATTTATTCACATCCCAACGATATAATTACAATTCTAGGTTTTGATTTATGTCTGGCATCCAGATTTTGCTGCCTATGCAGTTGTCTAATGGCAAAAAATACACAATTTGCAAGACGTGACTGGCAGTTTAGAGCACGAAACACACTTCTTGGAGAGTAGCCACACTATTTCGCGTTTTGACGAAAGCCAGAGAACAGACCAAAAAGTGGAATTAGAAATTTCAAGGAAGGAAAAAAAATACTTCTACACGTGTAAACGTTGCCTATGGTTTGTGCGTACAAAGATTTGTACTCTCCTACAAGAATAGAAACGATTTGAAACGACAATAATGATCTATAAAATTGGAAAATGTACAGGGGGCCGTCACTACGATGTGACGTCTTTCTTGGAGGGACTCACGGCCCTTCCAGTCAAGCCCACACAGCAGCTACACAGTAAAAAAATTATTATTTCGTTACACTATCAAACGCACAGCCCCATGGCGTGTGCTTATCCTGAGCCGGTCCACTGACTGTCGGCACATCCTGTCTCAAAGACACAAAAAAAAATCACAAAAAAACGAGCACCCCACGATAATGTTGAGAGACTATTTTGTGAGAACAGACTGGTAAGTTTAGCACTCCGGTTCAGGCGTCGGAATCGGTGAATATATTCATAATTTGAAAGATATGGCATATTATATTGCAACGATGAAAAAGCTTCGATCTAACGTCCGACACAAAAAAAGAGTCGCCTTTTCTACCCTGTCCACAACACGTATCCCGAGCAACAAACTCACTGACCGCGCCGACCGGCCGGTGCTCTAACTGAATCAAAACAAACAACCCGTCGCTCCAGTGCAAAGTGCTGCGGGTTGGCCTAACAGCGCCTTACGAGAAATTAGCACGGGCCACGAGGGTGCTGTTGGTGCTCATCACTTCACACTGGGCTTATCACTTTTTGGTATCAACTCGTATCCCTTCCACGACGAAGGTTCGCCTCGACAGTGGGCCAGAAGACCAGCGTAGGCGGTGAAAATTCTAGACGTTCGGTTCGAGTCCCATTTAGCGACTGTGGAGCTCGAAACGCGTCCGGGGTTTTGGCCGCCGCCACCGGTCTTCTGGCCCACTGTGCGGAGGCCCTCGGCGTTACGTCACTGGTGGACGGCCCCCCGGCTGGTCTAGGTGGCGAGGGTGACGGCCAGCAGCGCCGCCAGCGCCGCCACCAGGAGGGCCTGCGGGCCGAGGCCGCGCGCCGAGTTGCAGCCGTCGTAGTCGCACGTCAGGATGCAGCCGTTCATGAGGTTGTCCTGGTAGCGGAACGAGCCGCACTGCGAGTCCATGGTCTTGCGGACGCACGCGCGGATCACCATCAGCTCGCTGGTGTCCACTGCAACCAAGTACACCAGTAGTCAGCGTGGCCGAGGGCGTAAAGGCGTTGGTATGCCACCCTGAGGATCGGGGTTCAAAACTCCATAATCACTGATTTTTTTTTCACTTTTTTTAAAAAAAAAAAAGTGGCGAGTACTCACCGTTGGTGCCGATGAGCTTGATGCAGAAGTTGGCCGGGAACACCCCGATGTGGCCCATCTTGGGCACCATGCACTTCTGGCTGTAGTACGAGTGCGCCGGGTGGAACGGGTCCTCGCAGGCCGGGTCCGACCCATTGTGGCTGGAGCACGTGTAGCAGTTGATGGCCTCCGCCGCTGCAACAAGTAGTCCGTGTTGTCATGGCTTGGCGTAGCTTGGCGGGCCGAGCGCCTGCGATGACCAAGGTAGGCCGCACTGCACGGCACGCGTGCCAGGCCGCGGCCTATCTCGCCGATGGCAGGCGTCAGGGAGCCAGGAAATCTGGGAGCCTAGGAGTCTGCCAGAGCAAGAGCCAGTCAAGTGTTTTGGGCTGACTTTAGGCGGCCACTGCGTCCAAACCAAGGCGGTATTTCCTACTCCCTCGACGGGGCAGTGTTCTTGGGTGCTTCCTTCAGCATGCTTTTTTTACGGAGCGCGTTTTTTCGCCCTGGTTCGGGAGCAGCATTGCCGCAAAGTTGGTCAAAAGCAGTGTCGGCAAGGAATGCGGACCACGCCGACAGTTGCAACCTCCTGCTCGTCGGTGTCGGTGGTGTCGGTACTCACTGGGGCTGAGGCTGAGGCCGAGGAGGACGACGGCGGTCGCCAGCAGCAGCCGGTCCATCGTCGGGGCCCTCGCGGCAACGCGGCCTGCAACACAGGGGGTTCGTTTGAGGACGGGCCCTGGAGTGGGGACGCTGTGTCGACCCAGTTATTGCACGGTTTGTTGACGAAGCGCGACCCAGACCGGCGCGGAGCTAAAGCGGGGCCAGCAGCCACCAAGGGTGGAGGAAGGGGTGGTTGTAGAGGCCGGTGGTGGGGGCGGATCCGCAGTGGGTCGGGGTGGAGGCATGGTGGCGGCACGGTGGCGGGCAGCGGGGGTTGGAGAGGTTATGTCGGCGGGGCGCTCGGACCAGCCTCCCATCCGTGCTACGCTCTCTCGCTCCCTCTCCGTCACCGATATCACCAACGCGCTCCAACGCGTGCGCTGCCAGGCACATGGACCTACTCAACTGGTTGCCCGTAAAAGTAGGCCAAGCGGTCGACCGAGGGATGTTCCACGGACGGCCAGGCCTTTGTCTGGATGGCGCCTAGCGGGTAGGCAACCCATCGAGCGGCAACCGCCCTCCTGCCGGATGGGTTGCCTACCCGCCAGGCGCTCTCCGAACCCACCACCGGTGGAGGCGGCCAAAATTCCAGACGCGTTTTGAGCTCCAGAGTCGCTAAATGGAACTCGAACCCGAGCGTGTGACCCCACCAATGGATTGCTCTCCGAACGAGGGATCCATTGGTGGGGTCACACGTTCGGTTCGAGTCCCATCTAGCGACTCTGGGCTCAAAACGTGTCTAGAGTTTTGGCCGCTTCCACCGGTCTTCTGGCCCACTGTGAACCGCTAGGGTGGGCCGCAAGCTGTTGCTGTGCGTGGGCTTGAGCTGGGCCCCGACTCCCTTGCTCGCTCGCCGAGGCCCGAGGGAGAGACTCAGCAGCAAAAACAACAACACCCTCTCCGTGCCCTTTCGCACGCTGGCGCCAAGCTAGCGCCAAGCTAGCCCCCCACTGCGGGGCCCGCCCGTTCGGGGCAGTTCCACTCGGGGCGGGCGAGTCTACTCGCTGCAACAACAACAACAACAGCAGCCCGACAGGGAAGTGGTCCACTGCTTCTTTGCAGTGTGGCGTACTCGTCGCCTCGCCGCACTCAGAGCAAGCGCGGATCGACGGGCACACTGTAAGGCGGGCGCCACACTGTTACTCGTTGCGTCTGCACGTCGCGGACTCTGGCACCGAGACAACACGCGGCGGAGCGCGCGAAACGTGATCGAGGTCGATACCGCGTCCCGCGTCCGTCCGGGGCGGCCCGGGGCGGCGGATTGGAGGTTGATTGAGCGTCGGGCACGGCAACGGGGTGGCTTGGCGGTGGCACGCACCTCGAGCGGGCTGCAGGGTGCTGCGGGCGCTACGCGCGCGGCGCCGAGGAGGCGGCGGTAGGCGAGGCCCCGGACCGCGACGCGCGCCCCATCGCGGACGGAGCCTTCTTTGTGCGGGGCCGCGCTGGGGGCGGCCTGGGGGCGGCCTGGGGGCGGCCTGGGGGCGGCGGGGCTGGCTGCGATGCGAGCGCCCTGCCACCGAGCGCCGTACTGACTGCATCGCCGCCGCCGCCCCCTGGCCGCCCCCTGGTCGCCCCTCCGCTGGACCAGGACCCCCCGCCCCCCACCTCCCGCGGGATCCCTTTCTCCGAGCCACCCCCACGTGTCCCCCCCACCACTCGTGTTGCTTCCCGGGGCGGCCGGGGTCACGTGACTGCGGAAGGGGGAGGATTCGGAAGTGGGGTGGGCGGGATGACCTTTTCGTGTTGTAGGTCGGCGAAGCATTTACAGGGGCTAGTCCGCCGAGTCGCAGTGCGATACTTGTCTCTGCTTCGTTCTCCCGGCGGGTTTGTCTTTTCGACAGCTGAGTCATTTCTTCCCGCGAAGCCCGCTTTCCCAGATGAAAGCATTTCCTCAACTCCCTTCGTCGTTGGAAAGCGAGTTTCCCTGCATTTCGTTCTGTCGGTTATTGACCCGTTCCGGCCGCCCTCCCACACTACTTTTCTCGACGCACCATTCTGATGACATCAGCGTAAAAACTGAGTCAAGTGGTCCCTTCCCTTCATTCCTCCTGAACCGGAGGCGGAAGTTTGTTCTGCGGCGCGGCTCGAACGACCGCCGAGTGGCAGCACACTGATAAAGAAGCGATCCATGCCAAACCCCCAAAATAATTCACCGGATCGTTGCCCAAGTGCGCTCTACTACCACGCGTATTTAATGCAGAATTTAGAAAATGCCCACGTATTTTATTTGAAGTAGTTGTGCTTTCAGACTGCTTCTCGGGTCCGTTCAGTTCTGCCGCCAAGTCGAACCCAAGTCGATCGCTCGAATCGACCCAAACGGCGGGAAACCCTTGGCGCGCTCTGGCGGCCGGCCCACCAACTAAGGCCAGGCAACTTCACTCTGTGTCCGCGAGGGAGCAGCACCATCCCAGCGCGGCAAATTCATCGCAAGGCGCCACTCAGGCGGTATTCATCGTTGGATTTCAAACGACCCCGAGGAAAATAAATGAACAACGTGAGGTTTTATTTGTGACTTTTTTTATTTATTTACAAGCACGCAAAATCACGTAGGCGACCCATCGTTTCTTCCAATGCACGTGACAAATATTTTAAATAAAAATAACACCAGTTTACACAATACTAAGGTACTCGTTTAGGAACACAAAACTTAGATTCTAATGAGGCAGGTTCAGTCTTACACCTAGTATCACAGCTATTTGCTTCAAAACAAAAAGAATTGGGTGCACGGCATAGCCCCCTCACAGCATGAGCCGCCCCACCTCCTCCGCGTTCATGTCGCCGTCGTCGGTGTGGTGTCTCAGGGGCAGCGCCAGGTCGCTCGAACTCGCCGGCCGGGGGGGCATTCTGTACAAACAGACGCGGAGGCGTTAAGTTTCCGGCAAGGAGGCGCCTCTCTTCGGTTAGGTTGGGTTAGGTTAGGTTAGGTGGGGTTCGCTACTCACCCTAGTCGCGTCTGGCGCGTGTTGAGCGAGGGCGCCGACGGCCGCCCCCAGGAGGCGGGCAAGGCCGGCGAGCTGATGCGCAGGGGGGACGCGACGTACCGCGGCGGGGGCGGTCTTGGAGTCGCCGCGGTGGCGGCCTTGGCCTTGGCGGCGTGGCGGTTCGGCGCGACCAGGACGGGGCCGTCGTCCGTGAGGACGGAGTAGGCCGGCCCGGCCTGGGCGTGCTGGCGCTGCAGCAGCGAGTACTCCTCCGGGACGTCGTCGTCGTCGGCGAGCAGCACGTGCGGCAGCCGGCCGCGCGTCGTGGAGGCCGTGGAGGCCCCCGTCGCCAGGCTGGTCTTCTCCACGGCGCCGGGGTCCGCCAGGATGCTCCGCGCCATGTCGGACTTGGACCGCGGCGGCAGCGAGGACTGGCTGAGGCCGTAGCTGGCGAGGCCCCCGTGGACGTGGTGTCCGGGACCGTCCTGGCGGTCGTCGGCCGGGGCGTCGCCGAGCACGTACTCGTCGTCGTCCTCGCGGGGGACGTTCCTGCTGCAGCGCAGCGCGTAGTCCTCGTTGCGGCGGTGCAGCGGCGGCGGCGGGTGGCACGCGGCGCACACCGTGTCGTGCGTCAGCGTGCACTCCTTGGCCACGAACAGGCCGGCGCCGCAGCGCGAGCACAGCAGGCAGGCGGCGCGCGCCGAGTGGTGCGCCGAGAAGGTCTCGCCCTCGCGGCAGGGCGTGCAGGCCGTGTCGCGGTACTGGCCCTCTCGCCCGCCGACACCGCCCACGCAGCGCCGCTCCACCCCCCAGCCCGGCGGGCAGCGCGCGCAGCGCACCGCCGCGGAGGACGACGACGACGACACCCAGGGTGCATGGCGGGCGCGCCGGCACTGCAACAGGACAACAAGGGCAACGTCAGCAAGGAAGACCGCGTCTCGTGTCTCGTTTACCTCGCTGAGTCGAAAGTACAGTCGTAGCAGACTCCTGCAACACCTACTCTACTTAAGACTCTGACTGTTCAGGCACGGCCCCTGCGAGAAAGACATTCCTCCCCGATCGGCACCCTCGAACCCGAGCCCTCGTGACACACAGACAGCCTGCCACCTGTTCCAACTGATTTTAAAAACGCACTCGAGCTCTCCCAGGCGATCGAGTTCTGCCCTCCACCCTGCTGCCCCATTGCGTGCCGCTGTCTCTCTCGCACTCGTGGGGCGTCCCGGGGGGTGCGAGAGAGACAGAGCGCCCGCCTGTCGCCGTGGGACTCTTCGCCAGGTGCGCACGGGCGGCAGATTAGGCGGGATTTATGATTTGTGACGTCGCGATGGGGGATGGGGGTCGGGGATCGGAGAGAGAGAGAGAGAGAGAGAGAGAGAGAGAGAGAGAGAGAGAGAGAGAGAGAGAGAGGAGAGGGAGAGAGAGAGAGAGAGGAGGGAGAGAGAGAGAGAGAGAGAGACCACAATGGGGCGTCCTTTCGACACGTCCTCCGAGTAAAGAACCCGCTGAGCAGCCAGCCGAGTAGAGAAACGGCCAATGCCACCTGCATAGGCCGACATAGGCTGATCCCGAAGATTTCGTCGCTCTGTCTCTCTCGCACCTGTACGGTGCACCCCACCCCTGCGAGTGCGAGAGAGACAGAGCTTGGAGCGCTTACGCCCGAAGCGCACGGCACAATGGGCAAGGTGTACTGTATCGCCTGGCAGTATCAAGTGTCTCGTCTTTTCCAGAAAGTCTGCACTCCACCGCGCTCCTCCCCACCTGTTCTCTCTCTCCCTTCCGCCCCCCTCTCTCCTGTCCGTCATTACCACACCGCAACAACAAACGGAAGAAAGGGATGGCCCGTTGGCGGCCGGAAAGACCGGAAGTGTCGCACTAGAGCCGCTTCCGGTGGCCGGGCCGCCCTGCCGCACGCACGCGGAATAATAATAATAATAATAATAATAATAACAATAAAACAAAAACAATCTACAACAAAAAACGACGAAAAGAGGAGAGCGGCAGGTATTAAAAAGACATTGAAGGAGGGCGGCGCGGCGGAGTGAGTGAGAGAGTGAGTGAGTGAGTGAGTAGCACTTCCGTTCCCACCACCTGTGCAGACGCGCGCGGTTGTTGCAGTTCCTCTTTGTCGGCCGAATGAATGAGAGAGAGAGAGAGAGAGAGAGAGAGAGAGAGAGAGAGAGAGAGAGAGAGAGAGAGAGAGAGAGAGAGAGAGAGAGAGCAAATTAGGAGAGGGAGGGACAGCAAACACCCGGCCGGTGTTTCCGAGCGCCACCTTATCGCGGTATGCAAAATTGCATCATCACAGGGGCGTGCAGGTGGGGCAGCCTTCTCTCTCGCACTCGTGGGGCGTCCCGCTAGTCCCGCATGGGTGCGAGAGAGACAGAGCGCCAGAGCGAGGCGTCGCGAGGGCGTCGCGGCGTGACGCGTTGGCACTCACTCACTCCCTCATTTACAACCACCGAGTGATGAGTCACTGGCTACACTCTAGTCTGGAGGGTTTGAACTCTGGATTCTCGCTCGAACGGCAATCCATGTCGGTAAGTAAGGCGTCGAGTGTTTGATCTGCGTCCTATTTGAAAAGGGAGATGAGAATTTCAAAGGTACAGAGGCCTCCGGAGACCTCTCCTTCTTTTCTCAAGTCGTTGAAGGATGAAGACGCTGCGCACGTTTAAACAGCGCTCAGTTTGCTTAGGGCCTTCGGGGGCGTGGCGGCGTGGCTGCGGTGTGCTCGCTCGCTCCTTGTCGAGGGTCACTGCGGGGCAACCAGCAGCAGCAGCAGCAGAGGCACCAGAGGTGAGGAGGAATGGGAAACGACCCGAAAATAATGGGTACGTTTCAGCGGTGGATTAATCCCATGTCGCCCGGGGCCCTCCTTGCCCCCGCCGCTGCGCCCCCGCGCCCCCCGCGCCCGCTTCGGGCCCGAGGCGCTCTGGTTGGAAGCACCTGCCGCCCTCAGCGCCGCCGCCACCGCCGCCGCCTCGCTGACCGAGTAGGAGTACTACAGTGTAGGAACTCGTTGATGGTGTCGCCAGGCTGACAGCTGCTCCGCTGCTCCGTTGCTGCGGCACCAGTTTTCGACCCAAAAAAAGGAAACAAGAAACGATGAAGGCCCTGAGGAAGTCCAGCTGGCGGCTGGCCGGCCGCAGAGCCTGATTTTAGTCCTTTCCCACACCGGTGTGCCCTGCTTGGCTGATTCCGAGCAGCGGCTCTGTCTCTCTCGCACCCCTGCGGGGCGCGCCATGAGTGCGAGAGAGACAGAGCGACGCAAGCACTCGGCTGCGGCATGTCCTGCTGGTCAATAAAGACGATAAGGGGACGATCTCGATGTCTCAATATTAGACCCGTGTGCTGTCGACCTGACGGTGGGAAGGACCGGCGGGGCTTTATCTTTCTTCGAGGCTCGTCCACGTTCAGACTTTGGACAAAAACAGAGGGCCGCAAGGCACCACACTCACAAAAAAAAAATCCCCCCAAATTTTTTAAAATTAATTTTCGTTGCGATTCCTGACGGTGTGTCTCGCAGCGACGATGACCACAATGGGGTGCAGGATGGCCGTGGTCCCTCCCCTCCCACGCACGCACGCACTGCCACACGTCGCTCTGTCTCTCTCGTACCTGTAGGAAAAGCCCCATGGGTGCGAGAGGGACAGAGCGACGAAAACGGCTCTGCGATGCGAATGAAATGTGTCGCACTGCAGGCCGTCTCGCTCGCGCGACAAAGACCCGCCGGGAGACGGCGCATTTTTATTTTTCCCACAGGGCTGGTCCGCCACTTGCTGAATGGACCATTGTGACTTTCGGATGCTGCGTGCTGGGCTGCGTGCACCCGGCGCAGCTGCCACCGGCCCGGCTCCTTACCTGCCGCGCTCATCCGCCCCGCCCCGCCCCGCCCCGCGCGCCACGCTTACAATGACACCCCCGACCCCGCCCGACCCGGCCGTCGAGGAGACTCGGTCAAATTCCAGATTGGCTGACATTTCTTCGTTCCGGGTTCAGACAGTCAGACAGACTCGGCCACGCACTCGGAGCGAGACGAAAGGGAAGTTCCACACGGGAAGGAAGACCACAGGTTCCACGACAAGCAAAGGCTATCTTCTGCTGGACAGGTTCAGGGTGAAAAATTCCAAGTTCAAGCTCCGTGATCTGACAACGGGTTTGAACCGCGCTGGGAGACTCAAACGCCGGTGGCCGCCAAACGTACCGCCAGACGAGTGCTCGACGTTTCACAGTGGATTTGCCAGAAGACCGGTGGAGGCGGCCAAACCTCTAGACGCGTTTTGAGCGCCAGAGTCGCTAAATAGGCCTCGAACCGAACGTGTGACCCCACCAATGGATTCCTCGTTCGGAGAGCAGTCCATTGGTGGGGTCACTCGTTCGGTTCGAGTCCTGTTTAGCGACTCTGGCGCTCAAAACGCTTCTAGAGTTTTGGCCGGCTCCCCCGTGTGTCGTGCAGTGCAAGTGCCTCACCTGCGCGGGGCCGAGCAGCAGCAGCACGCCGGCGAGGGTAATCCAACAGGCGAGTCGCGGCGCCTCCATGTCCTTGGCCAGCCTTGATGCGCGTTGGTGGCCGTTGGTGGCCGTTGGTGGCACCGGGCACTACTTCCAACTCCCGAGCGAGCTTCGCGATGGCTCTGCCGCACGACGTGTCCTACGTGACCGCGTCCGCACCGAGCGCCGTCCTGGAGGGGACTGGCGGACAACGGCTGGCGGCCCCGGCGGCCCTGGTGGCTCAATGCCGATCCAGACGATGCCCGATGACGGCATGGGAGCGCTGGAGGCCCGGGGGCTGAGGCTCCCTGTCTCCCCCCTCCCCCACCCGCCGCCTTCCAGGTGATCCAGGTGCACAACGCAGCGCCCGCCCCCTCCCCCCACCCCCGCCGGGAGCCCCCATCGTGTGAACGGGAGATCGGTTGGGAACCACATCAGAAGCAGCGCTGCTACCGCCTCACAGTGGGCCAGAAGACCGGTGGAGATGGACAAAAGTCCAGAAGCGTTTTGAGCTCCAGAGTCGCTTAACGGGACTCGAACCGAGCGTGTGACCCCACCAATGGATTGCTCTGCGAACGAGGAATCCATTGATGGGGTCACACGTCCGGTTCGAGGCCTGTTTAGCGACTCTGCAGCTCAAAACGCGTCTAGACTTTTGTCCGCCTCCACCGGTCTTCTGGCCCACTGTGCACCTGCCCCTTTCTGTGTGCCCCCCCCCCCTTTTTTGCATGCGTGGGCGTGCGTGCGACGGACTTGCCCTTCTGGCCCGAGTCCTCTCTTTCATCCGTTCCTTCATTCTCGCCATTTTCATTTATTCTTCGCCTCTGACGGGAGAAGCAGCCTTATCTGCTCGGGGCTGATTCGTGTCTGTCGCGATACACTGTAGGTATCAACGGGGTGCCGCCAGCGGCGATCCTGGCCAATCTTGGCTCCATAATCTGCCTTTTGTTCGGGACTTTGGGACTTGGGCCTTCCCTTTGTTGGCTTCTCCGGAACGGAGACCGCATTCGGTGACAACAAAGAACCGCCCACCACCCCTTTTAAAAAGGTTTATAGTTGATTTAAAAAAAAACGTTATGTTTGTTTAAAATTTTGGAAAAGTTTAATGAATCATTCTAGACAAAGGACAGCCCGCACAGCTGCGCTAGGCTGCGCTAGCGAGGCGAATGCTTCCTTGCAGCTTGCACACCTGCCCCTTCTCGTCTGTCCGGTCCGAGCCCTTTTGGCCCTTCAGGATCTCGGTTTACTACTTCGGCGGCGTGCCCAACCTCTCTCTCTCTCTCTCTTTCTCTCTCTTTCTCTGCCCGCCGGGCCCGCTGCGGGTGCGACGGAGAGGGAAGGCTGCCGTGTTGGTGGAGGGAAAGGGGTGGAGGGTAAGCGCCAAGCCGGGGACGCTGTAATCATGTTACTCGCCTGTTTCACGTATGGGCAGCACGCCCCGGGGGCCCACACTGTAAACGCCAGTCATTATGGCCACGACGCACTGGCGCCCCGGCCACAACCAGAAGCTAAAAATGAAAATTCCAACATCTTTCAAAAAATTATGATTGAATCCTCTGTTTCGTACTTTTAGCCAACTTCTTGTGGTGTGGTGGGTTTAATTGAGGGAATGTAGTAAATGAGAAGACAATTGTAGTAAATCAACACAATTCCTCAATTTCATTAAGCCCTTAAAATACACAATCAGCTGATGTAAACATATGATTTCACATTCAATAATTATGCCACTTAACTCTCATTATGTAAAAAATTCATGAGGTAAACTTATTGAGAGAATAACAGGTTTAAAGAAGGAAACATTTGAGAGTATCATTCTTTTTTGGAGCAAGGTACAGTCCGGTCCGGGAAGATGGAAGTTAGCGACACAGAATGACTGAAGCCATTGGAGAGAAAGGACAAGGACAGAACTAATCTGTTAAAATTTAAGGCCCTTGCACCAGACTGATGAAATTTTACATCATTAGACGCACAGACCGATATTTCTGTGGTTCTTAATGCAGCCATCTGAAAAGTAGTTTTAGATACAGTAATATCAGGGGGTAGAAACAATAGCACAGCTTCTAGCCTCATGCGATAGCAAACTCTTTTTTCTCAAAGATCCTCCAAAACTTCTCACCAAATTGCATTAGCTCAAAAGAGTGCTTGCTTCCACATGGGACTATCTGTTTCGCTATTGTTCCTATCCAATAGTGGTGTCATACAGGAAAAGGAACCACATCACATAAGCAGTTTATCAAGCATTGAGTATTTAACCAAGAAGTAAGGAATGCAACGTATGCCCACGTCATTTGGAAATCATGCCTGTTTAGTTATGTAGCCGGAACATTGATTGAAAGGTGAAGTTATTCTCACTCAGTTCCATTTTCAATGTGCTGTATTATGCTAATCCACCCTATAAACGACTAAATCTTTTGGTAACTGTGGTTAACAGTTGACCCATTATATACCAATATAATACTTCGTCAGTGACTGATCGATCATGATAACGATCATGATCATGATAATGATCATGGTAACTGTCAGTCGAGTTGCAATAGAACTTCAATAACCAGGTGCTATTGACAAGAAATTTTCTTTGAGAAACCGAATAGAAATGTTTGGCCCCATTCAATTGTAGACAAAATGAAAATGTGTAACTCATGAGAAAGGCCAGTGTGCCGTCATCATTAAAAGGGATGCAAGTGGCAAGTTTCAGCACCTCAGGACAGGGTTAGAGACATTTGTTTGCAACAAAAAGTGAAATGGCAACCACCAAAAATGATGTCAACAAATTTAACAGGAAACAAGGCATCACAATTAGCCAAATTTACGTCATTGTGAGCTTTCACACGTTCCTATAGGGGACAATCCTTGTCACCCTCTAACATGATCAAGATATGGACAAAGGTTCTCATTTCAACTAAAAGTACAGATGCTAACTCTAATAAAACTGAAAAGCACACTGGGATTTCAAACTACCCACTTTAACCAAGAAATAAAGTTAAGGAAAGAAGGCTCAAAGGTTAATTTCATAGGTCAAGAGTTGGAATGATGGAAGGATATTTCTACAACATAAATGGACAGCATTCGCAGTGTTAACTCAAGTCCACCAGCTTTTGCTCCCACTGCTAGGCAAGGTAAAAACTTTGGAACTTCCTTTTACTTTCTAAATGCTACGTGGAATTCATTGCTATATCATTGCATCCTTCACCACATGGCTGGACAAAGCAGCAGAGAACTACCACCACAACATGATTTTTAAAAAAAAAAACAACTAAAAATAACAAGAACACAAAACAACATAAGTAGACTAGAATCTCAAAATCATTTTCTTTTTGTAAGTAAGTGGAGATAAAAGTGTAACAAGAAAATGAATGCTGCTTAATATTAATTAATAGTCTTTGAAGTAAGATGACTTTAAATGAAATTTAACAGTCTTTTGGGAAATAGCTAAAGCGCTTCCCAATAAAATGGCAATTACTTTATCACTAAAAACACATGAACTGCTCCAATTTGAAATGGTATTTTGCAGTTATTTCATAAAAGCTACCTGCATAAAATAGGTATCTTAACTGTACACAAATTAAGTGATAAAACATAACTCATTTTGGCTTATATCAACACTCCAAATTCTGAGGTACATAATTAAATAAGAAGGCAGACTATATTAGCCAAAGCATTCACACTCACACTCAAAAAATCATGACCAAATAAATTAATTTATAAATAAATACATAGATAAATAAATAAAAATACATATGTACATACATACATACATACACGGAACACTAAGGACAAAAGTACACGACTATGAACACACTTTGTCATCTTATTAGTGCTCATTTCAGCCTCTAACTCTCTTGCACGCTCTCACTAAGCCCCCACTCTCTTTGGATACATGTGTTGCAAAGCAAAATTAAAAACAAACATTATATGAGATATTGTACTTGTTGAGTTGTGCCATCACATGTATGATGCTTTGCTTCCTTGATCATAAGAACAAAAAAATTGATTTTGATAACCTTGGATGGCAGCAGTGACTCAAAACATTAAAACAAAACACTGTATATGATTGAGTCGCACAAATGTCCTTTGTATGAGTATTGCTCTGAGAATACAGTCCAATGATTGAAAACAGGTGGTGGTTTTTACAGAAGTGAAACCATCAATCAACATTGAAAAACTTTGAAACAAAATTACATATTAACAGTTAAGAGGAAGCAAGCATTGGTTATAGTATCATCCACTAAAAACTTATGAAAACACTTAAATTTATGACAGCATCATCACAGAACGCGCACATACAAAATATACAGAACATTTTTCATCATAGCCAGTAGCTTTACCTATATTTATCACAAGCAAGCTTTCCAACACACCCTTTAATATTTAATGCACATTGTTCTAATCCACATTATGTAAATCATGTTATTTGAACTGCAATGAAAACACAATCTGATATCTGGGATAAAAGCTTTGGTCTGAGGTACCACTCTCTTAGCCAAAATTTTACTTATATATAAATAGGAGTTTCTTGTCCCGTCAGAAGCCTAAACATAGAGGTGGGCATTGTCTTCATTAAAATCTGAAACAAGAAAAAATGACAGACATAGTTAGTATCATCAAGGTATTATGGGATAATGATGAGGATAGGAACACTGCAGCCTAAGACTTTACCTCTCCAACTGAGGTGGCAAGAAGATTGACAATCTTTTCATGAGGTACTGCAACTACACTTTGATTGTTGATTTCTATGATACGATGACCAACTCTAACACCTCCACGCTCAGCAATGCCACCTCTTAGAAGACTGCATATCTATAAAGCAAAAAATTATTTCACATTTCACATTGAACATATTGTTCTAAAGCAACTCAGAAAGATAACTTTTAACTTTGAAGTCTAGCATACCACTCCATTTTGAACACTGAAGCCAAGTTGATACTTTGTCTCAGGCCGTTTGATTTTCACCTCCACAACAGGCGCACATGGGACGACAGTTAGTTTTACCACAGTCTGAGTCTTCGAGTTCTAAACAAAGAAGAAGAATTGAAGAACATTTCTAAAAAGGCAACAAAACTTGAATTTTACATCTTGTAGCACAAATAAATCCAAACTAACCTTGATGTAATTTTGGCAAGTGGAAAGTGGCAACCCTACCAAACTAACTCCATTGATTGCAATAATTTGATCCCCAATATTGAGTTGTCCACAACGAGCTGCTGCACCAGCAGGTGCCAAGTTGGCTATGACTACTGTGGGCAACATGGAACCCCACCCTGATTCCACAATTACAACTCCCAAAATCTCCCCCTTTGCTTTCGGCACAACTACCTAAAAGAGACAAGAAAAAAATAATCAATGGGTATTGTCTTTATAGAGTGTATAGTTACAACAGATAGACACTGATATAATAGTACCTCCTTCTGCATTTCCTTCTTAGCAAACATCTGAAGTTCATCTCCAAAAATTTCTTGAGAGTTTAGTACTTCTTGATAGTCCATTTCTTTCACAAAACTGTTATCCTCTATTCCATTTGCTTTCAGAAACTCCATGTAAGCAACTTGAAATGCTTGCCCAATGGATTGAGCAATAAATTGGGCCTGAATTTGGAAAGATCATATAAGTCCTGGCATCTTAATTGAACATAAATAAAGCACAAGATTTGGTACATACCTCTTCACTTTGAAACACATGACAGATCATTTTAGGGGTACGTGAGAGTTTTGAGTCTGAGTCATCATCTTGTGGCATAAATCGGCGACGTGCCATGAGAACAACCAAGTCACCAATATCCGCAATATATGATATTGTCCGCAATGCATGATCCATCATAATTTCCTGTGCAGAACACTAGTTAGCATTCACAATGATTAAATTCAAGCCAATACACATTTTACAAGTACTTACCTTGAGGTCTGTATTCAAAACCATAATTTTTTCTGTTGAAATGAACAGATCCACTTCTGTGCTAGGCTGTGTTTCCCCATCTGGAGCCTGGACAAACATGAGAATGCAAGCATTTAATGGAAATAAAATGCACTGAGAAACATATCTCTTGACCCAATCATATACATAGAGTGTAGTTTCATAATTCAAGGTGGGATCAAGTCTAAATCAAGTATGGTGCCAGACAAATTGGGTGCTTTCATTAAATAATTTGGGCTCAGCTTATTTGCAGGAAGCAGGAGGTCCCACAGACTGGTGAAAGAATAAAATGGAATTTTACGCTAAGACAATTACTATGAAAGGAAACAAAAATAAAAGGGGTGTAAGGATAGGGAAGATAGACTCCAAGCAAAAAGACACAGAACAAGTAGAGAGCAACAATGAGATCTGAAAAAGTAAATAAAACCAAGGAAAACGCTTTCTTTACTTGCACAAAACAAACTTAAAACAATTTTTTTTATGGTTAAAAGTAAAAAGTGCAAATAGCTGCAAAGTAAATGCAGACTTACCAAAGCCTACAGGGGCAGATAGCAGCAAGAAAAGAGAAACAAACATTGGGTTAATTCAAGTATGTTGTGAGAAACAGATTGAAAAAATGATGAAGACACAATTCCCAGGGCACATTTGAGTTTTGTCAGCACCTTTACATTCGGTGAATGAGTATCAAAACTTACATATCATAACCGAAACACCTATTATGTATTATTAGTATGAGTAGAAAAAAATAATATTTTTACAGATATTAGGAAGCAAAGAAGCAAGTAATTCAGACAGGCAAATCAAACAAATTTTCTATCTGGAAAATTGTGGCTTTTAAACATTTCATGATATTTAGAAATGGTAGACTGTTTCAGTGATTTTAACTTCAACATTCATTGACCATGATCAAGTGCAGCATTTAGTTAATTATTGTGTAAGCAACAACAAATTTAGGAAAGCAGTGATTCCTTGATACAAAATGATGTTTTGAAGTTCAATGAAACTTCTAATGTAATCTAAAATAGTAAGGACAAAATATAAGTAATTGAAGTGAGCAAATGATTTTTAGAAAGCTCTTCAGAAGCAACAAATATGTGAATAGTACAAACACATGCAATAAATTAAAATCAAGGAAATGAAAGCAAAGCTTATTTCCATTCACAAAAAATTAAAATAAGACAAAGTTAAAACAAAAAAAATAGCGGACAAACAGAATACTGTAGTTAAAATGGCGAGTCATATTAAGTTTCTTTCTTTGGGAGCACCTTTGAGAGAGATTGGGGGACGAGGGTAAAATTTAATTGGGAACTAAATACACTGTTTACAGTAAACACATCACACAAACAATGTGTGACAAAGAGGAAAACAACAGCAAGGGAGTCACAGTGGCACAACGCTCAACATACATACCAAGGACTGAATGCTAAAACATTAAATTTCCACATTCTGGGATTTGCACATGTTACTCTGCTTTTTCAAAAACCAAATCTAGAGATCATAATTAATGGAACATCGATAGACATATGTGTATGGATTTGAGATCTAACTATGGGTTCAGCTCCGAAACACCTGCATTAGTGAGAGTTCCACTCCTTTGTCACCACCTCATCAGAATTGAGAAAATCACAATAATAATCACCAAACAAAACAGATTCAAAGAAATCATAAATGCATACACCCACCACAAAACAAAAGACATTGACGGCTCCCTTCGCATCAAGTGTGACAACTATAAAAACTAAGTGATAAACTAAAAATGAATAGGAAGGTGATTAAAAACACGCCATTCACATGACAGTTGGATTGTGAACACTTAGTCCACAAACCTTGATTTTGCTGACGGCTTCCTCCACCATGGTCTTCTTGAGCCTCTTGCGGCGCTTCCTGCCGGTGCCTTCTTCCTCCACTTCCACCGAGCCCATGAAGATGAGGCGGAAGATGGTGCCGGCCGGCAGGGGCGCGTCCAGGTCCAGGTTGTCCAGGTCCGCGTCCATGCGGGGGTGGGGGTGGGGATGTCGGGCCGCCTTGCACGGCGCCTTGCACGGCACCACCGTCAAGCCCGGCCCCGGCCCCGGCCGCGGGCCCAGCCCCAGCCCCCCGCCCCCGCCCCCAGGCAGCGCCGCCCCCGCGCCCGGCCCGACCCACTGGCCCGCCTCCATGAGGGACAGCTGGTCGTCCACGTCACAGTAAGCGGGAGACAGGGGCGCCCCTGGGGGGCCTGGGGGGCCGGGCACGGCGACGGCGGCCAAGGGACGGCCCGGACTCGCGACGGGGATGGGCGGTAGTGGCAGCGGCAGCCTATCGGCCAGACGTTCCGCCAGACGGCATGTCCCTGTCGGCGACGTGGGGGCCAGCGACGGCAAGGGCGGGGCCTGCAGGGCCTGCAGCCCGGGGCCCGCGCGGCCTGCACGGCCGGGGCGCGCCGACGCCTGGCCCTGGAAGTGTGCACGCCATCCAGCCAGGAATTATACTCCAACCGTCACCATCCCTTGTGCGGGGACACTAGCGGGTGAGGGGGCGGAGGGGAGGGTGCTGGAACACGCTGCGTTCAGATGGAGGCTCTCAAGGCTTAGGCAGGAAGCAGTATGTTCAGTGAGAGGGAGGGCAGCCTGGGGCAAGGGTCAAAATTGATACATCATACCAATGCTTGTGATACTTTTCTGATCTCATTTGATAACTTATTTCAGAAACTACTGCATGAAAGTGTGGCAAGATCCGATGATCGTGACATGATACAATTATTTAAAACACAAATGCACCACAGCATGGATAAGCAAGAATAAATCTGAGAGCAAGAGTTGAATACTTGGTCAAGATTTGATGGGTTCAGAAAGTGAATATTACAGATTTACAGATGAGCGTGCGTAGGGTAGGTGCTCGGATTTCAACATGCATGAATGTTTACGCATCTCTTCAGTACATTCATTTTTTTTAAAAATTGACAAAGTTGTGAAAAATAACAAAATAAGGATGTACAGTTTGTGTTTTTGATGAGTGCCATATTCAGAATTCTATAGTGACAGTGCCATGTAAGATCTAAGAATTTTACAAACAGAATTGAGAGCTACACTCTGGATGATCGATTAAAACCTGGCAATTCATGGCACCTGTATTACTTTTAAGTATGCTCAGATCAGGCCAAGATTGAATGACAATTTAATGTTAGAGAAAACCTTGCAGAAATGATATACTGAGTTCTTCAGAGGCACATATGAATTGAAAAGAAAGTTATACAATATATGTTGTCCCTTGATTCATCACATAATAACTGAGTTGGTCAAATAAAAAATACAACAGATTCAATGTGCGTGGAAAATTAATCTTCCTCTTTTTATATGCTATCAATGTTTTTATGATCATTTCCATAACACAAAGGCCCCAATCCTAAAAGAACATGCAAAAATAATACGGGTACAAAACTTCTCCAGAAAAATGCAACTTCTCCAGCTAAGGAATTGTATTCACAACAGGAGCTTGACTGAGTGCACAAAGGGCAAAGGGCCCACACTGGCAGTGTTGGTTGGTGGGCAGGTGTTGGCAAATGGTACAGCAAAAGTGAAGAGAGATTTGGAAACAAAAACAAGTTACGCACAAAAAAACATTTGATATTTTTTTGTTTTCAAATTCTCTTTTGTTTAGCAAGGAGCTATACAGTGACAGGGGCCAAACAAGGGATGGAAATAAGAAACATGAAGAATAGAGGAAACTGTGAAAATGGATCTCTTGAATCACAAAAATTCACACATACCTGACCTGGTTTCAATAAACCAAAAGAGGCAAAAAAAATTAAAGCTTATACACTATTGACACAGTCCAAATAATTTAAGAGCAAGAAGGTTCTGCAAGATACTTCATAATGTGGAAATTAAAAGGAGATAGCAATGATCCGATTTTCACTGAGGAGGCACAGAGGACAGGAACGCAGGACATACAGCATGTCTTAGTGGGAGTGAGACAGAGACAGAAGGCAGCGTGCTAGTGTACCCTGCTCAACAATGCAGTGGAACAATGAGTCATAGATAAGGCTGTTTTACATAAGTGCATGAAATATTCTACACATAGCTAAAATAACTTCTTTAAACATATCAACTGCTATTAACAATAATTTTCTCAGGACATGAATGAAGTCATTCATCACACATTGTTGCCTATGTCCCCAGTGGTGGCGGTGGAACTGACACACGGTTTCAAATTAATTTTCAATAAATCTTAACACATGTCACAAGCCTGGACACAATGATAATGTTGACAAACAGTTATATGACATGGGAAGTGAAAGAATATTTTCTTGATGGTTTAGTGACAAGGAGAGATGACGTATGTTTCATATGCTTCATAATGATAGTACAGGAAATCAGGGTTTATAACTTTACTTTCAAGCTTTAGAGGAGCAAAATGTTTCAAAAAGATGTTCCAGGTAAAAATTTAGTCTGTTTTATTCATCGTAAGTTTTGTAGTCGAAGAAAATCTAGACTGAATTCCAGCACAAAGTTTAAGATGCTTTAGTGTCACAATGAACCTTATCTAAAGAAATTTGGCAAAAGAAGTGGATTGTTTAAGATTGAAAGATGGTTAAAGCAACACCAATTTAGCAGAGAAACAAGTCCCCGAATGTGGTTTTAATGAACAGATTGAATAATTGATTGATTGGTTTTAAAACATTTCTAAAACTAGCTTGAACTTTGAAAGACATGCTTCAGTTTTGGCACTGTATTAATGTACATACATCTAAAGCATTTAGCCTAGAAAGTGCTCAATGAGTGCTAGTAAAAGTAATTCACAATGAAAATTCGGGCGCCTCAATGTGAACCAGCCCAGCATGCAAACATGCAAATCAAAACACAAAATTTTCACTGATGTTAGATCTTAGTCAAGGAGAAAGTAGGTAACGGTAAATTACAAAAATAATAGGGGAGAAATAGCTGAAGAATGCTGTCTAATAAAGACGGAAAAACTGGTAATGTTTCAATGTGGAACTTTCTAATGGTTTGACTCTGGGGGAATTCTTACTCGAGCCACGACTGAAATGCTCAAATGGGACACAACTCGATATTTTCGAAAGGAAATTAGTGCATGGAGCTCACTTAAGCCTAATTGGAGCACAGATCACCTTATACTAGCAAGGCCAATTGTAAGAAGGTGAGACGTAATGCTTCCTTACCTTAATTCTGGAAACAGCCTCCTCTGCTTGCATCATGCGTGTTGTTTTTGTTGGTTGCCCTTCACATACAAGCTGTGTGGAGCCGAGGTATCTTGCTCGAAACAGGACACCCTCAATTAAAACTGTAGGATCCCAACGGCCATCTGAAAACAGAATAATACACTTAAGTAACCTGTTTCAAGACTTCAAGAAGCTAAGGCTCAAGCATAAAGACATAGCAAAACAATATTATTTACTTACTCATCATAAATTCCACCACCAAGATTAAGGCAAAAAATAAGACAAAACAAAAAGCTGTATTAGTCCAAAGCCACATTCCATGCATTTTATTTCATAGTCGAACCAAAAGTTAGTGAAAGGGAAAGGATCATTGAGAAGGGACGTCTGACTGTATTTCTTCAAGCATACCAATACCTCCTACACCTTAACCAATAATGGAATTAAAATACTCACCCTCTTTGTTTCTTCCTTTTTTCTTCCCTGCTTCCTTATCCTGAACAACAACAGAAAAATACAGAAGGCAGATTAATAAAAGGTAAATTTAAGACAAGAAAAAGTTATCTGAATGGCAGACATGGAAGCCACACCACTATCTGGGTGAAGAGGAACAGGATGAAAATAAAGAATGGTGACATGTTTGGTGTACGGGACTGGACTATAATGCCGATGCCACCACATGTGCAGTGATTGGCTGATGGCCACCTGGATACGTGCTGCACTCAATGTCAAAGCTCAAAAATTAAGCTAGAGAGCCATTAAAGAAATGAAAAGAGAGATCAACTTCATGCACAACCCACTAAGATTTTCTAAAAACACACATTTAAAGGGATAAATCAACGCAACATTCTTGACACAGAACAGGGCAATAAGGAAGTATGAGGAAATTTACCAAGACTTTGAGGTGTTTTCAAGTACCGTTTTGAAGGTTCAGGACTTTTCTATAAGTTTCATTTACATTCTACACAATTTCAGTACAATGTAGCTCAGTTCACTAGCTATTACATCCTCCGCTTACTTCTGAACATAATCGACAATAAGTTGCAGAACTTCTTAGTCTTTGTCGGTATAACGATCCTTGGATGGGACGAGAAAGAGGACTCACAAAAGACCTCGTCATGATTGGCCTGCTCAAGACACTAGGCCGAGCAAAGGGACAAACTGAAGGTTTGAGACAGGGTCGCTCTGGCTTGAGAACTGAACCAAGGCGCCAGTGGAGCTGGCAGAATGGGCAGAGCAGAAAAGCAAATTCATTAAAGAAAATAAAACAAAATACATAAGTTAAACACTTCCACACAAATTAAAGGAAAACAAAGCAGGCTGCAGCATTTAAGAGTATATTATGAAGAATAGAGAGAGAAAGATGAAATTAGTTTAAATGTGCAAAATATGACACTTGCATTAGCAAACATGGAGAATCTACAGAGTCATTATCTCTTTATGATAACATGCCACATGCTCTCTATTTGTTATCAAAGCATGCTTTTCCAATCAAAATTGTTTAAAACAAATCATCCATTAACCACCATAAGACGAGCATTGACCGTCCAACAGTTTTGCAGAGAGAAATGTGCTACTGCATGCAAATTATATTTTTCCCACACCTTCTTGTTCTTCCCCAAGGCATTTGCTTCGGCTGCACTTCGGGGTGAGGGGGTCTTGTCTGGGGATGTAAGTTCATTAGATGAAGTAGCCAAGTCATTCGAGTTGGCATTTGAGGATATGGAATTGGCAGATGTCGGAACACATGGTTGCGAAGAAAGGTCAGTTGTTGGTGATAATAAGGCAGCGACGGAAAGAGAAGGATGCGGAGGGGAGGACAGCTTTGACTGAGATAAGAGAGGTGTAGTAGCTGAGCAACCACCATTTTTAGACAGGGAAGATGAGGACTGAGAAGAGGGCATGACAGTTCGCGACTTTGTAGATTTCCGCCACCCTTTCTGAAAGTGAAAAAGCACCATGGAAAGAGGTTGCAATCAGTTAACTGTACGAGACGCAAGAGAGGGTATGAGCACTTGAGAAATGACAAAATAGTTATTGTATGATAAAATTATTATTAATAGAAAAAACTTACCGTTTGAGGTTCATAAAAGCCAATATCATCAGTTCGGAGTTGCCCCAATAACCGATCAGTCTCTAGGTCAGTATCTGCTTCATCTGGAATTCCAAAAGAGAAAGAAAAAAAATGTTATGGTGAAGATAACACATTGATAACATCATAAAACGTGAGGGCAGTGACATTGAAAATATTTGTATGTACACTGTACTCACCATCATCAGCATGTTCATCCCCGCTTAAAGTTGAACGCCGTAGGTCACTATCACAATTCCTTCTTCTGAAACAAAAAAAAATTTTGTAATAAGAATTTAAGAGTAAAAGTTAACAACTGTTATTTTTTAAAAAGTAGCTCGGGTATGAGGCTAACCTTGGTACCCATATAGGACTGGCTTTTTGCTGAGGTGGTTCACTTTCAACTGATTTGACTGGAAGCGTCTTGGCCCTTTGGATGGCCATGCGAATGTCCTTGATGACCTCTTCAACTCCCTCTCCAGAATTTAGGGATGAGACGGAGCTCCGGCATTGTAAACTTTGAGGTAGATTGTCTGGTGTGCCTCCCGTTTGACTGCGGTGAGGGGCTGGAGCAGGTGGTGGAGGTGTGCTTTGAGAGCTACTAGCTGCACACCATTGAGCTGAAATAAACTCAACTAAATAAATTTTAAAGTTAAGAATGAGGGAAGTGGAGCATAAGGTAAGGTCTTCCAGGTGATGGTCCATTGCCTTACCTAGAGGATCTAAAGCTTCCAACTCTGGGTCTGGATATGAACTATCCCTTTCTCTTCCAGACACATTATTGGGTATACTTGAACTAGTTAAACTTGGAGTTACATGTCCCGTCAAATGGTCAATGGGCTCGGAATCATCATTTCGATCTTCAATTTTAGACCTACTAGACCGCTGCACTAATTCTCTTTCTATTTCACTGATTTGCCTTTTCATTAACATGACCTGAAAGATGAACACATGGTAAAGTGCATGTCTTGATAGCAAGAATAAAGCACAGCATCAAAGCCAAAATTCTCACAGTTGGGTTGTTGTTATCTGTATCACTAGCATGACCAGATGACAGACCATCTTCTAGAACAGGCATGCTAGAGTATAAGCGCATTGCGTCAACAGGTAAGCCAGACCCAATATCCCCTAGTCCACTTGACAAACCACTTCCAAGAGCACCAGTTAAGCCCTGAAACAATAACAATAAGCACCATGTAAAGAAATGCCAGCACCAACCAAAGCACTGAGACACAAGACGCAGAGTGTTTAGACACATACAGTAGCAAGCCCTGGAGTGTCCCCATCAGTGAGCAGAAGAGAAACTTCACTATCCAGATCACCGCAGTTAGAATCACAGTCAGTTGTTTCAGGAGAGAGAGTGAAGTTTCGGCTGTGACCAACCTAGACAAGCCAAGCCAACACCACATCGATCAGTTAAAGCAGTCCCCAAGGCACACATAGTAGACACATAAAGAAAAGTTTGCGACTGTTGTTATTTATGTGGGAGGTTCTTGAAATATAAATCCTACCTGGAGACCTACTTCAGTGTCGCCAAGATCTTCTGTTGACCCACTGCCCGTAGAGAGTTCCATAAGGTTGTTCTCTTGATCGTTCTCGGGTTGTTCCTGAAAGAGACAGAATATTTATAAAACAATGAATTCAACTGTTTCTTTTGACTATTAATATGCCTTGTGAAATTTCAGTGAAAGAACAGTCATCAGCCATTAAAACAGAACTAATAATAATTGGCATAGAAGAACCTGACGGTACAAAAAATCAAATCATGAAAGCTAACGTGATGTGAAATAAGTGTTCTACATGCATCAAGCAATATTATAAAAATGATAGAGGAGATTCAATTCCATCACAAAAATGCATGTTGATTCCCAGATTCATACATGCAAATACATATTATAGGTTGAACTAAAAAATAAATGCAGTGACGCTAGAGTGCTTTACTGATGCTTGAGACAAAAGATACATAATTTGAAACAAAGAAAAAATGATGGGAACCAATGCACCTGATGCATAACATAAGGCATTGCTTAAGTAGAAATATCATTTCCATCCATTCTGAGAACTGTTGTTGTAGCCAAGGTATACATCAATAACATAGTTTAATGAATGAATGAGAAGCTATTGGAGTCAATTACAACAGAACCCATTACAAAACTAACAATTCAATGAACCACAAATTCTAATAAAAATAAAGCTTAGCTATTATCTAATAATACATGCCCACTCCTACTTCCCTAATCTTTTACAAAATTTTAAAAGCATTTAAATGTGATAGTGAGACTGGGGGTAACAGTTTAATTTCAAGAAATTCAAAATTATAAAAGAAACAGGTAAAAGCAACTAAACCAAGTAAAAAATAAGAAAAAGGGAACTGGAGTTTTCTACACTGATATGAATTTGATCAGATGCCATCTAAAGTCAAACAACCTTGCAGCAGGCACAAAGCTACTACCGCAAGAGCTATACCTGTAAAGAAATGAGGTCGTTGGTAGTACTTGGAGCTTCATTATGAGGTGATTCAGTTCCACTATGCTCTGGCACTGCTTTTGCTAACCTCAAGCCCACATATGCACTTCCAGACCCAGAATTGCATGATGATGCATTCTGTCCTGCCTGCCTTCGTAGTTCGTACTCTAATTCCTGTTAAGAACATTTAGGTGTACTCAACTGGTAAGACATATCTTTAAGAAAAAAAAAATGGGGCCGTGGACATCATATGAAAGACATTAATAACTCTCTAGAATGGAATAGGAGTGGGTAGATGGATGAGACACAAATTGCAAAATTCAAATAACACGACTAAACATTTAAAAACAACCATGCATTAATTGACTGGGCTTCATTTTCAAATCATCAAAACCTATCAAAATGACAATTTTTTTTTAAAAAAAGGAACTACAAATATGTTATGATTTTAGCAGTGAGGGATTACAAATAAACAGATAAGATGTGACACTTCCTCAGCTTACCTGAAAATGTGAATTGTCTTCACTATTTGGAATGTCTGTTGAAGGCTTGAAAAATTCTTCAAGAACTTTTCTTGTTTCCGAAAACTCATAGAGGTAATCAAAAGTTGAATTTGTTGTACTTGCAGTACTAGTAGGTGGTGATAAATTACAATCTGGCAAAACTCTCTGTCAGAACAAGAAAAAGAAAGTTAGTGCTCCCACTGTAAAATACAGACCATTCCCTAAAGAGAGAAAGAGAAGAAAAACTTTGCTTTAGCGAAAAGCAAGGGTGCGCAGTCAAGCTATAATACCTGAGGAAAGCCAGGACGAGGCGTGAGAAGGGAAGGGGAGCTGAGGAGACTGTGAGCAGAAGGTAAAGTTGGATGAGATGGCCCATGCGAGCCGCTTGACTCTCCTTGACGAGGTCCATAACGCCTTGGCGAGCCCTCGTAGTCAGCAATTGGGAGACCACCAATGATTCGAGAGCCTTTTCGACTAGATGATGAACGATTTCCACCAAGATGGTTACCAGAGATACTGCTCGAGAGCACACCTCGGCTATTTGGGATATCATCCGTATCATCAGCTTCATCTTCGCGGTCAGGCGATAGAGAGTCATTTTCAGCATCAGATACCGATGTTGACACCTGCAGATACCAAGCAAAGCATCTACACTACTCACTGCCAAGCAGTCAAGAGTATGGGTATTCGCAATAGTTGGAATTCACTCTACAGGTAAGATAGACACAAGATATGACAGCAGTTCATGGAGAACAAATGAGCTTTCCTGCAGAAAGCGACATGTAAATGAATGTGTGTCTACAAGTACACTTTAAGAAAGGTGAAGACTGAAAAGAGATAGAGAGCAAAGGAATGCCTCATTCTGCCTATAAGCCCACAGACAGGAGCAGCTTTGCTGAGGTTCAATGTGGGCAGTACATTACCTTAAAGTAATGGGACGGTGCCCGATGATGACCAGGTGGACTAGGAGTGGACGCAGCAGAGGAGGAACCGTTTCCTCGCCAATGCTCACCAATATCATCAAAGACAACGACCTCTCCACCTCCCATATTCAGAGATGGGGCAGATGTTGGCACAGGTTCATATGCAGCATTGCTGCTTACTGTAAACCAAGAATTTTAAATCAAAATTCAAGATAAAGCCAATATAAAGCTTTTGACAAGAACGGGAAAATGGGTCACTCACACTTACGAGATGAAAGTACCCCTCTGTGCCTTCCTCTAGATTCTGAGGAAAACATATCAGTAAGATCTCTGGAGTTCCTTTGCCGCTTCGCCTCTCCACATCTAGACACAAAAAAATGTCGATAACAGTCACAACAAAATACACAAGCACACAAGTAAATCAGGTTAGACAGAAAATTTAAATTGCTCGCACCTTGATCGCAATTCCCACACCCTGCGCTCTGGGTCAGTCTTGTTGGTCTTGCTGGTGTTGGCCTCATCCCGGTCGCGAGTCTCTCTTTCCCTTTCCCTTTCCCGGACATGACGCCCTTTACGGCCAGGCTTGCTGCGGCTCTGACAGAACACTTCTCTTCCACCTGCTATTTCAATAATTCTGGAAAGCAAAATCAATCTATTGAAAAAACATTCAGCTAGGACCGATTGTCAACCTACTCTAGTACTCTGGAGGATATTAAAAATGTGATAAAGATACGTCTCACTGAAATAAATTATAAAAGATAAAATTGAAAAACTTATTCTAAACAGCGCATTTGCATTTCTGTTGCACTCTCTGAGAGAAGTTTTAAATTAATTGGCACTTTTTCTAAAACACTCCCCCAAAAAATCTACTCATTTGACTACATTGCTGTTTTTTGTCATCTGTAATAGCTATGGCTACTAACACATGTTTGGGAAAAAGACTCTATTCTATGAATTTCTGAAGTCCAAAATCAGTGAAACTGCAAATGAACAAGCTCTCTCCCACAGAACCTCAACCACAAAATTTTTAAATAAATAATTTAAAACCCTCCCGTACCATTTAGGGACATTGAATAGCATTCTCCTTTGAAACAACGTGGGGCTCAAAAAAGCAAATGTCAATAACATTCCGTTTCCAACAAAGATTGATCTGAATCACCTGGAATCTCGCAGTTTGTAGGAGCTTCCCTTGCCATGATTCTCATGCCCGGCCTGTCCAGCCTGGGCGAGAGGGGACTGCGCCTGGCTCTGCGACTGGACTTGGCTCTGACCCTGCGCTTGGGACTGCACTTGGGACTGCGCTTGGGCGGGAGAGGGTAGACTAGGTGCTGGGCCATCACTATCATTGCTCTCGTCGTCCGATGTGTCTACAGCACTGGCACTTGCGTCATCCGCCTCTTCATCGCAATCCAGCCTGTTGACCACAGGAGAATTCAAGTCCCTATGATGCTACCATTCCACAAACTCGATTCATTACACAGAAGTACAAGACGAGAGCTCTAATAATCAACTAATTTGAGAAGAGAGGAAAGAGAGGGAAGAGAGAGAGGAGAGAGACGAGAGAGAGGAGAGAGAGGAGAGAGAGGAGAGAGAGAGAGAGGAGAGAGAGAGAGAGAGAGAGAGAGAGAGAGAGAGAGAGAGAGAGAGAGAGAGAGAGAGAGAGAGAGAGAGAGAGAGAGAGAGAGAGAGAGAGAGAGAGAGAGAGAGAGAGAGAAAAGAGAGGGACAAAGAGAGAGCAGAGTAGGAGGGGAGAGGTATTTCATGCAGTTCACATACGCCGCAGCAGCTACCCTTTGCATTCCAGAAATAATACCCGTAATCACATGAAGAAGAAACAAAGAGGGCAGGAAATGAGGGAGGAGAATCCAGGAGAATTGGTTGAGGTACAGAAGATGATTTTGCTTTTTCCCCTAATCCCTGACTCTAATATAGGCACTAAAAAAATAATTTTCAAGCAAAAGAACAACTATTATTTTAACGAAGTAAGTAAATACAGGAAAGAGGGGGAGAATAAGCAACTAGTTAAAAACAGATAGAACCAGAAAAGAAAAGCAGAGGTGATCAAAAATGCGACAGTTCAATTTTTTCTTCAGAATACTTGAATACTTTTTGGTTGATGCAGGGCTCCGCAAAATGCAAAGAGAGGGGTTGCGTGATTGATTGATTGATTGATTGATCTCTTTTGGAGCGAGAAAAGAAATGATTGAAAGAAATGAGATGCTACAGTCAAGCAAAGTTAGACAAGAGAGACAGCTAAGTGGAAACATTTTATCACAACATTTCATCTGCAATCATATTAAACACATGATCAGACAATTCAATTATAACTGACTCGAGGAGAAAAACTTCTGCGCACACCTAACATAACGACAGACAAAAGTAGGCAACTGTCGTCTTATTGGTTCGAGTACTTTGACAGCAAGTTGATGATATTTTTCCACGAGCAATCTTTTACTGCTTTTCTGCAGAGTCGTTCAGTCTATGCAAATAGGCACACACACACACACATACACACACACACACACACACACACACACACACACACACACACACACACACACAGAGCAACGCACCTGTCGCTGTCCCGTCCCTTCTTGCTGTCCATCAGGATCTTGTGGTGGTCATTGTTGGCGAGGGCGAGGGCGTTGCCTCCGGGTGCGCCCTGCAGGCCCTGCAGGCCCTGCGCGCGGCTAGGCTGCCCGCTGGCGCCGCTGGCGCCGCCGCCCACATTGAGGCTGAGACTGAGGCCGTCGCGCGCGTCCCGGGGCCGGCACTTGGGGAACAGTTCCGTGATGCGCTCGCTCGAGGCGGAGGCCAGGCTGTCCAACTGCAGGCCGGCCACGCTCGTCATCTTTCATCGCGAAATCTGCAATCAGACAGAGACAGAGTCAGACAGACGGACTGGGTTACTCCACCGGTCTTCTGGCCCACTGTGCGTCCCCAAGGCATCACAGCATGGAGACAGGCTTGGGACAGCTTGCCTCCATGGTGTGAGTGTGTCGCTGGGTAAGCCGCCTGGAACGGCCTGGAACGGCCTGGAACGGCCTGGAAGGTAGGCTGCCTCGACGCAAGGCTGCGTCTCGACGCGCCTATCATCAGGCGGCGAGGGGAGGGGAGGGGAGGGTATCAAATCAGGGCTCGATGATCAAACCGTGTTTGTTGACAGAGGGGGAACGGAGGGGCGGGGCGAAAATGAGAAGAGATGGCGCGGGAAAGGCGGGGAGAGAGCGAAATGAAAGGGAAGAGGAAGGGAGGAGAAGCACTAACAGAAAAGCCAAACACAGCCCCTAACAAGTAAGCCCCACACCATGTTTGCTCCAAAACACGAGTAGCTCAAACCGACAACCCCCACCCCCCTCTCTCTCCCTCCGACACAACGAACGGGCGGAACGGCACAAGGCAATTAAAAATTCTGGTCGCTCCCCGGCGTTAAAATGGCAAGCTAAACACAGACGTCTCTTTAATTAAAATGTAATACGGCACGCCTTTCGGTCGGGCGGGGCGGGGCGGGGCTAGGCAGGGCGCGGCGCGGCGTTTTGAATCGCAATGGTGGCCGTCCACGCGGACAAGGACGAGGGCCTGGACGAAGGCCGAGGGGAGGGAGGCGGGCGCACAGTGGGCCAGAAGACCGGTTGAGGCTGGTTGAGGCGGCCGAAACTCCAGACGCGTTTCGAGCTCCAGAGTCGCTAAATAGGACTCGAAGCGAACGTGTGACCCCACCAACGGACTCCTCGTTCGGAGAGCAATCCATTGGTGGGGTCACACGTTCGGTTCGAGACCCATTTAGCGACTCTGGAGCTCAAAACGCGTCTGGAGTTTTGGCCGCCTGGGACGGAGCGATAAAGAGTCGGATTAAAAACGGGTGCGGGCAGAGCGGGGCAAAGCCACCCGGTGCTAAACAAGAGCACAAAGAAAGCTGGGGCCGTCCTCCAGCAACAATGGAACGGAAGGGGACGCACTCCTTAACACGCTACCCCCCCCCCCCCGGGCACGACCCCCGGCACCGCCACCGTAGAGGCAAATCCAGGACGACACAATCTTTTAAAAGCGGCGGTCTGGCCGGGCAGCTGGGCGAGGGCGTAGGGCTCGGCGTGGGGCTCGCAGGGCGGATCAGCAGAAGGGCGGCGCGAGGGATGAAGCCAAAAACAAAAGAGAGGGACTGCTGGGCGCCAAGCGCGCCAAGCGAGTCACACCGAGTTTAGCCGCGCCGACGCCATCAGGCCGCCTCGTTTTGACGTCAAGTCGGCTTCGGCGCCGCGCCGCCCCCACCGACCCCCGCACGGTGCGCCATGGCGGCCGAAACTCTAAACGCGTTTTGAGCTCCAGAGTCGCTAAATGGGACTCGAACTGAGCGTGTGACCCCACCAATGGATTGCTCTCCGAACGAGGAATCCATCGGTGGGGTCACACGTTCGGTTCGAGTCCCATTTAGCGACTCTGGAGCTCAAAACGCGTCTAGAGTTTTGGCCGCCCCGACGGTCTTCTGGCCCACTGTGCACGGTCGGAAAAGGCAGGGGGTGAATTTCGGGGTGCGCAAACGTCCACGTCATCGGGCACTGCTAAAAATAGAAAAGGAAAAAAACGAGACGAATAAGCTAGGCTGGGAAGAAGGCGCATTCTTTACCTTGGCCGAAAATATATAGGCAAAGGGCGGAGATAAGCTTTGCTAGCCACACACGCAACGCAGCCAGAGGGGGAGGGGGGACCCGGAACGCACCCCAAACGGAACCACACTGAACAATGCCTGCGTTTGGGTCTTTGAAAACGCGGACGTTAGGGCTTAAGGCGCTGGGCCCCGGCGTGCCCACCACGCCCCCCAGGGCCCTACAGTGCCCCGGGCACGTCCGTCCAGGTCCCCCACCCTGGACTAGGCTGGCCTCGACGTCGGGGACGGAGCACAGTGGGCCAGAAGACCGGTGGAGGCGGCCGAAACTCTAGACGCGTTTTGAGCTCCAGACTTGCTAGGCAGGACTCGAACCAAACGTGTGACCCCACCAATAGATTCCTCGTTCGGAGAGCAATCCATTGGTGGGGTCACACGTTCGGTTCGAGTCCCATTTAGCGACTCTGGAGCTCAAAACGCGTCTAGAGTTTTGGCCGCCTCCACCGGCCTTCTGGCCCACTGTGGGACGGGGGTTGCAGCCGTGAAACCGAGTTACAACTTGGGGCGGACAATGCCTCGGCGGTGGCGTGGTCGGCCTGGCCGAGGGCCTGGCCGCCCCGCCATCACTCAGCCAACAAAAAGCGAGCCGCCTCCAGCACCCGAACGCGTTTCCAGCTCACGTTCCCCAATCGGGATTTCGAGAAGGAAAAAGATCCCGCAGCGTGCACCAGTGTCGAACAGGTTGGCAACCTCGGCCTGCGGCCTGCCTACTGGGCCATACCCAGCAGGCAGGCTGAGGCTGGCGGCAACTCTTTCGACACTGATGCGTCGTGCGGCAGTTTTGGCAACACTGAGTTGCCATTCGGACGGCGATTCCAGATTGGAGCTGTTAGAGGATGCGGTCGTGGAAACTCGGTCGAGAGGCCGAGGCCGCTCTCCGCACAGCGAGACAACCACCGAGGCAGCCAAGGCAGCCAACCCCCCGGAGTCAAATGAGCCAGGGCTGCAACCTTGTCAGTGAGTGTCACGGAGCCCCAAAGCCCTCTGCCCGGGGCGGGGCGCACGGTGGGCCGGAAGACCGGTGGGGGCGGCCAAAACTCTAGACGCGTTTTGAGCTCCAGAGTCGCTAAGCAGGCCTCGAACCGAACGTGTGACCCCACCAATGGATTCCTCGTTCGGAGAGCAATCCATTGGTGGGGTCACACGTTCGGTTCGAGTCTCATCTAGCGACTCTGGAGCTCAAAACGCGTCCGGAGTTTTGGCCGCCTCCACCGGTCTTCTGGCCCACTGTGCGCCGGGCCCTTTGGCTTGAGTCCTAGCGCAGCAGCGCACCCCATCAGCTCGGGGGGCTCACTTCCAGAGCCTGGGCCCCCCTGCCCCTCCCCCCGGGGGGCGTGGTATTTGGCCAAAAGGTCGAAGTGCGAAAGGACAGAGACGTCGTCAGTCTGCAAAATGTCAACAACAGACAACGTAGTGCGCGCCGTGTGCAGTCCGGGCAAATGGCCGCAAAGCAACAGGAATACAAAATCTTTTTTTGTTTTTCTTTTTGTTTTTGCAGTGCACTGGGAAGGGTGCAGGTGTTGAGGCGGCCGCCTTGTTACGGCCCAACTGCTTCACAATCAGGCTCGTTCTCTGCCTCCATCTCCTCCGCGTCCGCCACGTCCCGCGGAAAAAGAGCAATTTCTCATCCTCGGCATCAATCTCAACTTGTCCCGCGATGCGCCCCCACTGTCAAAACAAAAATCTTGGAAATTCCCGGAGAGCTTGTTGCGTGAGAAAACAAAATGGACTCAGACCTAAGGAAAATTACAAAGGAAGGGAATACATTGACCGTCCTGGCAGTTTTATGGCAGTCATGAGGGAGTTTCGGACGCAGTGAGGTACAAAGTGGCAATGCGAGGGGAGGAGGTCTAGGAGGGCACAGTGGGCCAGAAGACCGGTGGAGGCGGCCAAAACTCTTGACGCGTTTTGAGCTCCAGAGTCGCTAAATGGGACTCGAACCGAACGTGTGACCCCACCAATGGATTCCTCGTTCGGAGAGCGGTCCATTGGTGGGGTCACTCGTTCGGTTCGAGTCCCATTTAGCGACTCTGGAGCACAAAACGCGTCTAGAGTTTCGGCCGCCACCACCGGTCTTCCGGCCCACTGTGGAGGGCCAGGAGGGCCATGCGGGCACGCGGTGCGAGAGAGACGGCGTCAGTGGCCGTCGAGGAAGCCATCGAGAGCGACAGAGACAGACACACTATCGATTGTCCACGGCGGGCTGGCTCGCTGGCTCTCGCTGGCTCCGCGCCACCCCCACCAAGGCCCCGAACGCGGTGCGCGGTGCGCGCTGCAGGCTGGCTGCACAGTGTGTCAACACATGCGCAGGCCAGGTTGGTGCACCCAGCCCGGCAGGCGACGGGTTCACGAGGTACAAATGGAGGCGAAATCGGACACCGGCTGGGGGGGGGGGGGGCGCCGCGCGCCTACACTGCGGAGAGCCCTTCCCACCGTGGAGCACTGACAGCTTCGCCTGGACGACAGCTCACTCACTTTGCCACATCCTGACAGTGTAGTACGCACTTGGTCGAAGAGCCCCCTCGCCGACTTTCCATTCACCACACTCATCTTCAGTCATTTCTCCCGCGATCTGCTGGCGCCTCCCCGGTTTAATCCGTCCCCAATCCGCCCTTCTAGGGGTTCCATTCGGTTCCACTCCAACCGCCTGTATAGGGGTGCCACTTGCGCCGCATATTACGGTGGTTAGCAGAGCGTGGCGCAAAGCCGGCCGCACTGCCGAGACAAAGAGCGGCCACATCACAGCAGTCTCTCTGTCTCTCTCGCACCGCGGCCAGCCCCGCGCGGCGCCCCGCGAGTGCGAGAGAGAGAGAGAGAGAGAGAGAGAGAGAGAGAGAGAGAGAGAGAGAGAGAGAGAGAGAGAGACGGCCTCCAGGGGCGCAGGGGTGGGCGCTAGCGAGCGGGGTGCACACGAGGGGGAGCGGGGAGCGCACAGGTGTGTGGTTCGACTCGCGGGGAGAATAATAAAAAAGAAAACATGGAAGGCGAGCTGCAGCCTTGCTCCCCCTTGTTCGTTCGCTTTCCTGAAGTTTCACCGTTCGCCATTTACACGAGGCAACAACAACAGCGCGCCTCAAATTACAGACAATTTTTTTTTTTCAAAGTTGCCTCAGGGCTTTTTTTACGTTGTCTGTGGTTGGCTGTTTCAGAGCACACCCCGACAAACATGAAACGTTAATGCTCAGTCATACGACATGACATCG